TCTTCTCTGCAGCTCTCTGTCTTTTTTCATGTTTTTCTTGCTGCATTGCAGATGTGGTTCAGGATGGGTTGGGTCGGTGGTCTCTGGGACAAACTGTACCTGACCACATCATGCTACAATGCTGCAGAGTGTGTGTGTGTGTGTGTGTGTTTACATGTGTGTGGAAGACAAGGGCACCTTCCTCTCTCGTATGAACAAGTCCTTTCAAAGGCCCTTCCCATGTTTTAGCCCATTTACTACAAATGCTGCATTTTTACAAATCCTTCAGCACTCCCTTCCTCATGTACACATTTAAATAATTTAGCATTTTGTCAGTATACAAAGAAAGGAAATACTTTTATTAAAGACGTTTTTTGGGGTTCTCCTTTTTTTTAAAGTGTGTTATATAGGTTTTAGTGCATGTCAATGGTCTGCAAATGATGACATCAATATGTAACACTCGCGCTCCTATTGGCTAGCGCTCCGACACATTGTTCGTGATCATCTCTAAGCGGTTGACCAATCACAACAGAGCCGGCCATTTAACCAATCAGAGCAGACTGGGCTCTGGTTTCTGACAGAGGGTGAAAAGAGGTGCTGCAGCACAGACAGTATGAGAAAAATAAAGAGCTTTTTGAACATTAAAGCATGGAGACATGTAGAGACACTACATACTGATATACACCTGAACATCAGCAGGAGAGGACTCTTTAAAGTAGAGACACTACATACTGATATACACCTGAACATCAGCAGGAGAGGACTCTTTAAAGTAGAGACACTACATACTGATATACACCTGAACATCAGCAGGAGAGGACTCTTTAAAGTAGAGACACTATACTGATATACACCTGAACATCAGCAGGAGAGGACTCTTTAAAGTAGAGACACTACATACTGATATACACCTGAACATCAGCAGGAGAGGACTCTTTAAAGTAGAGACACTATACTGATATACACCTGAACATCAGCAGGAGAGGACTCTTTAAAGTAGAGACACTACATACTGATATACACCTGAACATCAGAAGGAGAGGACTCTTTAAAGTAGAGACACTACATACTGATATACACCTGAACATCAGCAGGAGAGGACTCTTTAAAGTAGAGACACTACATACTGATATACACCTGAACATCAGCAGGAGAGGACTCTTTAAAGTAGAGACACTACATACTGATATACACCTGAACATCAGCAGGAGAGGACTCTTTAAAGTAGAGACACTACATACTGATATACACCTGAACATCAGCAGGAGAGAACTCTTTAAAGTAGAGGCACTACATACTGATATACACCTGAACATCAGCAGGAGAGGACTCTTTAAAGTAGAGACACTACATACTGATATACACCTGAACATCAGCAGGAGAGGACTCTTTAAAGTAGAGACACTATACTGATATACACCTGAACATCAGCAGGAGAGAACTCTTTAAAGTAGAGGCACTACATACTGATATACACCTGAACATCAGCAGGAGAGGACTCTTTAAAGTAGAGACACTACATACTGATATACACCTGAACATCAGCAGGAGAGGACTCTTTAAAGTAGAGACACTATACTGATATACACCTGAACATCAGCAGGAGAGGACTCTTTAAAGTAGAGACACTACATACTGATATACACCTGAACATCAGCAGGAGAGGACTCTTTAAAGTAGAGACACTACATACTGATATACACCTGAACATCAGCAGGAGAGGACTCTTTAAAAGTAGAGACACTACATACTGATATACACCTGAACATCAGCAGGAGAGGACTCTTTAAAGTAGAGACACTACATACTGATATACACCTGAACATCAGCAGGAGAGGACTCTTTAAAGTAGAGACTCTACATACTGATATACACCTGAACATCAGCAGGAGAGGACTCTTTAAAGTAGAGACACTATACTGATATACACCTGAACATCAGCAGGAGAGGACTCTTTAAAGTAGAGACACTACATACTGATATACACCTGAACATCAGCAGGAGAGGACTCTTTAAAGTAGAGACACTACATACTGATATACACCTGAACATCAGCAGGAGAGGACTCTTTCAAGTAGAGACACCACATACTGATATACACCTGAATATCAGCAGGAGAGGACTCTTTAAAGTAGAGACACTACATACTGATATACACCTGAACATCAGCAGGAGAGGACTCTTTAAAGTAGAGACACTACATACTGATATACACCTGAACATCAGCAGGAGAGGACTCTTTAAAGTAGAGAGACTACATACTGATATACACCTGAATATCAGCAGGAGAGGACTCTTTAAAGTAGAGACACTACATACTGATATACACCTGAACATCAGCAGGAGAGGACTCTTTAAAGTAGAGACACTACATACTGATATACACCTGAACATCAGCAGGAGAGGACTCTTTAAAGTAGAGAGACTACATACTGATATACACCTGAACATCAGCAGGAGAGGACTCTTTAAAGTAGAGACACTACATACTGATATACACCTGAACATCAGCAGGAGAGGACTCTTTAAAGTAGAGACACTACATACTGATATACACCTGAACATCAGCAGGAGAGGACTCTTTAAAGTAGAGACACTACATACTGATATACACCTGAACATCAGCAGGAGAGGACTCTTTAAAGTAGAGACACTACATACTGATATACACCTGAACATCAGCAGGAGAGGACTCTTTAAAGTAGAGACACTACATACTGATATACACCTGAACATCAGCAGGAGAGGACTCTTTAAAGTAGAGACACTACATACTGATATACACCTGAACATCAGCAGGAGAGGACTCTTTAAAGTAGAGACACTACATACTGATATACACCTGAACATCAGCAGGAGAGGACTCTTTAAAGTAGAGACACTACATACTGATATACACCTGAACATTAGCAGGAGAGGACTCTTTAAAGTAGAGACACTACATACTGAAAACCTGGAAATTAACATAATAAGGCCCCTTTAACTCTCTGATCATGTGACCGGGTCACTACGGCAGCTGCTGATTGGTCAGCGGTGGTTGCAATGGGGACAGGGGTGTTTCTGTCTGATTTTATCTGAAGGACTGTAAACAACCTCCATCCTTTGAAACACAGACGCAGATACAGTTCTGTACACAGATCTCTATGTATCCTGTGGTTCCCCAGATACATCAGCAGGATTGTGATTATTATTGGAGAGAGAGAAGAAGAGACTCAGCTCTGTAATGAGATAAAAAAAACATGTTAATCAGTGTTTGAACTTTGGACACAACCATGCTATCTGTTTCCACCCGTTTCCAGTGTTTATGCTAAGCTACGCTAACACACAGACAACATTAATATCCTGCTGAACATTTAATAAAGAAGTCAGAGGTTCACGAGGTAATCTCTGACAGATCTGTTTCGACTTGTTAATACAAGTCAGGACACACACACACGTATAATCCCTGTGTTAGTTGGCAGGCTGTGTGTGTTTGGACGTGTGTGTGTGTGTGTGTGTGTGGAGTTGAACAAACACTCAGTGATAAGTGTTTGTGCTGACTCTAAGCAGTTGAGTCAGCAACCAATTATACTCTTCCTCATCAACGCATACACACACACATTGATTGAGCATTAGGTAATGCTGTGTGGTTTGACCTCATATGGAATCCAAAGTGTTTCTTTCTGTTGTGTAAATTAAATCAATATGACACATTGCAACATGATAAACTAACTCATTCCTGCCTTGCTCTATAAGTATTTTATTCACATGGACCTACATTAGGAAAGAGACGTCTGTAAATCAGTGGATAATTAGATTGGAGGTAAATCAATGAACAACAAGTACTGGCATTTAAATAGCCCTTATTTAACTCAAGGGATGCCCCTGAATGCACCGCTCTATATGCGATTGTTGAAAATAAAGTGCTATGCTATCGATGACTTTCTGCTGGAAGGAAATTACTTCCAAAACCCTTGTTTTGGAGCAAAGACACCAATACAACATTTATTCAAATTACAAACTAAAATGTTGCTTTCTATTACTACTCTCCTTCGACTAAATTAAATCGTACCTTAGTGCAATAATGAAGTGTTATGCATATATGCAATATAGAGGTCATGTTGATTTTGCAAATGGGTGGAAATACAAAGAAATTCTGCAGCGATACCAGAAGTTTATTTAAGCTTTATGCACCACTGAAAGCCTGGCCCTGTTCTCTTTATCCATCCATCCACTCTAAAGCTCTTCTCTGATTGGTTCCTACCTGTTCAGAGAGGGTGATGATGTCACAGGTGAGATGAGATCAACACCTGTGAACAAAGAAAACCTGCTTTTCTTCTGCTCAGAGGTCAAAAGTCAGAGAGGGCTTTGATGTCACACCTGCACTATTCCCACTTCAGATGCACAACACACACACACTCACTCACACACACACACACACACACACACACAATAACACTGAATGTGTTCTTTATCATTGTCCACCACTGGTTATAGAGTTCTGTGAATGATGTAGTGATATAATGAAAGAAAGGGACACAAATGAAAATACTAAAGTTATGAACTAAGTGGAGATTATACTACTTGTTTGGTGTGTTTTTAGTCAGTGTGTGTGTGTGTGTGTGTGTGTGTGTGTGTGTGTGTGCGCGTGTGTGCCTTTGCCTTTCAGAGCATGATCTGTTTATGAAGGTACATGTTGGACAGACTGAGTCACCAAACAGAGACTCATTAAACCTGCACACTGTTTATACATCAGAGTGTGTGTGTGTGTGTGTGAGAGACAGAGCATGAATAGTAACTGTTGAACTCTGATAGTTTTGCCTTGTTTTGGAAGTGAAACCTGAACTTTAAGTTGTGTGTGTGTGTGTGTGTGTGTGTGTGTGTGTGTGTGTGCACGCGCACATGTTTTCTATGAAGTGTGTTTGTACATCGGGTGGGGAGCAGGTTTCTTTCTGGTTGTGTTTATATTGGTTCATCGTGTTTTAACATGCTAACTTTCTCTGTGTGTGTGTGTGTGTGTGTGTGTGTGTGTGTGTGTTCAGGTGTGTCGTCGTCCTTTTGAATCCTCGGAAGAACAAACAGCATTACATCTTCAACAGTTCCAGGTAAGACTTCGGCCAATCAGCTCTCACCTCACCTGCATGTGGAAACTGTTTCAGGGTACAATAGGTGCTCAAAACAAGCCTTCTTTCAGGTGCAAAAAGCATTTAACAAAAACTTCATATTTATCATGCTTTTACTAATAAAGATACCTGAGTGTAGTGTGTGGCGTGCAGGTCTAATTCCATTATAATTTACTCGATTTTTAAAGGAATTGTAAATTGTGTTTCTGGCTCAGTTCTGATACTGTGTCTCAATTTAGCTGTACTCACATTTGCTGTTTTGAGTGCATAATTGCTTCCCAAAGTGTGGCAATATGCGCTATAAGTACCCGAAAGGTTTATCCATTACGGTCAAAAGTTGAGCGTCTCACATTTAATGATCGCCATCACCTGGTACTGGGATGTGTTAAAAGCAGAGAACAAATGTCACTGTCTGTGCTGTGTGCTCTGCATGTGTGACCAGAGGGTTTCATCCCTCCAATTCTATTATGAAATAGCACAACCAGCTACTACACAAATAAAACCTATTCCTGAGTTTTTTAAGTATTTAAGACTCGCACCCCTAGACTGGGGTTGATAAGGAACCGTAGTTTATTTAATAGGGGTTAATTAAGCAGTCTATAATGAGTTAAACTGCTATCAGTGCTATGGATAATCAATCAATCAATGTTTATTTATATAGCCCAATATCACAAATGTTACATTTGTCTCAGTGGACTTTACAGTTTGTACAAAATATCAGTATGACAATACGACACCCTCTGTCCTTAGACCCTCACATCGTACAAGGAAAAACTTCCGAAGAAAACCCACAGTTTAAAGGGAAAAATGGGAGAAACCTCAGGGAGAGCAACAGAGGAGGGATCCCTCTCCCAGGACGGACAGACGTGCAATAGATGCCGTGTGTAAATTGAAAAGATAATACATTTGCAACATAGGTAGTCCAAATGTTTGGAAATGCATGTGTGTATAATAGGAAGATGAATCCACGAGGATATCCATCCAGGACCTATGATCCAGGACCACAGCCACGACTCAAGATCCAGGGCTCGCGATGCAGGACAGAGGAGCGCAGGATCATCCATGACTCCAGATCCCGGCGTATATAGACACCAAAAAGAAAGACATTTGGGGAAGCTGGGTTAATCGGAACATGAGAGTACACAGGTATAGACAGAGAGAAGGAAGAAGTAAGATGTCCCCCGACAAACTAAGCCTATATCAGCAAAACTAGGGGCTGAATCTTATCAGCCCTAACTATAAGCTTTATCAAAAAGGAAGGTCTTAAGCGCACTCTTAAAAACGGATAGGGTGTCTGCCGCCCGAACACAAACTGGAAGCTGATTCCACAAATGTGGAGCTTGATAAGAAAAGGCTCTGGCTCCCATTGTACTTTTAGAGACTCTAGGAACAACCAACAACCCTGCATTCTTGGAACGCAATGCCCTAGTAGGACAGTAGGGTATAATGAGTTCTTTAAGGTAAGATGGCGCCTGCCCATTAAGGGCTTTGTAGGCGAGAAGAAGAATTTAAAATTCTATCCTGTGTTCTATAGGGAGCCAGTGTAAGGCAGCCAGAACAGGAGTAATGTGGTCCCTTTTCCTAACTCTGGTTAGTACACGAGCTGCAGCATTTTGAATCAGCTGAAGCGACGATAAGTTGTTAGCTACAACACTACACTACACGGCTGACATTTTGTTTAGTGTGTACCAAGGGAAGTAACTGAATTAAGACACCAATGGCGAGCCGTCAGGGCCCTCTCTAGTTTTACCAAAATAACTTGATTTAATTGTATTTAAAATAACATTTCCAAATAAATAAATCCTTTGAATCTGCCTATTCAGTTTCTGAATGTGAAGGGTTAAATGAAAGAATCTCATCTCTGCGAGGTGAAGACAGGAGCTGATTGGTGGTCCTGCTATGAATTCACAGAGGGCTAGCTATAGTAACTGAATGAGAGAGTAATGTCAAGTGACAGTACAATTGACCAATCATATCTTCCCTCTAAATGGGTGGGTTTTATTATCACGGACTTTATGACACGTTCCGCCCGCTGTGAAGCTTTTCTTGTTTCCATAGCAACAACAACTTCCTGTCAACAGCGTAAACTCGCCTTCAAAATAAAAGCATGCCAAATTACACTTAAGACATACAACTGCAACGAAAGTAACAAACACAATGCAATATCCTTTTCAATGTCAAAGAACACAAATTGGGTTATTTACAGGTGTTGTTTTGTGTGGTAGAGGGTCGCTGTCATTGATGCGTTTTGCACCCCGGGCCGTTGTTTTTCCGCTGAAGTACACGCTGTGACGTAATAACTCTTTTTCTTTTTTTTATTCGAGGGAAGGGGTGGGGGTCAGAGGGCCTAGGTATAAAAATCACGGCTCGCCACTGAAAGACACACCATATAATCAAGGTCCATAAAGGAATAAAGGGTTGACTGTGGCTGTGAGGGAGTGCGGTCGACTTTCAACCAGCAGGTTGTTGGTTCGATCCCAGCCCGTGCAGTCAACATGTCGATGTGTCCTTGTATGAGTGTGTGAGAGTGTGTGTGTGAGTGTTAGCTTCCCTAGCGCAAGTGGTGCTGCTCTGCATGAATGAGGTGTGAATGGGTGAATGACTCGTAGAATGTAAAGCGCTTTGAGGGGTCGAGAAGACCTGATGAAGAGATTTATAAGTACAGTCCATTTAGTGTAATGGGTCTATTTTGTCACAGAATGACTTTCAACTCGTCACTGTTATACAATACAAATACAACCAGGGTTTTCCTTCAGATCTGACCATGTCTGATTACGTGATTTTAAGCATGTGACCCTTTTCTCTCTTCCTGTTCTTCAGGAAGGCGATCACCACGTTAGCGTTTTCTCCAGATGGGAAATATGTCGTCACAGGAGAGGTGAGTCTTTCTGATGATCAGCAGGTCTTCAAGAGCCTAATCCAGGACCAGAGTTTACTCAGTTTAGGGCGGTTAGGGAGGGTCTTTAGTCTGTGTGTTGAAGACCCTGTTAATACTTGTTTTTTAAGATGCATCTTGGCCAATCAGCATAGGAGCAAGCATGTATAGGAAGGATAAATGACTTAATATTAAATAAAATGACTAGATTCAAAACAAAAAAGCCCCAAACCTTGCAGAGAAACAACAGAAACGAGTCCTTGTGCAAACAGAGGAGGTCTGGAGGATTAGGTTTAGAGGAACAGAAGGTCTCTCAGCATGATGAGGAGTCAACCTGCTGTTGTTACTAAATCACTGAATCATTATCCTATTAAACCAACACTGGGTGCTGAAACGTACAAACAAAATACACATAAAAGACTGAAATAATCACAAATCACAAATGAATTAAACTGTAGATCAAACAAATCAATGTAATTTGGAAATGAAAGACCAGAACGTGGTAGTAGTTCAATCAGGACCACGTTAAGTGTTTATAAAACATTTGTATTATTGACTGACTTGTGGCTGTTACTGACTACCAGTGGAATGAGCTGCCTACACATTTAAGATTTTATATTGTATTTTTAAGATGTTATTAAGTATTTTCCAATACAGACTGAACAAGAAGACAGACTGTTACAGTACAAGGACAATGCTCACATATTGTGTATATATTTTTGACCTTCTTCCTCCTCCTCTTCCTCAGAGCGGCCACATGCCGGCGGTCCGAGTCTGGGACGCTTCGGAGCGTCTGCAGGTCGCCGAGCTTCAGGAACACAAATACGGAATCTCCTGCGTCGCGTTTTCTCCAAACGGGAAATACATCGTCAGCGTGGGCTACCAGCACGACATGATGGTCAACGTCTGGAACTGGAAGGTAGACAAGTCACGTTTGAGTGAATAATGCAGGAGGTTTTAATCAGATGAAACTGAAATCCACACAGTACAAATATGCAAAAAAAACATCTTTGAAAAACTCGTTAAAAATGAGGTTAGGTCACGTGGCTGCTGAAGAGCATTCAAACCCAGCAGGATGATGCGTTCATGTACACGCTGTTGTTTTGAGTATTTATCTTGTGAGTAGTATTTAAGTGTATACTTTTTTCAGGTTTAGCCTTAAATAAAATCCCTTAATTAGGTAATTTTCCAATGTGTTATTGTGGTTGTTTGGGGGTATCTGTATACCAACCTCCCCATCCTCATGACTCACACCAAAAAGGAAAACAACAATTATAAAATAAATATAATACAAAATATAAAATAGTCTGAAAAATTATAAATAAACAAAGGGAAAACGCAAACTTATATTCTCAAATGATAAACAAATACACATTTTAAAATGAATTATAAATAACAGCGATCTACAAAGACATGATTATCACATATACAGCCGTTACGTTGTGTTTCTTGTTGTGTAGACTTTGTTTAGTAGTCCAGGTGTTTATTAACGATTATTTCAAGAGCCAGTAAACATACATTTGAGAGGGCCGATAATAGTTAAATTGTAGTCGATTGTATCTTCTTATTTTGCCAAATGTTCTCTGTGAAAGTATATTGTAGTGAAACTGCTTTGTAATCCAGCTGACTGATGTTGTTGTTGTTTTGTGTGTCTGTGTATCAGAAAAACGTCGTTGTTGCAGCCAATAAGGTTTCCAGTAAAGTGACGGCCGTGTCCTTCTCCGACGACAGCTCCTACTTTGTTACCGCCGGTAATCGACACGTGAAGTTCTGGTACCTGGACCACGCTAAGACCTCCAAGGTGAACGCCACCGTGCCTCTGCTGGGGCGTTCAGGGCTGCTGGGAGAACTCAGGAACAACTTCTTCAGCGATGTGGCGTGTGGTCGAGGTAAACAGGCCTCGTCCACTTTCTGCATCACTTCCTCCGGCCTGCTGTGCGAATTCAACGACCGGAGACTCCTCGACAAGTGGGTCGAGCTGAGGGTGAGTCACAGCATTTGGTTAAAAGAGACGTTTCCAACTCTATTTACCGTATGTAGCCCCGCCCCTTTTCCTACTTCCGGTTCAAACTCAGTTAAAATGTGTTAGTTCCTCCAAATTAAATGAACGTATCTGGGTCTATTTAGCTAGCGAACTAAGTTATCTATTTAACAAGCCGGCCAGCAAACATTAGCTTTCTAGTTAATAAACTATAGCTATAGGAAGCTATCTACTTAAAAAGCTATCTAGCTGTCTAGGAAAAGTTGGCTATTTACTCCACATTTTAAGCTAGCTAACGTTTGCTATCGATCAAACTGGCTAGTTAGCTTTCTTTAGCTACCAATCTTACAAACTAGCCAGCAAATGTTAGCTAACTTTTGCCAAATGGTTGCTCTCTGCTGTGTTACTGTTCAACCTGACTAACAATCATAAGAGCAGAAATATAGAAAGATACCTCTGCCAATCAGTACTGATAAAAGTGTCCCAACAAACTGTAGGAGTAATTGTCCCCTCGCTACAGGCGTACCTCAGGGCAATGTGACCTCACTGTGTGTGTGGCTACAGGTGGAAACGTTGCTATTTTTTCTGATGAATATAATATAAGATAGATGTACTTTATTGATCCCAATTTGGAAAATGTTTGTGTTGCAGCAGCATAAAAAGACAAGGCATTGCACATTAGAGAAATTAAAAGAGTAGAAATAGACAAGTCTAAAATGTAAACATCTCAAATAGAATTAAAAAAGTTGAGAATACACATGTTGGAATACAAATCTTCAGTTAACTAAATATAAAGCAGGATATTATATACACTAAGTGTGTAAGAATGTAAAATGTGTGAGTTTCAGTCCAGTTAGAAGTTATAGAAGCTACTGTTAACTTTAAGTACTTAACTGTGTATATCTTGTGAAAAGCTCTAATGTGAAGTTCCTCCTCTTCCCCCTCGCTTCCTGTGCAGAGCGTCGACTCTGCGCCCGTAAGTCTCCATCTCACCGGGACTCAGTCAGTTCAGCCTGTAATTCCTTTACTAACATTAATATATAGAGTATATATATAGTTTAATAATAGGCTGATCCTGTGATTACGGCTGTATTTCAACCTGAAAAGCCACTGTTTTGCTGGCTCAGAAAACACATTAAAATTTGAATAATTCAATAAGCTGATAATCAGTAAATCATTAGCTGAACTGACTGACTCGGACCCGCCCACTTTCTTTCCTTCTCTCACCCCATTGGTCGGGTTCAAAGCACGCCGCTGTCATTCATACCCACACTCCACCTCCACGCTCAGATTCACAGTGGTCCCTGAACGCAGCATCCACCGCCTCCTCCACCAACATCCAGCATCCACTCACTGCAGCAGTACTCACACTGTGCTCCTGATACTTCAAAGTACTGAAGATGCATTTAAACGTGATCTTCTAGTCTACTAATTTCTTTACAACACATGGCCTCATTCATGCTTTCACACACACATTCACACACTGCTGTCATAGATTGCTTTGCATCTGCAGAGCGGTTAATACACACTGTCTCTCTCTTTCTGGAGGAGCTCAGTAACACAGCCGCCTTTGTCTGGATCTTCTCCCACTCACATTCTCTCATTTACATTTTCAGTCTTTTTAAATCAGAGAAACACAAAGAACAAGTTCCTGCTGAGGGCACTGAGTCTGCAGAGGTGTCTTCATGATGACTGAAATCATTTCCATACCGTTAGTGAAGACCCACCATTTAAAAAAAGCTGCAAACGTCCAGTATCTGACGGGCATAACGTACTCCACCTTAGCATAGTCCAATAATTCAACATTACAAAAAGGTGGTGTTAATTATATTTAAAGAATATGTAACCCTAACCTGTCCTAAACATTTAATTAAATTGTCTCGTACAGATCCTAATTTTTATATATTTTGAAATGACAATTTGAATAATGTTCCAAAAGGGATGATTTCCTCTTTTGTCGAAAACATATCCCAATTGCAATTCCAGTGAAAAAAATGGCAAATTAGTTGTTTTTTCCCCAAATGGTGCAGCTCTATTTAGCAGACACTTTGCCTCATAAGGATTATTTTCCTCACTGTTCACTCTATCACGTGCACACACCTGGGTTTTATCTGCACAGATCTGTAGACTAGATAAAGGCCATCATTTTTTTTACTGAAGACGACTCCAGGTGGACTTCACGTCATCGCAGGGTCAAAAATCATCTTCATGGTGTCGTCATAACTCAGCAAGAAGAAGTGACGTTTCTGAAATTTGATTCTGACTCACGTGTGTGTGTGTCCATGTGTGTGTGTGTGTCCATGTGTGTGTGTGTGTGTGTCTGTCTTTTCTTTCTGTCCTTTTTTCTTCTATCTGTCTTTCTGCCTATCTTTCTGTGTGTGTCTCTCTCGCTGTGTGTGTGTATGTGTGTGTGTGTGTCCATCCATCCCCAGGCGTCTCAGGCCACCTCCCTCTCGGTCACAGACGAGCTGATCTTCTGTGGTTGTTCTGACGGGACGGTGCGAGCGTTCAGTCCCGTTAGTCTTCACTTCCTGTGCACGCTGCCCCGCCCCCATTGCCTCGGGGCCGACATCGCCAGCATGACGGATGCTAGGTAACACACACACACACACACACACACACACACACACACACACACACACCAACCACACACACACACACACACACCACACACACACACACACACACACACACACACACACACACACACACACACACACACACACACACACACCTGACAGTTATTTAGTTAAGGAATCATTTCCGTCATAATCCTTGTCAATAAAACGTATTCACGGGAGATTCCTAAATAGAAAAACTACATTTTATTGTCTTGCCTTAACGAATAATACCAGATAACTTGTTTAGAGAAGGAACATTTGGAAAGAGATCCAATGAAAAGACACAACTCTTTCCTAAGATCCAACTTCCTTTTTTGGCTGAAAAAAAACAGGCATTATTCTTGTTTTATTTATGAGACTTAGTTAAATAAGTATGTCATTTTAAGATGAAAAAAAAGACAAATTGCCCCCATAGGAATGTCTACGGTGATGAAGTGAATGTATGTCGCTTTTGGATTAGTGACTCAACGAAAATTGGACATTTAAACTGGAAATTAGACCGGTTTTCATGAAGGCAAGGCAAGTTTATTTATATAGCACTTTTCAACACAAGGCAATTCAAAGTGCTTTACAAAAATGAAAGACATTAAGAGCATAAAACACATTATAAACATTAAAAAGTAAAGATAATAAAACATGAATAACACAGGTACATGAATACAAGTTACAGTAAGATGTGAATAGTTCAATTAAAACACATGACCAAATATGTATATATGTTCATTTGAATTCATTCAAGAAGCTAGGAAACAACATTGTGTCTTTTCCTTGGATCTCTTCCCAAAACTGTTAAACTACTGAAGGTCTCATGTCATGGCCGTTTCTACTGATCATAATTCTATTATTGAGGTCTACTAGAATAGATTTACATTGTTCAATGTTCCAAACTCACATTGGTTTCTCACAGCATCTCTGTATAGTCTGTGTATTCACTCTCTGTCCTAAACGGCTTGTTGGAGCTCCTGCCCCCCCCCATGAGCCCACTGTGCTCTGATTGGTCAGCTCGCCCACTCTGTTCTGATGAGTCCACCACCGTTACAGCGGAACATCAGATTATGTGTTACTATGGCGTTTGTTAGCAACCAGAAAATGACACCAGTAAGGACAAACAGATGGGAATGCTGCGTGGGGTCTGGGTGCCGTGTTGGCGGGACGTTGCGGGGCTCGCAGTGTGAGCTGGCTTACTGGTGCGGTTTCCTGGCTGCTGCGTGGGGTCTGCGAGACATCGCAAAACTCAGCCTGAGCACCATGGACGCGGGAAGGGGGGGGTGCTGAGGGGGCTGCAGCACCCCGATCTGCGAGGCTCCACTAGCACCTGCACCCCCCCCCCGCACCCCCAAACGTGGCGCACCTACAGTGTAAGCGTGCCATAGTTTTGCCGCTGCAAGGCTCCACTAGCACCCCCCACCCCAGCACGTTTCGCCGCTGAGAGAGTGTGTGTGTGAGGAGCTCCACGGACCAATGGGTCCATTTGGGTATGGTCACGTCACTCTACCCAGAAAGAAAACGAGAAATCCCCAACGAGGCGTTCTGGGGCAGCACAGACAGGTCTTCTCTGTGTTAGAGTTTTACTCGCTACAGGGTGTACTTTGAGGGTTTGTGACTCTGCAGAAAAACCTTCATAACACACAAGGGGACGGGTAATAAACAGAAAAGCATGACATGGGACCTTTATAATCAGCTGCAATGAAAATATTTATTATTTGTGAGCCCTCTCTCTCTTTATCTCCTCCTCAGTCAGCTGTTCACCTCCCGTCCAGAGGCTCGGTACCCCTGACACGGTAGCCGTGACCTACGACCCTACGAGCCGCTGGCTGTCGTGCGTCTACAACGACCACAGCGTTTACGTTTGGGACGTCCGAGACCTGAAGGACCCTCGCAGGGCGGGGAAACTCTACTCCGCCCTATACCACTCCTCCTGTGTGTGGAGCTTGGAGGTCAGCGTTATTTAAGTTATTTTATTTAAATACAAAGAAGGCACACATTCCTCAGAGGTCAAAGGTCACTGAGCTGAAGTGGTCAAAAAACGGAATTTTCATTTCATTTCAAACCTTTATTTATACAGATAAATCCCATTGAGATCATTGATCTCTTTTTCAAGGGAGACCTGCTCAATGTGGAATGTGTGTAACCGTGTAAAGACACCTGTTTGCTAGGTTTGATAAACGGCCGGTTCTTTATTTAGAACAGTTGAGGACATTTCAACAGATACAGGGAGTAGTAGACATTTGCAATAAGGGAACAGTAAACATTGAAACCCTCCCCAGGAATTACTTCATAATACTCTAGAATTCCACATTATAATAACTATTACATTACATTACATTACATTACAGGTCACTTGTTAGACGCTTTTATCCAAAGAGACTTCAATACTGTATTGACGACATGCTGACCTATCTGGACCTAAGACATTGCTATATAATGGACCTAATCAAAAGATAACAACATATTGATCTGTCGTCTTGAAGCACTTCAGTTGAGACAGCCTCTCTGTGTTCCTCCTGCAGGTGTACCCAGATGGAGTAGGAAAGGGAGGAGATGGAGGGGAGGTGCGTCTCCCCCCCGGGTCGTTCCTCTCCTGCTCCTCAGACAACACCATCCGACTCTGGAACACCGACGGACACAAACTGCTCACCAGGAACATCCTGAGCCACGTAGGAGAACACATCTGTGCTTTCATCTGTCTGTAGAAATGTTAGTGTGATGTTGAATTAGCTGATAGCAGAATCGTCTCTTCTCTTTTTGAGATTTTTCTATTTTTATGCATCATTCTTGTTTTTTTATACTTATTCTGTATTAGTTATTTTCTCACATTCCCCTTTACATCCAGTAGTACTCCAATTTAGATGAACGGTTTCTTTAACAAGGGGTCACAACATGTTTAAGGTCTCAAATCCTACAAATTCAACATGAGAATATGAAAAACTAAAGGTATAGAAATAAAATCAATAATAACACTAAGAACGTAAATAAGGTCTAACAAAGATACAGTAAAAGATGGGTTATATATAAGCTCATATTACAATAATACAGTCCAATATCTTATTGTAATCGTTTTCTTTTCCATAAGTAATATTTGTAAGAGGTACATCTATCATCCTCGTTTTAATAAAGACAAACTGTAAATGAATGCTACCTGACACTCTTTGACCTTTGACCCCTCAGGACCTGCAGAAGGTCATCTACGTGGACGATAACGTCTCCGGCCTTTTGGACCCGGAGAGCGACACGGTGACCGGGAGCAGCTCAGAGAAGACGGGGTCCTCGAGCTCCGAGGGGCCGCAGGCCGACCAGAGCAGGGCGGGCATTAGGACCCTGAGGGTCAGTCCTGACGGGCAGCACCTGGCCTCCGGAGACCGCATGGGGGTCCTCAGGTGAGGGGGGGAGACAGGTGGAGATGTTGAACAAGTTTGAAGCAGCGACTCCCGCTCCTTCAAGGATGATTATCAAAATTAAAATGACAAAAGATAACCCCCAAAACCAGCTCAGTGATCAGCTTCTGTCAATCACCTGAGTAATGGATAAGTAAACTCAGCAGGTTCTGATTATCTGTGTTTTTTATGTGCAAAAGGTCATATTTATTGTTTATTGTATATTTGTTGTAGGATCCATGATCTGGACGGGATGGAGGAGATTTTGAACGTTCAGGCTCACGACTCAGAGATTCTCTGCCTCGAGTTCTCCAAACCAGACACTGGTGAGAGACTACTTTCTACTCTCTGTGTGAATATAAACGCAACACAATACAACATATAGAAACACAGTAAACATCTGGTTTCCTCGTCTTCAAGTCAATGGATTTTGAACATGTTTTTGGTTGTTATCCTGAAATATGGTCTGTGGTTAACACAAGCTGAGGAGATTTTAACGTTGTGTTCTACCACATGAAATATGTCAGTAGCACTGGTGAATTTAAAAACGTTGGTTGCTATCAAGTGTCTAAATGACACGACTAAACGTCATCAGGCCCAACATTAGCCTCCTTTAGCTTAGCGGTGGTGACGTGAAGTCATGTGACCGTGCTGTAGTTCCTTTATAGCCCAACATTAGCCTCCTTTAGCTTAGCGGTGGTGACGTGAAGTCATGTGACCGTGCTGTAGTTCCTTTATAGCCCAACATTAGCCTCCTTTAGCTTAGCAGTGGTGACGTGAAGTCATGTGACCGAGCTGTAGTTCCTTTATAGCCCAACATTAGCCTCCTTTAGCTTAGCGGTGGTGACGTGAAGTCATGTGACCGTGCTGTAGTTCCTTTATAGCCCAACATTAGCCTCCTTTAGCTTAGCAGTGGTGGCTTGAAGTCATGTGACCGTGCTGTAGTTCCTTTATAGCCCAACATTAGCAACCTTTAGCTTAGCGGTGGTGACGTGAAGTCATGTGACCGTGCTGTAGTTCCTTTATAGCCCAACATTAGCCTCCTTTAGCTTAGCGGTGGTGACGTGAAGTCATGTGACCGAGCTGTAGTTCCTTTATAGCCCAACATTAGCCTCCTTTAGCTTAGCGGTGGTGACGTGAAGTCATGTGACCGTGCTGTAGTTCATTTATAGCCCAACATTAGCCTCCTTTAGCTTAGCGGTGGTGACGTGAAGTCATGTGATCGTGCTGTTGTTCCTTTATAGCCCAACATTAACTTCCATGTTTGCGTAAAACAATTCGTCATCACTCTCTAACAGATAAAGGCTGTGCAATAATAGACAGAATAGAAATAGAAAAAAAACACAATCTTGCATTTTATTCATCAGGTTCCCAGGCAAGTAAATAATCAGGAAGGATCTAAAAAGCAATTTATGCCTGCAAGTCAAAATAGTGGGAATATCAGCCTTTCCCATGACCTGCGCCGGCGTGTCCTCTGCCCCTGAGCAAGGCAGTGATCCTGCAGGGAGGATGCACTGAGACTGACCTCCACCTCGCTCTGATGGAGCTTCTGTTGTGGTCTTTGTGTCCATTTGATTCATCCAATCAGAGATAAGACTGCATCATGTGTCACTTTGATCTAAAAAGACCTGTTGTGATCAGAGGATTCACTCATGACGGTGAAGTAAATTGAGGTTGTTTTTTAGTACGTGTGAGAAATTTTAAAGTTAGTACTGACAACAGGAGGAGATTAAACCCTAGTGTTACACATTTATTGCACATTTTGTTGTTTTTTAGGGCTGAATCTGGTTGTTATTTGGATTTAATGATGAGATGTTGTGGAGCAAATAAAACATAAAATCCATTAAATTCATAAAAAGTAACACTAGCATAAAATAAATGGCTTCACATCTCCACCTGAATAACACAACTTGGTGCCAGACCATGAGAGGGAGATAAGATATTATTAAACTATAACTGATCATTTAAATAAGTAAATAAAATGAGCATTTTAGTTTGATAATTGGTTGTCCAAAAACTCTTAATAAGAGTAATGAGGGCTATTTGGTGGGAACTGGCCCTTGTGAAGGTTATAACTATAATGTGAGGGGTAAAATGTTTGTTATAAAGAAATAAAACATGGTATTCTACGTTTCTTTTCCATATAAATTACAATTTATTCATATACATAATTTCAAAAAACATAGGCAGAACACATTAAATGAAATATGGATAAATAAAGGGGGAAAAAGCGTTGAAGATTTTGTTCAAAGTTCAAACTAATTCTCCATACTAGTGGGACTGAAACTTATTTTGGCTGCTTCTGAAACCTTTTATACACACACACACACACACACACACACACACACATACACACACACACACTATAAAACGGGCCTGTAAAACTGTTACTGTTGGATAGTAAAACCTGCAAACTCAACAATAAGACGCATTTCTGTCGACAAAGAAACAGGAACACAGAGAGAGGAATGCTGAGACTCGTAAACACACACACACACACACACACACACACACACACACACACACACACACACACACACACACACACACACACACACACACACACACACACAGTTTAAGAGCAAAGTGCTGAGTGAGAACACGCCAGCTCAGCAATCCGAACACAATGTTAAATCCTCTCAGACTGTAAAGAAAAACACAATCTACGTCTCACACCTTTTTGTATATTTTCTGTCCTTATCTAGCTTTACAAATACATTTGACCTGTTGAGTTCACACAGAAACCTGCAAAGGAGATCTGAAAAAAACGAGGGAGCTATTGTCAAAAAGGGGATGTGGGAGAGAAACTCCCTCTGGAGGAACACAGGGATTTGAGGCTCTGCAGACCATTGACATGCACTAAAACCTACAGAGCCCTACTATCGGTCCAGGGACTACAGATGAAAAAACGCCTCTTGGCTAACTCTGGCACATTTACAGAAATCTTGATTAATGTGCACTGTCCCATTAAAGGTCACCTGTTGTGCAAATCATCTTCTTCATGTCTCTTCTACATCAACATGTGTCCCCTCTTCTCCATGTCTCTTCTACATCAACATGTGTCCCCTCTTCTTCATGTCTCTTCTACATCAACATGTGTCCCCTCTTCTTCATGTCTCTTCTATATCAACATGTGTCCCCTCTTCTTCATGTCTCTTCTACATCAACATGTATCCCCTCTTCTTCATGTCTCTTCTACATCAACATGTGTCCCCTCTTCTTTATGTCTCTTCTACATCAACATGTGTCCCCTCTTCTTCATGTCTCTTCTACATTAACATGTGTCCCCTCTTCTTCATGTCTCTTCTACATCACCATGTGTCCCCTCTTCTTCATGTCTCTTCTACATCAACATGTGTCCCCTCTTCTTCATGTCTCTTCTACATCAACATGTGTCCCCTCTTCTTCATGTCTCTTCTACATCAACATGTGTCCCCTCTTCTTCATGTCTCTTCTACATCAACATGTATCCCCTCTTCTTCATGTCTCTTCTACATCAACATGTGTCCCCTCTTCTTCATGTCTCTTCTACATCAACATGTGTCCCCTCTTCTTCATGTCTCTTCTACATCAACATGTGTCCCCTCTTCTTCATGTCTCTTCTACATCAACATGTGTCCCCTCTTCTTCATGTCTCTTCTACATCAACATGTGGAACGATGTTTTTGTTGGCTTGTGTAACCATTAGCCAATCAGCAACCAAGGTAACCCCCCCCCCCCCTTATCACCTGAACCTCCTCCTAGAGCTCCATTGAGTTCTTTGTAACCAAATGTCTCTCAGAGGGGCGTGGGGAGGGGCTCCTTATTTTCATCTAAAGTAACAGACAGAGAATCAGCACTATTATGGGTAATGCTGCAATTATCTGTTTGGTGTTTCAGCCAATCAGAGACAGGCTCTGTATATATCTGAGACCTGTAATATATTGATGAAAAACAGTATCATAGGCGACCTTTAAGGTTAATGAATACATACAGGAAAGGAAAACCCCCCAAAACATAATAGGATCTTCTTTCATCCCACATTTCCTCTGTGTGTCTCTCAGGTCTCCAGTTGTTAGCCACGGCCAGTCGGGACCGTCTGATCCACATCCTGGACGCGGGCCGGGAGTACAGCCTGGTGCAGACGCTGGACGAACACTCGTCCTCCATCACGGCCGTACGATTCGCCGGTCAGTCACGTGACCTCTGACCCCACATCACAAAACAAAACATTTGTACAAATGAGCCTTTTAGGAAGCAACCTCCTGCTCTCTGTCTGCTGACCTTTCTCAATGCTTTGCGATGCATTCTAACCTGTCATCTGATTGTGTGTTGAATTTGCATTATCCCCCTTTTATTACACAATTTCATCGTTTAATCTAAATGTATTTTTTATATGTCTACTATTTGTTATTTTTATTTGTTTTAATGTCTTTGACTGGTACATGTGTTATCTGTGTGATATCAATGTTCTGTGAAATGTCTATGTGAAGCACCTTGAACTGCACTTACTGTATGAGAGGTGCTATACAACTAAAGATTATTATCACGTTAAAGATGTCTGCTGTTAATGTGTGTCTCCTCTCTGACATCACGCCTTCTTCCTGTCTCTCAGCCAATGAGGGCAAAGTGAGGATGATCAGCTGTGGAGCCGATAAGAGCGTCTACTTCCGCACCGCTCAGCAGGTGAGAGGAGGCAACACGACTTACACAACACACACATATTGGATATATCGAATAAATGAACATATTAAAGAAATAACACGACAAGAAGGAAAGGGGAAATGTATAAGAAGAAAGGACATTTCCAGCTACTTAGTATATGAACTCAAATACTCCACTTCTTTTTGTATCTGTACTTAAGTATTATCCAGTTCTCCTTTTTACTTCTACTCTACTACATCTCAGAGAGAAATCTTGTACAGTGGAACTGATTCTTTAAGTTCCTTTGCAGATATAAATCCCTTTATCAGCTCTCTCCGACCCCTCAAAGCTCTACGAGTCATTCAGCATGCTGGTATATGTAGAAAGATATATCGTCTTATTGGCCGATGGAAACAGTTGGGTTTCAAGTCGGAAGATACGTATAAATAAACATAACATGTCCAACATGAATATGAACAAATGCACATCGTTATTATCTAATAATAAAATCGTGCAATTAATTACCGAGAGTCAAATGTATTAATTATAAGATTAGTTCCTCTGGTGGTCCAATTGTCTTTACATGTGGATGTTCACTTTACTTGTGTGTTTCCGACTAACATTAATAACCCCATTTCTATTCTATTGTATTTGTATTTACTTGCACTATTTATCTGTTGTATTTGTTTTCTGTGTTGCTCTGTTGGAGGAGCCATATCTCCACTGTAGCTGCTGTGCACATGGCAATGAAACCTGGAATTGAATTTCATCTTTTCTTCTTCTGTGGTGTCGCAGCTGGAGGAGGGTCTGCAGTTCACTCGCACTCATCACGTGGTGAGGAAGACGACGCTGTACGACATGGACGTGGAGCCCACCAGGAAGTACGCAGCGGTGGGCTGTCAGGACCGCAGCATCAGGTAACACACACACACACACACACACACACACACACACACACACACACACACACACACACACACACACACACACACACACACATACACACACACACACTCACTAACTCACACACTCACTAACTCACACACTCTCAACCACACCTCACACTCACACACCACACACACACACACACACACACACACACACACACACACACCTGTCTGAGAGTGTGTGTGTGTGTGTGTGTGTGTGTGTGTGAGTGAGAGTGTGTGAGTTAGTGAGTGTGTGGTGTGTGTGTGTGTGTGTGTGTGTGTGTGTGTGGTGTATGTGTGTATGTAGTCTGCAGGCAGGATTATTACCCAGCAGGCACCAGGAGGAAGATTAGGATTAACTCCCATGATCCCGTCTCGTTATTTAATTTCCTCTTTCTCTTCCTTCCTTTACCTCTCTATGTTTCTTCTTTCCTACATTTTTCCTCTGCTTTATTTACATTTATTTTTTCTCCTCTAACCCACTTTTTTGTTCTCTTGGTTTCCTTTTCATTTCCTCTCCTTCCTTTGTTGATTAGAAACAACATCCTTCTGCTTCTTCTCTGTTACCTCGTCACGTTACTCTAAATTAAAGAAATATGATGTGGGAACTCCTTTGCCACGAAAGTCAAAAGCAAATAGTTTCTGCATCTTTTTAATAACCTCCATGTTTATTGACGGTTTTCCAGGTTTGATTTGAATATTTTAAAGTCAGCAGCAGAACTTCAAATTCCCAGAGCAGCACCTGAACGCACCACGAACACAGAGACAGACAGCAGCCGTCATTAAATCATGAATTATTCATCCATTCTGGATCCATAAACAAGGAGTTTAAAATGTATTATTTACATGTTTTATATTAAATATAAATGGTGTCCAGTCTGGCTTTCCTCTCTGTGTTTGATTAGACTGCCACCTGCTGGTCAGAGTGGGGAAATGAGAGAAGAGCGTCCCCATTTGGGCAAGGACAGAACAATTTACAGATAAATAATACAAATAAAATAATTAGAGGTGCATAAACCAATAAAGGAAAACAATTAAACAACATTTAAACTCTAGATGAGCTTTATAATTAAATGGGCCCCCAAAAAACACACCCATTAAAGGTGGGGTAGGTAATTTTGGAGAAACCAGCTCGAGTTATTAGAAAATACACAGCCGGAACAAATCTGCCACTTCCTCACAGAGCCCCTCCTCCAACACACACGAACACGCACATGACCAATGAGGGCGCGAGATGAGTTTGTGCCCAGATGGAAGGCTGACAGGCAGGTAGGCCATCCAGTTACTTTAGCCGGCTCAGAGTGATTGGTCGTGCTTTTCACAGCGCCACGGCTTCCATTGATCATATTTTTTTATGTATTTATTGTCAAAGCACTTAAGATATTCATTGCTATCGGGATGTTAAGAGCATTCCATGGAATATAACAACAAGTGTATCTCGAGCCGGTTTCTCAAACTTACCTACCCCACCTTTAAAGTAAGTTGGAAAGGAATTTGGCTTAAACAATTTGTTCACCTTAATATTGTTTTTATAAATTATTACAGACACACACACTGCAAAATGAAGAATTATTGTGAGACAACTTATTGGACTTGTACTATAACTTTATTATTTTCTGTTCCTCCTCCTCCTCCTCCTCCTCCTCCTCCTCCTCCTCCTCCTCCTCCTCCTCCTCCTCCTCCTCCTCCTCCTCCTCCTCCTCCTCCTCCTCCTCCTCCTGCAGGATCTTCAACATCAGTAACGGTAAACAGAAGAAGATGTATAAAGGCTCTCAGGGCGAGGACGGGACTCTCATTAAGGTAAGGTCACTACGTTTAGCTAACATGTTTTATAGATTATTAATAACAATTTAGCTTCAGGTGTAAACTCACTCCTCCTCCTCTTCATCCTCCTCCTCTTCCTCCTCCTCCTCAGGTGCAGATCGACCCCTCCGGTCTCTACATCGCCACTTCCTGTTCGGATAAGAACATCAGCATATTTGATTTCTACTCCGGAGAGTGTGTGGCCACCATGTTCGGACACTCCGGTCAGTTGTGTGTGTGTGTGTGTGTGTGTGTGTGTGTGTGTGTGTGTGTGTGTGTGTGTGTGTGTGTGTGTGTGTGTGTGTGTGTGTGTGTGTGTGTGTGTGTGTGTGTGTGTTTGAATACATATGTTCTTGTAAGTGTGGCTTTATGAGTGGTTTAGTAAAGTTTTTCACACACATTTTCTTGTTCTGTCCCTCAGAGATAGTGACAGGTCTGAAGTTCACCAGTGACTGCAGACACCTGATCACAGTGTCTGGAGACAGGTACGCCTCAATACACACACATGTTCACTACACAGTAAACTGAGTGTGTGTGTTAACTTCAGACGGATTGATCCTCATGAAAACTGTCTTTATTTTCAATTGTACAAACTAAGCGCTTCACAACATATCATCCATTCAAACATCACGACATGAATCAATGTGATTTCATTGAAAACCTGTGTGTGCGTGTGTGTGTGTGTGTGTGTGTGTGCGTGTGTGTGTGCGTGTGTGTGTGTGCGTGTGTGTGTGTGTGTGTGTGCGTGTGTGTGTGTGTGTGTGTGTGTGTGTGTGTGCAGCTGTATCTTCGTGTGGCGTCTTTGTCCAGAGTTAACCATCAGGATGAGGCAGCGACTCGCCGACCTCCGACCTCCCAGCAGTGTTCCGATCTCCCAGAATGCACCTCAGCAGAAAGTGGCGAACCTCGGGTAAATGTTTGGCTTGTTTCACAGCTGCTGGTCATTTAAAAAAACACTAACCTCCATCGCGGAATACGAAAACTAGTCATAGCACAGCATTTAAATATAAAAGTCATAGTATAGTATGTCGAAAAAGTGTTTTTATTCTTAATTAAACATAATTGCCATCAAAACTCTTTAAGTTAGGAGGAGGAAGGACATATATATTATTTATAAAATACATTTTGTTATGATATGTTTGTGTTTGCAGCAGGGAGGCGCCGTCTCCTCGAGTCGTCACCATGTCGTCTGACAGCGATAAGGAGGAGGAAGAGGAGGATGAGGAAGAGCGTGGCGTTCCTTATAAAGTCACAGCAGGGTGCCTGGAGGAAGAGGAGGAGACAGGTGTGTTTATATGCTAAGTAACACAAGATAACATCTCCAAAAAATAATATGGAGTATAAACCTTAAAGGTCCCATGTCACGGCCATTTCCACTGATCATAACTCCATTGTTGAGGTCGACTAGAATAGATTTATATTGTGCAATTTTCCAAACTCACATTGGTTTCTCAAACGGCATCTCTGTAAACTACGTGTATTCACTGAATTTCACTCTCTGCCTTTAACGGCTCGTTGTAGCTCCAATAGCTCCAGCCCCCACCCTCCCTGTGAGCACAGTGTGCTCTGATTGGTCGGGACGTTGTGAATCGCGCTGAGCTCCGTGGAGGTGTTGTTTCCTTGTTTAGCGATACACAGCCAAACTCATCCTGAGCACACACAAAGTCACAGCCGAAGTAAAAACAATAAGTGTGGCTTGATATTGAGAAAGAAAAAGGTTGATAAACGCTGTGAGAATGGGTCTGCAGAGAGAATGGGTCTGCAGAGAGAATGGGTCTGCAGAGAGAATGGGTCTGCAGAGAGAATGGGTCTGCAGAGAGAATGGGTCTGCAGAGAGAGGGTCTGGAGAGAATGGGTCTGCAGAGAGAATGGGTCTGCAGAGAGAATGGGTCTGCAGAGAGAATGGGTCTGCAGAGAGAATGGGTCTGTAGAGAGAATGGGTCTGCAGAGAGAACGGGTCTGCAGAGAGAGGGTCTGCAGAGAGAATGGGTCTGCAGAGAGAATGGGTCTGCAGAGAGAATGGGTCTGCAGAGAGAATGGTCTGCAGAGAATGGGTCTGCAGAGAGAATGGGTCTGCAGAGAGAATGGGTCTGTAGAGAGAATGGGTCTGCAGAGAGAACGGGTCTGCAGAGAGAATGGGTCTGCAGAGAGAATGGGTCTGCAGAGAGAATGGGTCTGCAGAGAGAACGGGTCTGCAGAGAGATGGGTCTGCAGAGAGAACGGGTCTGCAGAGAGAATGGGTCTGCAGAGAGAACGGGTCTGCAGAGAGAACGGGTCTGCAGAGAGATGGGTCTGCAGAGAGAATGGGTCTGCAGAGAGAACGGGTCTGCAGAGAGAATGGGTCTGCAGAGAGAATGGGTCTGCAGAGAGAATGGGTCTGCAGAGAGAATGGGTCTGTAGAGAGAATGGGTCTGCAGAGAGAATGGGTCTGTAGAGAGAATGGGTCTGCAGAGAGAATGGGTCTGTAGAGAGAATGGGTCTGCAGAGAGAATGGGTCTGCAGAGAGAATGGGTCTGCAGAGAGAATGGGTCTGCAGAGAGAATGGGTCTGTAGAGAGAATGGGTCTGCAGAGAGAATGGGTCTGCAGAGAGAATGGGTCTGTAGAGAGAATGGGTCTGCAGAGAGAATGGGTCTGCAGAGAGAATGGGTCTGTAGAGAGAATGGGTCTGCAGAGAGAATGGGTCTGCAGAGAGAACGGGTCTGTAGAGAATGGGTCTGTAGAGAGAATGGGTCTGCAGAGAGAATGGGTCTGTAGAGAGAATGGGTCTGCAGAGAATGGGTCTGCAGAGAAGGGTCTGCAGAGAGAATGGGTCTGCAGAGAGAATGGGTCTGTAGAGAGAATGGGTCTGGAGAGAATGGGTCTGCAGAGAGAATGGGTCTGTAGAGAGAATGGGTCTGCAGAGAGAATGGGTCTGCAGAGAAGGGTCTGCAGAGAGAATGGGTCTGCAGAGAGAATGGGTCTGCAGAGAGAATGGGTCTGTAGAGAGAATGGGTCTGTAGAGAGAACGGGTCTGCAGAGAGAACGGGTCTGCAGAGAGAATGGGTCTGCAGAGAGAACGGGTCTGTAGAGAATGGGTCTGTAGAGAGAATGGGTCTGCAGAGAGAACGGGTCTGCAGAGAGAATGGGTCTGCAGAGAGAACGGGTCTGCAGAGAGAATGGGTCTGTAGAGAGAACGGGTCTGTAGAGAGAACGGGTCTGTAGTGAGAATGGGTCTGCAGAGAGAACGGGTCTGTAGTGAGAATGGGTCTGCAGAGAGAATGGGTCTGCAGAGAGAATTTCGCCGCGATCCCAACTGTCTGTTATCAGCCTGCAGCAGGGAGGAGAAATCATGTGTGTGTGTGAGGAAGTCCGTGGATTGGTTAATTTGGACCAATCAGCCTGGTCATAGCTCTGGGCGTGGCTACTGGGTATCCCTACGTAGCGATACCCAGGAAGTAAACAATGGAAAAAGAGAAATCTCCAAGGAGGCGTTCTGGGGCAGCACAGACAGGTCTTCTCTGTGTTAGAGTTTTACTCGCTACAGGGTGTACTTTGAGGGTTTGTGACTCTGCAGACCGTTACATGCAGAAAAACCTTCATAACACAAGGGGACGGGTAAGAACCAGAAAAGCATGACATGGGACCTTTAATACAATTAAATGTGTTGATCATCCAAAAGTGTATTAATAAAAAACTATCTAAAGAATTAAAAAGAAAAATGCATCTGGTTGGTGTAAGGAAGAGAACCAACTCAAATGATGGAACATTAAGAGTTTTAAAGATTGTATGTGATGAACAGGTATAATGGTGTTTTCCCTGCAGAAATGTCCGATGAGCAGTTTGACTCGCAGCGCGGCAGAGACAGCAAGGTCAGTGCAACATTAGATATTTACAGTCTTTAATATTTCTTATTCTCAAAGTGTGTATGCACTAAAAACGGAAGTCTGAGGTGTAAACATTAGTGTTGGAATCAGTTAGCAAGTTAGCATGCTGCTTACTAGTGTGTACTGATGTATTTTACAACAAAACCCTTGTGAAGTGAAAACAACTTAATTTCTGTGCATAAATGATACATTTTATCTCTCTAATTAATGCATTTTTGGGCAAGCATTCATAAAATGTTGGCATTTTAAAGACTTCACCTATTATGCAGAATCCACTTCTTCATGTCTCTTCTACATCAACATGTGTCCCCTCTTCTTCATGTCTCTTCTACATCAACATGTGTCCCCTCTTCTTCATGTCTCTTCTACATCAACATGTGTCCCCTCTTCTTCATGTCTCTTCTACATCAACATGTGGTCCCCTCTTCTTCATGTCTCTTCTACATCAACATGTGTCCCCTCTTCTTCATGTCTCTTCTACATCAACATGTGTCCCCTCTTCTTCATGTCTCTTCTATATCAACATGTGTCCCCTCTTCTTCATGTCTCTTCTACATCAACATGTGTCCCCTCTCCTTCATGTCTCTTCTACATCAACATGTGTCCCCTCTTCTTCATGTCTCTTCTACATCAACATGTGTCCCCTCTTCTTCATGTCTCTTCTACATCAACATGTGTCCCCTCTTCTTCATGTCTCTTCTACATCAACATGTGTCCCCTCTTCTTCATGTCTCTTCTACATCAACATGTGTCCCCTCTTCTTCATGTCTCTTCTACATCAACATGTGTCCTCTCTTCTTCATGTCTCTTCTACATCAACATGTGTCCCCTCTTCTTCATGTCTCTTCTATATCAACATGTGTCCCCTCTTCTTCATGTCTCTTCTACATCAACATGTGTCCCCTCTTCTTCATGTCTCTTCTACATCAACATGTGTCCCCTCTCCTTCATGTCTCTTCTACATCAACATGTGTCCCCTCTCTTCATGTCTCTTCTACATCAACATGTGTCCCTCTTCTTCATGTCTCTTCGACATCAACATGTGTCCCTCTTCTTCATGTCTCTTCGACATCAACATGTGTCCCCTCTTCTTCATGTCTCTTCGACATCAACATGTGTCCCCTCTCCTTCATGTCTCTTCTACATCAACATGTGTCCCCTCTTCTTCATGTCTCTTCGACATCAACATGTGTCCCCTCTTCTTCATGTCTCTTCGACATCAACATGTGTCCCCTCTTCTTCATGTCTCTTCGACATCAACATGTGTCCCCTCTTCTTCATGTCTCTTCTACATCAACATGTGTCCCCTCTTCTTCATGTCCTCTTCTACATCAAACATGTGTCCCCTCTTCTTCATGTCTCTTCTACATCAACATGTGTCCCCTCTTCTTCATGTCTCTTCTACATCAACATGTGTCCCTCTTCTTCATGTCTCTTCTACATCAACATGTGTCCCCTCGTGTGAAAGAGACTCTGAAAGTTTCAGGAACAAAGATTCTCTCTCTTTTTGATCCATTTCTATAAAAACCTGTCTGAAAATGAGCTGATCAGATTTTGGTCACTTGATGATGTCATAACGATGTTTTGTCTTGTGTAACCATTAGCCAATCAGCAACCAGGTAACCCCCCCCCCCCCCCCCCCCCCCCCCCTTATCACCTGAATCTCCTCCTAGAGCACCATTGAGTTCTTTGTAACCAAATCTCTCTCAGAGGGGCGTGGGGAGGGGCTCCTTATTTTCATCTAAAGTAACAGACAGAGAATCAGCACTTGGAAACAGGGCTGAAACAGAGGGGATTATGGGTAATCAGAGACAGGTTCTGTATATATCTGAGACCTGGGATATATTGATGAAGAACAGTATAATAGGGGACCTTTGAGATCACAGCATTGTTTCAGTAGAAATGTCCCTCAGTGTTCTCTGTATTTGGGGTTCTTCAGGAGGATTGTGGGAGTCGCCTCCCTCGCCGGCGCTGGTCCCGCAGGACGGTGGGAGACGGGGTCCTGATGGTGAAGTCCATGCTGGACCTGAGGCTGCTGGACTCGTTCTGCCCCGAGAAACAGGAGCAGGAGGAGGTGAGGAGGGCACTCACACAAACATATTAACACAAATGAAACCTGATTAAAGGAATACTCTCCCTGTGTTACCTCCACGAAAACGTTGTTGTTTTTCACATGCCTCTACTTAAAGCCTATAAAGTAAAACAAGGTGCTTATCGGTATACATAACTTTAGTTTTAGGGCAAAGTATTCCTTTATGTAAACACCACATTTTGGGATGAAATAAGAGTTAACCTGACCGTTTGTCTGTGTAACCCAGGGGAAGACGCGCCCTCTGGATGTTAGCCCCTCCCCCTGCACTAAGAGGCGGAGCCCAGGTGTGGAGGCGGGGCTTCACAGGGCCAATCAGGAGCTGGGGAGCACCGTCAGTCTGCAGGTCCCGTCTGCATGGGTGAGAACAGGCAATATCTAACTTTAAGATTTACTTACAAGCTTCTTCTGGGGCTAGTCACGTAACAGGAAGAAAGGCATTATTGTGATATCTTGTTTCATTAGTTACTTCATCACTTCATCACTTCTTTTTTTTGGTATTATTATTTACATTTTTGTTCTATTTTATCTTTATTTTTACCTTGTCTGAATCCTGTTTTTCACTCTGACCCTGTTGCTGCTATAAACGCCTGAATTTACCCAAGGGGATAAATAAAGTTCCATCTTATCTTAAAACATTTAATCACAAGTATCTCCGCTGCATGCTCAGATTAATGACCTTGTGTGTCATTCTGTCTGTGAAGGCTGAGGGCAGTGAGGCAAGGACCAATCAGAGGCCAGACTTTATCCAGCTGTCCAATCAGAGCCCAGACATGGAGGCTGTGGTTCTGTATCCCGACCAATGGGAGGACAGAGTGAGCCTGGCAGGAAGGTAGGAATGTTTCCTGATTTCATCCTCAGCACACTTTTACAAATCACATACTTTGTACTTTTAGTATCTACTGCAGCTGCCCTTATAAAGTAGATACTGTTGCATGCTGGGACCTCATTCCTCACAGTAACCCTGTCAGAGGATTGTTAGTCTGAAAAAAGCCAAACATGCATGCTGACTTGCTTGCACGTGCACAAATGTGACAGGATACAGTTGGACATCCTGGTATTTTTAGCATACAGCATTTGAAATTGTATGTATTGGGAGAAAACAATATATCATTTTCGGATGTTTTAAAAGTTTTGTAGTATGAGTATTGGAACGTACACATTAAAGGTCACCTATTATGCAAAATCCACTTCTTCATGTCTCTTCTACATCACCCCCCCCCCCCCTCTTATCACCTGAATCTCCTCCTAGAGCACCATTGAGTTCTTTGTAACCAAATCTCTCTCAGAGGGGCGTGGGGAGGGGCTCCTTATTTTCATCTAAAGTAACAGACAGAGAATCAGCACTTTGGAAACAGGGCTAAAACAGAGGGGATTATGGGTAATGCTGCAATGATCTGTTTGGTGTTTCAGCCAATCAGAGACATGCTCTGTATATATCTGAGACCTGTGATATATTGATGAAAAACAGTATAATAGGGGACCTTTAAAGTAAGCCCCGCCTCTTCCTGTCAGTGAGTTCCAGGTGAAGGAGGCGTGTCCTGCAGGTGAACGTCAGGACAAACCCAGTCCAGACAGCGGCTGCTCGTTGGGATTCAGCTCCAGACTGTCCAGTCCTGTGAGACCGGCAGGAGACGGTGAGACAGAGAGACACAGAAACAAATCTTTAATTATGGCTAACAATGGTTTCCTCTTGGCTGAGGTAGGAACGTTGATGTATTGCTAACAGTGCACTGAAAACAGATTTAGCGGAAAAAAATATGATTTTACACATTAGAAAAAGCAGATATTTAAATCCAGTGCACCATTTTATCTGTTCTATTGTGTTGCTCTGTTGGAGGAGCTCAGATTTTCATTGACACATCTACACCGTAGCTCACATGACAATAAAAGCCTTGAATCTTGAATCAGTGCTCTACATTGTTTTAAGCTTTGACTGCTGCTCTTTTAATAAGTTCATCTTAGGTCAGGATCTGCTGGTGAATTGCACTTAATGTGTTTATCAACTCCTAATAACCGCATAATCATTTATTTTATTTTTATTATCATACATTTGACCTCCTTGTGTCTATGAACCTGATCAAATGTAATATTTTGCTGCATGTACCTTTTAAAGTTCTTAACAAACAATCTGAGGGGAATTTCTTATTGTTAGTTTTTAACTTGTGATGTGTCCCTTTGTAAAGCACTTTGAGCTGCATGTGTTGTATTAAAAGTGCTGTATAAATAAAGCTTTATTATAATGGTAGTGGATGGCAACAAGCATTACTTTTCTTTAAATACCATTAAATTCTCAATACATTTGGATGGAAACCTGGCCAGACATACAAAGATACAATACAGACATTTCCTTTTCCTGTCACTTACCTGATGTAATCGTTCTCATTCCGTCTTTTTCCTTCGTGTCCTCTCTCAGATTCCGAGCCCACGGAGCCTCTCAGTATGGATGGAAACTCCTCTGAGATGGAGATGGATGAGGATGAAGAGGAGGGAGGAAGAAGAAGAGGAGAAGAACAGCTCAAGGCCTCTCAGGTCGTCCCTCAGACTCCAGACCAGGAAACTTTCCTGAAGGAAAACTTTGGGACACTGGCCAACCTCTCAGGCTTAGGTAAATCAGGAAACAACTCCACGAACCACACAAAACATTAACCCTGTCAGCACCTTATTTACTTTAGACTTTAGACTTGAACTTGTAATGGTCTCGAAGGACTTTAGACCTGGACTTGTGGTTGTCTTGAAGATTTTAGACTTTATTGAATATTGACTTAATTGTTTAGAAGGACTTTGGACTTGTAATTGTAATTGTCTCAAAGGACTTTAGTCTTGAACTTCTGATTGTCTTGAAGGACTTACAGTAAGACGGTGTTTACACGAGAACGAAATGGGTTGTATCTGCTACTTTTCTCTCGCATATAGCCCGTTCGTTCACACGAGGCCATAACGGAACCGCGGAAACGGACCCCGCAAACGATAACGGGTCCCAAGGTGGATAGACCTGCAACCGGAACGCTCTGGGGGGCCAAACGGCTCTGTGTGTACGCCCTATACGATCATTTCCTGATAACGATGAAGCCATAGCCCCGCCTCTCCACACCTCAGCTGCTCATTGATGTAGCATGGTCAGTAGCTACTGTCATTAGCTCCTGCTACTGCTACTGACCATGCTACAGATGTTAGTGCAACATCTACAGCTCCTCTACCACAACCATCAGCAACAAGTGGACATGGAGAACTACATGAACTACATGTTGCTAAATCCACCGCGGGGCATGAACAGAAGGGCAACCATGGCAACCATGCTCGGGGGTCTTCTTCGCTGCTTTTGGTGTATTTTGTGGCGAAAGTACAGCGCCACTTACAGGCCCGGCATATGTACTACAGCGTTTCCAGTGGTCTCGTGTGAACGGACACGTTAAATGAGCCAAATGCGTGTGAACAGAAGACTTTTTTGAAAACGAATTTGGTGCGTAAACGTTACCGTGTAAATGGGGTCTAAGACTCAGACTTGTATTTATAATTGTTTTGGCCCTTAAGACTTGGGTTGAAGACTTTCCTTTGACTCGACATGTGATGAACTTTGATCGTTGTAGTCCTGACAGAGCTGAACTTTAACGGACAGGAAGCCAAGATTGTGATGTTTTCTGGTGTCTTAAAACAGATGGATAAAAGGATATTTGGTGGATTAAAACATGTTAACTGTGTTTTCCGTAGGGAGTCCCAGCAGGGCGTCTCACAGCTCCAGTGAGAGCCTCAGCATCTCCTCCAGGTTCCTCTCCCAGAATCCAGCTGGAAGGTAAAGCTGAAAGACGGTTGATCAAAAAAACATCTGGTTCTTCGTCTGGTCTGTTGTGTTTCTGATGAAAAGTCTTTTGTCTCCCTCTCAGCCGGACTGTGCTTCCTCTCCCATCTCGAGGAGGAGGATCGGAGGCGAAAGCCCGTCCTCTGGTCTCAGAAGTCCGACCTTTAATGGAGGAGAACCGGACCCAGGACAAGAAGTTATCATGGAACCAGGAGCAGAACCAGAACCACAATCAGGACCAAACCTTTTCAACTAAGGACCAGAAACAGAACCTCAATCAGGACCAAACCTTTTCAACTAAGGACCAGAAACAGAACCTCAATCAGGACCAAACGCAGGACAACATCCAGCCGGGTAAAGATCAGCTCCAGAACCGGGTCGAGCAGGAGATCTCTTCAAACCAGAGACCCTCACCACAGAAGAAGAAGGTCCAGACCTCGGGGGAGTGCCGGAGGAACCTCGGCCCGACAGCCAGAGCCACCGTCTCTCATCTGAACTCCTCATCTGGACTCAGGAAGGCTCAGTCGGTCCAGAGTCTGCTCACCGACACAGGTCTCACCCTGATATAAGACACAATAACTTCAGAAGTGACACTGCAGTGAGATATCAGGTCTTGTTTTTAGACAATGCATCATCTTGTTAAGTCAAAAATCTTATTTTGAGTTGTATCTCAGATGATACATATTTATTACATATTTATTAGAAAATCACCAGCTAGCATCAGAACACAGCTTATTTTCTAACGCAACATTTCCTGATTCTGGTAAAATATAGTAAAATAAGTTTTCTCCCAGATATTTACAAGATCTGATTTATCTAAATATCCCATCTTCAAGCAACATGTGAGTCAGTGACCTCTACAATAAATGGAGGGCAGCAGAACTCACCTAATCTTGAGGAACAGAGAGAATGCCAGAGAACTGGAACACAAGCTAAGCTACTTCTGTACAAGACATATTTTAGCTTTAGCCACCATTTTATCTCTGCCTTGATCGGTTATTGTTTTTCTGTTTTTGCGTGATGTTGGTATTTTGAAGGGGTAGTTCCACTTTGCCTTAGTAACACATTAACAAATTAACAATTAAAAGCAGCGGCAACTTTTGTGCTCAGGGAGGGGATATGACTGCTTGTGTCAATGGAGTCTGGTAGCTTTGAAAAGAGCATAGATGAGAGATTCATTCCCCCTTTGGAAAGAACTGTCTTACAGCGACAGGGAAAATATTCTTAATATTGCGTACAATTTAAAAGTAACTAAAATAATTGTTGCTTTAGCCAGCCGGTTCCGGCCTTAAAGGTCCCTTATTATACTGTCCACAGAGGGGACACATGTTGATGTAGAAGAGACATGAAGAAGAGGGGACACATGTTGATGTAGAAGAGACATGAAGAAGAGGGGACACATGTTGATGTAGAAGAGACATGAAGAAGAGGATTTTGCATAATAGGTAACCTTTATTAAGGATATAAATAACACTCCTTCTCCCTCTCTCTCTTCAGGTGACTCCCCCCTCTCCCCCTGCAGAGACCTCCCCCCTCTGAAGCTTCTCCCCCTCCAGCGTCCCACCACCCTCCCTTCCTCCCCCAGACGTCCTCCATCTTTACCCTCCACCCTCCAGAGACCCAACCCCACCTCCCCTAAATCCCCCAAATCCCCTCATCAGGAACACGCCCCCACCTCCTTCTCCTCCTTCACTCCAGCTCCTTCTCCCTTTCCTTCTGCCTTCGCCACCCCGAGGAAATCCTCATCCCCCGCCCCCTCCTCCTCTTCCTCCTCCTCTGTGTTGACGTCTCGCTCCTACATGAGTCCGACCACCAGCTCCATGGCGAAAATGTCTCGCTCCATTTCTATCGGCGATGGCCTCAACGTCCCTGAAAATGGCGATGAAGACCCCTCAGTAACTTCCTCTTCCTCCTCTTCTCAAATCAAAGACACTCCTCCTCTTCCTCCTCCTCTTCTTGTTGCCGTGGTTCCCTCAAACGCAGCTTTGGCCACGCCTCCTCACGCCGCCGTCGTTCCCGTCGTCGCCTCCTCGTCTCTGGGTAACCAAATGAAAATCAAATCAAACTTTATTTGTATAACCCAATATCACAAAACAACCATTTGTCTCAGTGGGATTTACAGATTAAAAACAAACAACAACAACAACAACAACAACAACAACAACAACAACATTGTATATGATGGAGTTACAGCAAAATTAGAAGAAAAGATAGTGTGTGGAATACAAATAGAAATAAAACAAAATAAGATTCAACAAAAGACAATAAAAATACATGAAACATTCAAATGAATTACCATAACAATAAAATAAAATGAATACCATAAAATGCCAGCTCTACTTGAAGGCTTTGTTAAAAACGTAGCTGTGGCAATTACAGTCATCTCATGTGGTCGTGCCCTAGGGCTGCTCAATTCATCGTATTTTAATCGCAATTACGATTTTGGCTTGCAACGATTATGAAATCAACATAATCGAAATAAAACGATTATATATTTTGTATTGGTCTTTCAGTTGAATTATACTTAAAGTTCAGGGTAATCAACTGTTAAAAACATACTGTTAAAACATTTTTGTTCAATAAATGGATGTTTTCAAAGTAAATGGATAATCGTTTTTATTAATCGTGATATCAATTATTGACCCAAATAATCGAGCAGTCCTACCTAAAATGATACTGTATCTTTTTGGGAGTCAATGCAAACTGAGATCAGAAAAGTGTTTGGCATAGATTTACCTTTTAACTTATGTAACCGTGTCCTCGGATCAGATTTAAATCACGAACGTAGACATTATAGGTTTTGCTCTGAATGCAGCATTACTCACAATCCTCCAGAAATGGTTGGATGAAGATCCGCCTAATCTTTTGTTATGGTTTGAAAAACTGATCCTGGAGCAGCTGTCACACAGCGGCGAGGACCTCTGGATGAGTTTAGAGACTAGTGTCCAATTGCACCGAACATGAAGGAAGAATGGTCAAGGGTTCTAACTGTGGGCTTAAAGATAACATGATAAACTCACACATGAGTACTCGGTTGCTACTGTTGCTGTTTGTGTCGTTGTTTGATGTTATTGTTTTGTGAGTTCTATTAGGTTTGGTTCTGTTGTCCCTAATGTTTTTTTGTATTGTATGCATTAGGGATGGGAACGATGAATCGAATATTCGAAATTATTCAGGTTTTCGAATGAGTTATGAATATTAATATATATCTTCTTTTTTTTTGGGAGGGGTGCCTAAGTTGATTACATATGATCAAATGGAATAATTCAATGTATACGACAGTGCCATAGCTAAGTGTGTCAGGTCTAAAGGTGTGCTTTGCTCCGCTCACCGGTCCCTCACAGCGGGCAGAGCTGCAGGTGCTGATCTCTCTCTAGCGTCCGGTTATACTTCACTCGCGTTTATGTCCAAATCCATCAGATCTAGTTAGTTCTAGCTAATGATACGGCTGCTGCCCCTCCCTACTCGCAGATCACGCAGACTCAAACCTCATCTTATGCCCACATTCCAGCTGAGAGGGTCTTCTCTACAGCTGGCCTGATTTTGAATCGCCTCTCCCCTGAGTAGACATGCTCATATTCTTAAACAAGAATGAGTATTGAATAGCTGCATTCTGTGCATAGGCCCTGTTATAGGTTGTTGATCTCTGTTGTCACGGGTTACGTTACCCTAACCCGTTATGTTGTTCGTGTTTGATCCCTCTTTCATTTAAAAACCAAGTTATGTTTTAAGCATGAAAGCTGTAGGCCTATAGCTGTCAGCTGCTCAAACTGTGATCACCAGTTCAATACATTTGACACATTCGACTTGGTTTCTATAATTATTTGAACATGTATTTATTTATTTTTCAAAATTAATTAATTATTATTATTTTTTTGTAAATATTTTTCCCACATTTTCTTTGTTGTACATTTCATTTCGGTTGACTGTTTTTTTGGGGGTTGAATAGTCGAATATATATTTGCTTTCAAATTCCCATCCCTAGTATGTATACAAATATTGAAAGAGAAAAATGTAGGTCTTCAACGCACTCTTTAAAGTTCGTATACACTCTCTTTCTCTCTGATTAACACAGGAGCCCCTCCTCCCTCTCGGGGTCTCCAGGCTCGAGTCCCAGGAGGCAGCAGACCCTTACCGGACAAGCCTTCGCTGGCCATCTTATCTTCCTCCTTGTCTTCTTCCTCGTCTTCCTCCTCGTCTTCCTCGTCGCGGCCTCCTCCCGTCTCCGTCTCCCCGCTGACTCCTCTCCCTTCGACACAGCAGGAGGCGGAGCTTCAGACTCCAGGAAGCAGCAGCGTGGAGCCGAGAGATGACGAAGGTTTGGACTCTCATCCTCTTCCTCCTTTAACCCCTCACCTTCATCCTCCTCCACCTCATCATCTTCCTCCTCATCACTCTCCTCCTTTCATCCTACGTCTGAGCTCCACCCCTCACCTTCATCCTCCTCTTCATCACTCTTCCTCTCGTTCTGTACGGACGGGTGAGACGTGTCCACTTTTTCTTCCACTGCATTTCACTTTTCTTTTTCACTCCCTCTATACATATTTAACCTTCAAGCACATCTACTTCTCTGTATTCAGATCAGCCAATCAGTGTGGAGACCTGCAGAGCTCTGACCAATGAGCTGCAGAGCTGCTTCAAGAGAGCCACACACCTGTACAGGAAGGTGAGTCTGTCATTCAAGCTGTTTTTCAGAGTCAAAGTTTACTTTCAGCTGAGGGAAGGCTATTTGCAAACTCAAGTTATTGTCACCATGTTTGGTCTATAGCAGGGGTTCCCAACCTGGGGGGGGGGGGGGCGCCAAAGATCGCAGGGGGGCGCCAGGCAATACATGATTGTCACTAAAAGCCTTGTCTCTACATTACAATAAAATATAAAAAATAATTGATTAATTAATTTGAATAAAAATTCAAGTTAGTATTAAAGGCATAAAAAGACAGAAATGTATAATTCTTTCTTTAATATAAATGTTTCTTCTGCCCGTAAAGTGTCCAAACCAGGCTTTTCTGGATAAGCGCATTTTTTAAAACACAGTCATTGTCCATGCCGGTTTCAGTTGGATTATTTGTCACAGTTGCTCCGATCAGATCGGTCTCTTTTGAATCCACATAAACACATCGGCAAAATCCGGCTTACTTTGAGCATGTGTTTTAAACAGTTTAATCCCTTCGTGAATTGTTTCCACTTCCGCCGTCCTTTAATTTCTTCATACAGCGGGAATCCAAATGAATTAATCCTGAGTCCAATAACCATCAAAGTCACTCCAATAGTGCTCCTTAATTACGCTTTCGTCCTCCTTTAACAAAATACTTCACATTCATCCAGTTTGTGACAGTAGTTGTAGCATTTTTGAGACTTTTTGGGAACCCCTGGTCTATAGGATTTGCCCGATGGAAAATAAAGCTTTGAATGTCTGTACTATTTTATGATGTAATAAATAAAAAAATCAATAAAAGAGAGAATAATCCTCAAACAAAACCCTGAAATCGAATAAAGTTATTAATTGGGTTAAATTAGTTTTATCTTATTTAAATCCACATTCTTCAATGACCTGCAACTCCAGAATTCTTTTTTCGATGACTTAAAAAAACCAATCCTACTCGATTTTAGTTCTGCATATATTATTATGTTCACTCTTGATTCTCACCTGTCTCTCTCTCTCTCTCTCCTCCAGGTGAGAGGCTCCTCCTGCGATGGCCCCGCCCCCCACCAGCAGCAGATGGCCGTCGTCCTATCAGAAGCCTTCCAGACCATGAGGGCGGAGCTTGACTGTCTGCCGCTCGCCGCCCCAGCGGTAGAGGGGGGCGTTGGGGGGGAAAAGATGGCTGCTCTGCTGGAGGAATATTCTCTTCTGCTGCTGCAGGCCGTGAACAGGAGGATCAACAACTGAACACTACTCTTCATCGCCTACTCTTCATCATCTTCTCTACCTCTTCTTCCTAATACTTGTTCCCCTTTTTCTTCCATCTTTCTTTCCCTATTTTCTGCTTCCTCTCTTCCTCTATGGGTGCGTCTCACTTCGGTTATTTTTCATTTCCTCGTTCCTCGGGCTCGGTCTCACCGGAAGTTGATTTGTCTGCGCCATCTTGAGTACCATCCCAGTGGCCTTATTTGTGCCGGAGGATCGAGGAGTGATAACGGAGGAACGATAATCGAGGAACCACCAGACCATCCTCCAGTGAAATCCTCAGACACTCGCCCCGCCCCCTTACTGTGTATCGCTCACTGATTGGACGATGCAGCGCATGCACTGATCTGGCTGCTGTCAGACGATCAGCTGTGCGGCGTCATCACAAACGGACGTCGCTTCACGTGACGCTCCGGAGGAAACGACATCCCATTGCTCTTAAAACTCATTTCCCTGCTTCTCGTGGTTTCCTTGCGTCTCCCCTTGCTTCCCTGGTCGGAGGGACTAGTCGCAGGGAAACGACGCAAGTGAGGGACGCAAGGAATCCATTTAACCGAAGTGAGATGCACCTTCTGTCTCCTACTTCTCTTCCCTTAGTCTTCCTCCTCCTTTACCCCCTACTTCCTCATCCTCCTCATCCTCACAGATGACTGATCTGAAGACATTTAGCTTTTCGCTCAACTTGTATTCCTTGTATTATTATTTTTCTCTCATTTCTTTGCCTCTTCTTTATTTATTCATTTATTTAACAGGGACAGTGCACGTTAATCAAAGATTTTGTAAGTCAACCGAAAGACACATTTCATTTTAAACAAGTAAATACAATCAAATAAAAACATGCAACATACAGTGCTGGAAATCTACTAATAACAGAACAATAAAACAAAACAACTTCATCGATTCTTCCTCACTTTCCCATTTCCTCTCCTCCATCTTCTAATCGTCTTTCTCTCTGCTCTTCCTCTTCCCCTTACCTCCTCGTCGTCACAGATGAAGGATCTGAAGCCATTTTGTTTTTCGTCTGGACTTTTTATTCCTTTTTTATTGGTATGCAAGAATCTCTCTGGTCTTAAAGGACACGTCGAATCACTTTAAAGTTTTTTAGAAACTGACGTTTTTATCAAGTTGTTTTTTAAAGACATTTCTGCGACTGAATCGTGGACATTTTTCCTTTTTCATTCCCATCGTTTGGATTATTGTTGTAGAAACATTGATGTTAGACTGTAGAGACTTTTCAAAGGAGCAAACAGCAATATGAGATGTTTTTTATCACAGTTTGATGTATATTTTCTTTCCTGAATTCACTTGAACCTTAAACGCTGAATTCAAGTACGATTTATAGTTTGTATTTATTGTGTTGATGTTACATCTTACCTGTCAGACTGCTGAACACTGACTGGCTCTTTATTCTTCTCACACTGACCACCATGTTTTTCCAAAATCATGGATTTTTTAAAATTGTTGTTAGAGAAACACTTTTAGGGCTTGTTGGGTTTACATTTGGGGTCAAATTGTTGTGAAACTTTTTCACTAACATAAAAACAAACAGGTCAAATGTTTTTTTGTCAATATGTAATAAAAGTTTGAGACTTATTAAGAGGTTTGTGTTTTTATGAAGGTTAACTTTTGTTATTACACGGCTTAGTCAAATACTTGATTCTGATTGGTCGACAGACAGGAAGTAAACACTAAAGGGAACAGCAGAAGAAGACAAACAGGAAGTAAACAATAAAGGGAACAGCAGAAGAAGACAAACAGGAAGTAAACACTAAAGGGAACAGCAGAAGACAGACAGGAAGTCAACAATAGAGGGAACAGCAGAAGAAGACGGGAAGTAAACACTAAAGGGAACAACAGAATAAAACAGACAGGAAGTCAACACTAAAGGGAACAGCAGAAGAAGACAAGAAGTAAACACTAAAGGGAACAGCAGAATAAAACAGACAGGAAGTCAACACTAAAGGGAACAGCAGAAGAAGAGAGACAGGAAGTCAACACTAAAGGGAATTTAAAGGTCCCATGTCGTGCTTTTCTGGTTATTACCCGTCCCCTTGTGTTATGTAGCTTTTTCTGCATGTAACGGTCTGCAGTCACAAACCCTCAAAGTACACCCCGTAGCGAGTACAACTCTAACACAGAGAAGACCTGTCTGTGCTGCCCCAGAACGCCTCGTTGGAGATTTATCTTTTTCAATTTTTTTCTTCCAGAAACCAAGTGACGTAACGACGACCCCTCCGTGGATTGGTCCAAATGGACCAATCCGCGGAGCCGTTACGTTAAGTCCGTGGATTGGTCCAAATGGAGGCGAGGCTGTGAGTCGGTGTGTGAGCACACACACAAACTCCCAGCCAGGCTGCGGGTGTGTGTGTGTGTGTGTGGGGGGGGGGGGGCAGGAGCTCCAATAAGCCGTTTAGGACAGAGAGTGAATACACACACTATACAGAGATGCTATATGAGAAACCTATGAGATTTTGGAAAATTGCACAATATAAATCTATTTGAGTAGACCTCAACAATGGAATTATGATCAGTAGAAATGGCCATGACATGGGACCTTTAAGTGGGGATCCACATTTGGGGAAAGATTGAGGTGAAACTAACTTTTTCCCTATTAAACAAACAGGTAAAAGTAAAAAAAAAAAAAAGACTAATTAAAAAATTGCTGTGTTTATGAACTTTTATTAGCTTCATAAATGTAACATGATTATTTTCCTGGGATCTTCAGAAGTTAGTCCATCCTTGTTGCAACCATAGGAAGTATCTACCAAAATAAAAAGTCCAGTCTTCCAGCTTCGGTGAAGTACCTGAAAGGATAGTTTATTTCCTGAGAAGATGTCTCACTCGTACCCTGATCCTGGATCGGTTCTGTCAGAGTGGGAACAGCAGGAAGCCGGAGAAGATGTCTCACTCGTACCATGCTCGTACCCTGATCCTGGGTCTGTTCTGTCAGAGGGGGAACAGCAGGAAGTCGGAGAAGATGTCTCACTCGTACCCTGATCCTGGGTCTGTTCTGTCAGAGGGGAAACAGCAGGAAGCCGGAGAAGATGTCTCACTCGTACCCTGATCCTGGGTCTGTTCTGTCAGAGGGGAAACAGCAGGAAGTCGGAGAAGATGTCTCACTCGTACCCTGATCCTGGGTCTGTTTTGTCAGAGGGGGAACAGCAGGAAGCCGGAGAAGATGCTGAAGTTTCGGGAGTCGTCGTAGAGTCGGTAGCTCGCCGGCAGACTGAGGCGAACGATGTCTCCTTCGTCCAGCTGCAGAGCGATGCCATTGGACGTTGAAGCGTAGCCACCATGGTCGTTCAGCTCCAGGTTGAAGATGATTGGCCGGTTGTTTTTGTACAGGTAGAGACCCATGTAACCCTTCAGGTAATCTGCAGCCGTGAAGCTGAAGAAGTAAAGTCCTCTGACCGGAGCCGTAAACACACCTGAGAAACAAAGCAGTTTGACGTTAACACACAGTTTTAGATGTTCCGTATTCCTTTAAGCTTTATTGTACATGTTCTATCAGGATCAGGGTCTGAAGACTTTTCTTTTTGTACCTTTGTTATTCATGTTTTATTATCTCTGCTTTTTTTAATGCCATTTTATAATATCCTTCTTTATGCTCTTAATGTCTTTCATTTCTGTAAAGCACTTTGAATTGCCTTGTGTTGAAAGATGCTATATAAATAAACTTGCCTTTAAGGACTTAAACCTTCGGTGAGGCAGCTTTAGATATTTACATTATTAAAATACCTTATTGTATTTCAGTTTAAAATTGAATTCTCTCTTCAATTGTTATTTTAAAGGTCTCTATTTATTGTATTTTAGTCGAACATTTTATTTGATGTTTTATTGTTATTTCAAGTTTTTTTCTTTTACTATAAATTGTATTACTACATTATTTTTGTCTTATCGGTTACTTTGTCTTATATTAGGCTTGTCAGTCATCAGTGAACTCTAGTAACCTGTGTGAAAGGTGCTGTACAAATAAAGTTTGAAGCTCTGAACCACAGACTGTATAGAAATTAACATTTGTTGTTCTTTACATAACGATCAGGTCTTTAAAGCGATGTGGTTTACCTGCTGTCTGGTTGTAGGCCTGGCCGATGTTGGTGATTGTTTTCGAGAAAATCAGCGTCCTCTCCTCGTTGAAAGGTCCGACTGATCCTGAATCAGTCAAACCGGCTGAGAACGCCACCTTCAGCTCACCTGGAGGAAGAAAAATCAATGATAAAATGATTTTCATAACAACATCATCAATTATAGAAAAAACAAGGCATTTGTTTTAGAATTGGTCAAACTTTTTACATCCAAAATGACTTAAGGGAGGGTGTGGATCAGTGGGTTAGTGCGCTGATCCTCAAATCAGATGATAGCAAGTTCGAGACCCACTGCAGTCAGCATGTCGTTGTGTCCCTGAGACAACCCAAATTGCTCCTGTGGGGATTGCCCACAGTACTGAATGTATGTAAGTCGCTTTGGATAAAAGCGTCTAACAAGTGACATGTAATGCAGTGGCGAACCGTCAGGGCCTTCAAGGTATTCAGAGAATACCCTGAAACACTCAGATAAAACAAACAAAAAATCGATTTAATTATATAAATAAAATGAATAAATGAGAATGGTATCTGTGTTGTTAATCTGTAATATTACAGTGTTACGTTGATTTGTTTGTCCTTCTCGGACCATGCACTACGCATTTCAGTGGTTTTGTGTTAGAAAAGAAAGCAACCAATCAGATCTCGTTCTGGGTCTCTGGGTAGAATATCCTTCACCAAGGTATTCTACATCCTTGATCGAATGCCCTGGCCGTTGCACTGAATGAGAGCGTACGTTTGGACTGACAGTTTGATCAACCAATCATATATTGATTTGTAGCCAATGGGCGTGTTCTTCCAGAGTTCCCCTCGGTTCCAGGTGCTCTAGAAGGCCCGCTAGTTAACTGGCTCGAGATAGAGGATCCAGATGAATGCGACGAAGCAATTCATGCCGTTTTATTGTTTTTAACGTTGAAATGGCAAGTGCAACAGGTGAAGATGAAGTTGTTCCGGAATTGTTGTGAGTACCATTTTCAAGACGACAATTCAGTGAAAAGACGGACATTATAATGCCGCGGCGGGAGGGGGGGCGGGGGGGTGTACAGTATGTGTCTACAGAAGGTCCAGTTGTGATAGACACGGTTCGCCACTGATGTAATGTAATAATGTAATATAATGTAACTTAATAATGAATAGCTTAATCTTTCTTAATTGTTTCATAACGTTGATATTTACTAGTTAAAACCAAGGATAAATATTTGGTTGTGAAGAAGTTGAGTCCAAACCTGAGTTGGTGTTTCTGAGCTGATGTAGACTGTCATCAGTTTCATTCAGTCTGAAGCTAAAATCTGAAAATCAGAAAACAGTTAGAGGGACAAAGAGTTAGACAAAACACAGCAAAATGATAGTATACTTATTTTTAGATTTGTTTTGCTTGATAACAGTAGGAGTCCTGAAGTTTTTCTGTATGTCAACTACTTGATTCAGTCGAAGTATGTGATTGCCAAACCATGAATACAAATTTCAACTTCACAAAATCTGATTTATTTCAAGTTAGTTTGACATGTTACCTGTGTTTTCTGTCTTCAGATCTTCCAGCAGTTTCTCATTGACGCTCAGTCTGACCTCCAACCCTAAAGAAACAAACGTTTGGGTTCATTATGTTTATACAGGAGTTCCTCAGGGAAAAGTGTTGGGTCCTCTGCAGTTTCACTTTTATTAATCACTTAATGGTTCTCTTTCTTTTTAGCAAAAATATATTGACTCCACTCCAACGTGAATCTGTATGAATGTAATAGTTACCTGTGTTTTCTGTCTTCAGATCTTCCAGCTGTTTCTCACCGACACCCAGTCTGACCTCCAACTCTAAAGATAAACACAGTGAATATCCGATTAATTAATAACTAAGAAAACAAAACTTGTGTTAATGAAAAGTAAATATAACTCTACCTGAGGTGCCGTTGTGTCTGTCCGTCAGTCTGGACTCCATCAAGGAAAGTTGAACAGACAGAACTGAAAATACAAATTAAAATCATAAGCACATTTCTTTTCTGGTTCAAACTTATTTTTCTTGTTCTAACTAAATGTAATTTTGTCAATAAATTAAAACAGGTTTCAAATCACAAACTAGTTTCCAGCATTCTAATATCTAATAATGATGAATGATGTAAGTAAATTACCTGAACTTTCAGTCTGGATCTTCATCACCCGACTGCCAGCCTCAGTTAGCCGTGTCTCTAAGACTGAAAAAAAGTTAAATCTAGCAGTTTTATTCTCACTGTTAAAGTTTTGCTGTTAATAGATATAAATATTTACCTTTAGTTTCATTTCTCAGAGCAGAGAGGTCAAAGCTGTGAGCTGAAACAGGTTAAAATAACTCATTATCTTATGTTGATAGCACACACATCTAAAAAAAGATTTAGCATAAGGATGATGTTACCTTCAGTCTCCATTACAGCTGCTGATAGTCTGTCTGAAACAGAAAAACACACAAGAGGTCACATTATAAAATAAGAATAAAAAACAAATATATGTATATGATATATCTGAGGTCACCTGTGTTATGTGTCCTCAGCTCTTCTACCTGCCCCTCATCGACGTTCAGTCTCAGATTTAAACCTGACAGCTCAACTGGATGGACAGAAATACGTTTTTAACTTTTTATTCAAACTGATATCCACACAGACAACACATACTTCAAAAATATGTAATACTATGCAACACTTGCACATCTATTGGCTAGCTCTCCAACACATTGTAGGTGATAGGCTAAGGGGCGGGACATCTCTAAGCGGTTGACCAATCACAACAGAGCCGGCCAGCTAACCAATCAGAGCAGACTGGGCTCTGGTTTCAGACAGAGGGTGAAGAGAGGTGCTGCAGCACAGGCAGTATGAGAACAATAAAACCTGAACATCAGCAGGAGAGGACTCTTTAAAGTAGAGACACTACATACTGATATACACCTGAACATCAGCAGGAGAGGACTCTTTAAAGTAGAGACACTACATACTGATATACACCTGAACATCAGCAGGAGAGGACTCTTTAAAGTAGAGACACTACTGATATACACCTGAACATCAGCAGGAGAGGACTCTTTAAAGTAGAGACACTACTGATATACACCTGAACATCAGCAGGAGAGGACTCTTTAAAATAGAGACACTACATACTGATATACACCTGAACATCAGCAGGAGAGGACTCTTTAAAGTAGAGACATTACATACTGATATACACCTGAACATCAGCAGGAGAGGACTCTTTAAAGTAGAGACACAACATTCTGATATACACCTGAACATCAGCAGGAGAGGACTCTTTAAAATAGAGACACTACATACTGATATACACCTGAACATCAGCAGGAGAGGACTCTTTAAAGTAGAGACACTACGTACTGATATACACCTGAACACCAGCAGGAGAGGACTCTTTAAAGTAGAGACACTACATACTGATATACACCTGAACATCAGCAGGAGAGGACTCTTTAAAGTAGAGACACTACTGATATACACCTGAACATCAGCAGGAGAGGACTCTTTAAAATAGAGACACTACATACTGATATACACCTGAACATCAGCAGGAGAGGACTCTTTAAAGTAGAGACACTACATACTGATATACACCTGAACATCAGCAGGAGAGGACTCTTTAAAGTAGAGACATTACATACTGATATACACCTGAACATCAGCAGGAGAGGACTCTTTAAAGTAGAGACACAACATTCTGATATACACCTGAACATCAGCAGGAGAGGACTCTTTAAAATAGAGACACTACATACTGATATACACCTGAACATCAGCAGGAGAGGACTCTTTAAAGTAGAGACACTACGTACTGATATACACCTGAACACCAGCAGGAGAGGACTCTTTAAAGTAGAGACACTACATACTGATATACACCTGAACATCAGCAGGAGATGACTCTTTAAAGTAGAGACACTACGTACTGATATACACCTGAACACCAGCAGGAGAGGACTCTTTAAAGTAGAGACACTACATACTGATATACACCTGAACATCAGCTGGAGAGGACTCTTTAAAGTAGAGACACTACATACTGATATACACCTGAACATCAGCAGGAGAGGACTCTTTAAAGTAGAGACACTACATACTGATATACACCTGAACATCAGCAGGAGAGGACTCTTTAAAGTAGAGACACTACATACTGATATACACCTGAACATCAGCAGGAGAGGACTCTTTAAAGTAGAGACACTACATACTGATATACACCTGAACATCAGCAGGAGAGGACTCTTTAAAGTAGAGACACTACATACTGATATACACCTGAACATCAGCAGGAGAGGACTCTTTAAAGTAGAGACACTACATACTGATATACACCTGAACATCAGCAGGAGAGGACTCTTTAAAGTAGAGACACTACATACTGATATACACCTGAACATCAGCAGGAGAGGACTCTTTAAAGTAGAGACACTACATACTGATATACACCTGAACATCAGCAGGAGAGGACTCTTTAAAGTAGAGACACTACATACTGATATACACCTGAACATCAGCAGGAGAGGACTCTTTAAAGTAGAGACACTACATACTGATATACACCTGAACATCAGCAGGAGAGGACTCTTTAAAGTAGAGACACTACATACTGATATACACCTGAACATCAGCAGGAGAGGACTCTTTAAAGTAGAGACACTACGTACTGATATACACCTGAACATCAGCAGGAGAGGACTCTTTAAAGTAGAGACACTACATACTGATATACACCTGAACATCAGCAGGAGAGGACTCTTTAAAGTAGAGACACTACATACTGATATACACCTGAACATCAGCAGGAGAGGACTCTTTAAAGTAGAGACACTACATACTGATATACACCTGAACATCAGCAGGAGAGGACTCTTTAAAGTAGAGACACTACATACTGATATACACCTGAACATCAGCAGGAGAGGACTCTTTAAAGTAGAGACACTACATACTGATATACACCTGAACATCAGCAGGAGAGGACTCTTTAAAGTAGAGACACTACATACTGATATACACCTGAAAATGAGCAGAATATGTCCTCTTTAGATAACATCAGATATTCGTCGATACCCACCACCATCCACTTTACCTCATATATATTGGTTATATCCAAAGCTCTTGGGTTTCTGGAGTTCCATATTCAGAGTTTCTACTAAAATATCTGAAAAACTTATATAATCAAACCCTCGAACAGCGCTTTTCTGTATTCAAACTGAAGATAACCTTTTACCAAACCAATCAGAATGCTTAAAAATAAGTTATTAGGAAGCTAGTTGGATAGTACAACAAAACAAGAACGTTATTTATTAAAACTAAAACTTACATTGAAGAGTTGATGATGTTACCTGCAGTGTGGTTTTCCAGCTGTCGCAGCTTCGTCTCCGTGGATCTCAGTCTCCCCTCCAGAGCTGCAGAACAAAACATTTATATGTATACCTATAATTAGGCTAAGTTTCAACTCGTCAGTAACTTAATGATCACGAGAAATATGAATGTAAATATATCTACCTGTACTCTTGTAGTGGTCGTCTATCAGTTTGTTCTTTATGTAGAAAAGTTGACCAGAGTGAACTGAAAACACATAATCAGTTCAAAAACAGTTCAAAAGAAATACATTTTACGATAATAAATCTGCATTTTTGTAGGTTATATAATGTATATCTTAAACAACATATGAATAAACAGTGATATATAATTATAGGTTAAGATATCCAGCAGCAGTATATCAAGTAAAGGTTGCTCCACTTTTAACAGCTGTGATGAACACATTAAGTAAACAAAATGAAAGAATCCAGTAATTCAATAAGATTCTAAAATGGGACCACAGTAAGTACTTTTACTTTTGGTACTTTAACTATTTTCTTATCCCAATACGTCTCAGTTTATGCTACTTTATACTTCAACTCCACTATATTTTAGAAGACAGTACTTTGTACTCAACTGCATTTATTTGACAGCTTTTAGTTACTAGTTAGATATAGATGAATAGATCATTCAAAACATAAATCAATTATTAATTACACTTTGACAGATATCTCTAGGTTAGAATATCCAACAGCCGGATATAAAGTTATTACAATGAGCTCTACATGTGCTAACTGTGATAAAACACATCAATAATCATTATAGTAACCCAGTAACTCAATATATATATATAAATTCTGAAAAGGGTCATAATAAGGAGTCCTTTTACTTTTGGTACTTTTAAGTATATTTTGATACCAATGCTTTTGTACTTTTACTTGTAACAGAGTATTTTTTGCACTGTAGTATTTCTACTTTTGCTTTAGTAGAATATCTGAGTACTTCTTACACCACTGCCACCCTGAGTGTGGAGCCGTGTGCTACGAAAGCCTGAATTCAAAACAAATATTTTACAGCTGATGACTGTTTTCAAATGCAGAGCAGGTTGTGAGCGAGGCTCCGTTTGTAAATGAGGACACAGTTCAGAGCGTCTGCTCGTCCTCCTGGAATGAGTCAGAGTTTGATGAGCCCTCGCTCTTCTTCCTGCTCTCAGACACAGCCAGCTCCACTCTGTATTTCCTGGCTCCTCCCCTTCAGATCCACACTGAGGAGGAGGAGGGGTGTAACCAACATGTGGGTAAAGCACAAGAGCTGATAGGCCACATGCACTGCTCACACACATCCTGTTCAGATCACAGCTCACATAGTTTCAGTTCTCAGGAAGTGAAACTCAGACACTCGCTGCTACTGAGAGGTGAAATGGCGCAGAGAGGAGTTCAGCTGGACCGGGAAACCTTCTCTTGTTCCATCTGTCTGGATCTACTGAAGGATCCGGTGGCGACTCCCTGTGGACACAGCTACTGTATGAAGTGTATTAAAGGCTTCTGGGACGGAGAGGATGAGAAGAAGATCCACAGCTGCCCTCAGTGCAGGCAGAGCTTCACACCGAGGCCTGTCCTGCTGAAAAACACCATGTTAGCAGCTTTAGTGGAGGAGCTGAAGAAGACTGGACTCCAAGCTGCTCCTGCTGATCTCTGCTATGCCGGAGCTGAAGATGTGGCCTGTGATGTCTGCACTGGGAGGAAACTGAGAGCCTGTAAGTCCTGCCTCGTGTGTCTGGCCTCTTACTGTGACCAACACCTCCAGCCTCATTATGACGCAGCTCCATTAAAGAAACACAAGCTGGTGGAGCCCTCCAAGAAGCTCCAGGAGAACATCTGCTCTCGTCACGACGAGGTGATGAAGCTGTTCTGCCGCACTGATCAGCAGTGTATCTGTTATATCTGCTCTGTGGACGAACACAAAGGCCACGACACGGTGTCAGCTGCAGCAGAGAGGACTGAGAGGCAGAGAGAGCTGGAGGGGAGTCGACTCAACATCCAGCAGAGGATCCAGGACGGAGAGAAGGAGGTGAAGCTGCTTCAGCAGGAGGTGCAGGCCGTCAATGGCTCTGCTGATAAAGCAGTGGAGGACAGTGAGAAGACGTTCACTGAGCTGATCCGTCTCATGGAGAAGAGAAGCTCTGATGTGAAGCAGCAGCTCAGATCCCAGCAGAAGAGAGAAGTGAGTCGAGTCAGAGAGCTTCAGGAGAAGCTGGAGCAGGAGATCTCTGAGCTGAAGAGGAGAGACGCTGAGCTGAAGCTGCTGTCTCACACAGAGGATCACAACCAGTTCCTGCTCAGCTTCCCCTCCTCACTGCCAGCCCTCAGTGAAGCTACACACTCCTCCAGCATCAACATCCGTCCTCTGAGCTACTTTGAGGACGTGACGGCGGCCCTGTCAGCAGTCAGAGACAAACTACAGGACGTCCTGAGAGAGGAATGGACAAACGTCTCACCGACTGAAGTGGATGTTTTACTGTCAGCAGCAGAGCCCACCACCAGAGCTGGGTTCTTACAATATTCACAGGAGATCACTCTGGATCCAAACACAGCACACACACAGCTGTTATTATCTGAGGGGGGCAGAAAAGCAACATTCATGAAACAACCACAGTCTTATTCCAGTCACCGAGACAGATTCACTGGATGTGCTCAGGTCCTGAGTAGAGAGGGTCTGACTGGACGTTGTTACTGGGAGGTGGAGTGGAGAGGGAGAGCAGTTCGTGTTGCAGTCGCAGACAAGAATGTCAGCAGAGCAGGGGGTGGAAGTGGATTTGGAAACAATAACAAATCTTGGGCGTTAATTTGTAGCGAAAACAGTTATTCCTTTTGTTACAACATTATCATCACTCCCGTCTCAGGTCCTCAGTCCTCCAGAGTAGGAGTGTACCTGGATCACAGAGCAGGTGTTCTGTCCTTCTACAGCGTCTCTGAAACCATGACTCTCCTCCACAGAGTGCAGACCACATTCACTCAGCCGCTACATGCTGGAGTTTGGCCTATTGATCATGGAGCCACAGCTGAGTTTTGTAAACTGAAATAGCCTGAAGTCATTTGAGGAACTCTTCTACTTCTTAAACTCACTGTGTGTCCATCATTGTTGCTGAGAGCTGATTGTTCATCACTGCACAGAGATCATCTGTCAATCAAACATTATGGGACGTGCTTTAACATCTTCTCACGAGTTGTACTGTAGATGTTGGAGTTTCTTTAGGCGGCGCTCCTTCCTGTGTCTGTTTGGCCATGGAGGCTGTCACTGCTCAGGAGGGTTTCTGTTCACCTCAACTCATATTTCTTTGCATAGAAATGTAAACTTTGCTCTAAATATTTGTTGAATATCGATATTGATGTATTTGTATGTTGTTTCTCTTGTAAAGCATGAGTCTTAAGAGAGAAAGCACCAGAGCTTCTTTCATTGTAGATATTTTATTCTAAAGGCCTTTTTTTTTACTTAGTCTCAAAGTGTCGAATGCATAAATGACAGTTTGGAAAGGAAATAAAACTAATATAAAGAAAAGTCATAAAAGCTAACAGGTTGAGTTTGTAATAAATTGTGTTTCTATTTTCAAGATGTGAGATGAGTGCCACATTTACATGTCTGTAAAAAATGTAATATTTGGGGGTTTTCTTGTTAATAAAAGAGCTAAGAGGAACACAAGTGAAAATCTCAGTCTTTTGTTTTTTTTATTATAAAAATATCTCTAAATTCTTGTTCTGAAACAAGATATTTAATTTTTTTAAGTATTGTATTTATCTGTAGGTTAAGAAAATTTCAATAAATTCAGATGTTCTAATTTTTGTTCAGAAAAACGTGAACCTCAGCTCAGTGATTCTCAAATGGGGGTACGCGGACCCCCAGGGGTACGTTGGGGTACGTGAGAAAGAAAAAAAAAAGGTTAATTCAATAAAAATACCATGCATGATTACAAAAATATTCATAGTACAATAAGTTAAATAGAAAACACAATTTTATATAAAATATTCCTAGAACCACCAAGGGTTCAAGATCCGTTCTTGTGCTTTTCCGGTGCTTAACTGGTTCTTCTCTGTTTTGACAAGTGTGTGGTCACGTCCTAGTCACTTTGCTCAGCGCTACTGCTTGTTAGTTTTATTTGCCGTACTCGCCATTAACTGTTATTGCTCAAGTTAATCTCGCCCCCCCTCCGGTCAGGGGATAACCTTTATATGTTTGAGGTTCCCAATAATTTGTTAATAAAGGAGTTCCTCAGGGATCCATGATGGGTTCTTTAAAGTTCCAGTCTGAAAACTCTTTTCATTTTCTTATAGCTATAAAAATTACTCTGCACCAAAACATTTTAATACTTTGTAAGAATGTCATAGTTAATATATTTATATTGTAGTATTTATTTTTATAAACCTACAGTTTAGTTAGTTTTAACTTCAGAGTGTTACCTGTGTTTTCTATCTTTCGATCTTCCAGCTGTTTCTCACTGACACCCAGTCTGAGCCCCAACTCTGAAGACAACAATAGTAAAAATCTGATTCATTAATAACTAATTATAATTTGTGTGAATTCATTTTGTCATTTTATTATAGCTCTACCTGTAGTGTTGGTGTAGATGTCTGTCAATCTGGAACCAATTAAGGAACGTTGAACAGACTGAACTGAAAAAACACAAAACGAATCAGAAACAAAAAATGTGTTATGGCTGGCGTACAAATGTAAGAGCCCACAACAGAAACACAAACATTTGTACCCCTCAAAACATAAAGAAGTGGGTTAAATCATTTGTACATATAAAAAGCTGATATATACAGCATAATTCAGTCAGTTAAAAAGTCAAATAAAGGAGTTCCTCAGGGAACCTTAGTTGATCCTCTACAGCAGCGGTTCCCAACCTTTTTCAACTCAGGGCCCACTTAAGAATCAAAAATGTTTTTGCAGCCCACATTCAACCATAAACAATACAGAGGCTAAATAAAGTTCTGATTGGTCAATTCAGAACATGTGACACGTTGTAAATCCAGTAGAACAGACCGCTGTCAAGGACTGTAATGACCGTTGCTAAGGACTGTAATGACCGTTGCTAAGGAGGATCAAGAAAGAGAAAGGAAAAGAGGTTCAAATAAAAAAGAACTTAATAATGGAAATGTTTCCACACAAATCATAATGTTTTGCAAATTATTTGGGGGCAAATATTGAATTTACATTTACACACTTTCATATTTTATGTGGGCTTTTAGATGAAGACCGCACACAGTTAATAAATACAACTAGTCTTCTGGCTAAAATACATATTTATAAAAGTCAATTAAGGAGTAATCTTAATTTAAGGTGTTTGAAGAGTAGATTAAAAATACAATTTATTTTGGAAAAAATGATTGCCACAGAAAATCAAGGGGTGGCTTTTAAAAAAAAATTCAATTAAAAGATTACAAATTAAAATTATTTGGCGGCCCACTTGCAATGCCTTCGCGGACCACTAGGGGGCCGCGGCCCACAGGTTGGGAACCGCTGCAGTTTCAATGTAAAAAAATTAGAGTGTTACCTGTGTTTTCTGTCTTCAGATCTTCCAGCTGTTTCTCACCGACATCCAGTCTGACCTCCAGAGCTGAAGAGTAAAATAATTCATTTATTCAATGATTTAATAAATAATTACTCAAAAAGGTTATATTAAAGAGTTGATGATGTTACCTGCAGTTTGCTGCTCCAGCTGTGTTTCAGTGGATCTCAGTTTGACCTCCAAATCTGCAAAACAAAATGATATATTTATATTTATAAATTACATTCGTGCATGATTAGCTGATAAGTATTACTTAAAATAAGCAAGTCAATATTACTCTACATGTAGTGTTGTTGTGACTTTCTGTCAGACTGGAATTTATCAAGGAAAGTTGAACCGACTGAATTAAAAATGCAATATCAGAACAAAGAAATGTCAACGTGTTTTACACATATAGTAATAATACATTGAAATACATCTACAGATAGTTTAAAACCTTCAGTTTTACCTGTGTTTTGTGTTTTCAAATCTTCCAGCTGTTCCTCATTGGCACTCAGTCTGACCTCCAGCTCTAAAGAGAAGCACAGAAAATATCCTAATCGTTAATATAAAAAATAACACTTGTTTTAATGAAAATAACAATGTCTGATGGACATATCGCATGTACTAAAAACATCCTTTGTTCATGCACTTTTATGTAAAAAGAAACACAATTTAAATACACATTATAGGATATATTTTAATTCACATTGTCTATTTGCGACTGAAGATTTCTCCTAAATATACAAAAACTTAAATATCGCCTCATTTGTATATTTTAACATAACATATCAGAAAACCTGCAATAAGAAAACATATGAATAGACACAACAACAACAATTTTTATGGTGACATCAATTAGTTCCCTCCCATTAACATATAATAAAATATAATTATACATTCATATAAAACTTCAGTATGTTACCTGTCTTCAGACCTTCCAGTACTTTCACACCGGCTCCCAGTTTGACCTCCAACTCTGAAGAGAAAACAGTAAATATCTGATTAGTTTATATAATTTATGACCGAATCCTTGATGAAAATATTTAAGTAAATCCAACTCAACCTGTAGTGTTGTTGTTGATGTCGGTCAGCCTGGACTCCATCAATGAAAATCGAAAAGACTGAACTGAAAACACAAAGTAAAATCAGAAACAAACAAAAAGTTACCTCTTTCTTTTTTACAAAGAAGCCCTTTGAGGAATTACACTTAATAACACCAAGGAACACAAACCAGAAGGACAACAAATGTATTTTAATATAAAAACGTTTAACCATCAGTATTATAAATATCTAAAGCATATAACTCCTGTCATTTAAAAAGTCATAAAGGTTCCTTAACATCAGCAGGAGAGGACTCTTTAAAGTAGAGACACTACATACTGATATACACCTTAACATCAGCAGGAGAGGACTCTTTAAAGTAGAGACACTACATACTGATATACACCTGAACATCAGCAGGAGAGGACTCTTTAAAGTAGAGACACTACATACTGATATACACCTGAACATCAGCAGGAGAGGACTCTTTAAAGTAGAGACACTACATACTGATATACACCTGAACATCAGCAGGAGAGGACTCTTTAAAGTAGAGACACTACATACTGATATACACCTTAACATCAGCAGGAGAGGACTCTTTAAAGTAGAGACACTACATACTGATATACACCTGAACATCAGCAGGAGAGGACTCTTTAAAGTAGAGACACTACATACTGATATACACCTGAACATCAGCAGGAGAGGACTCTTTAAAGTAGATTCACTACATACTGATATACACCTTAACATCAGCAGGAGAGGACTCTTTAAAGTAGAGACACTACATACTGATATACACCTGAACATCAGCAGGAGAGGACTCTTTAAAGTAGAGACACTACATACTGATATACACCTGAACATCAGCAGGAGAGGACTCTTTAAAGTAGAGACACTACATACTGATATACACCTGATCATCAGCAGGAGAGGACTCTTTAAAGTAGAGACACTACATACTGATATACACCTGAACATCAGCAGGAGAGGACTCTTTAAAGTAGAGACACTACATACTGATATACACCTTAACATCAGCAGGAGAGGACTCTTTAAAGTAGACACTACATACTGATATACACCTGAACATCAGCAGGAGAGGACTCTTTAAAGTAGAGACACTACATACTGATATACACCTGGACATCAGCAGGAGAGGACTCTTTAAAGTAGAGACACTACATACTGATATACACCTGAACATCAGCAGGAGAGAACTCTTTAAAGTAGAGACACTACATACTGATATACACCTGAACATCAGCAGGAGAGGACTCTTTAAAAACATCAGGATGATAAAAGAGTTTCTTAGGGAAACTTTCTTGATCCTGCTAAGTTTCAGTTTGAGATAAATTACATGAGTTGAGATCAAATAAATAAATAAATGTTACCTGTGTTTTCTGTCATTAGATCCTCCAGATGTTTCTCACTGACACCCAGTCTGACCTCACGAGCTGAACATGAAAACCATTCATGTTTAATTTAAAGGTTTTCAATTTGTATTGTTAAAGTGTTTTGAAGAGCTTACCTTCACTGTGTTTCTCCAGCTGCTCCAGTTGTGTCTCAGTAATTGTAAGTCTGACTTTCAGAGCTGATAAACAATTGAATGTTATTCAATTATATTTTTACTGAGTCTGGATTTAAAGTGTAAATGATAAAGTTAATACAACTATAACTCTACCTGTAGTGTTGGTTTGACTTTCTGTCAGTCTTGACTCCATCAGGGAAAGTTGAACAGACTGAACTGAAAACACAAAATCAAACCAACAACAAATCTTGTTAAATTCTTTCAATAATCTGTATTCAACAAGAACGATCAGAGTTCATCCATCATATAAATTGTGTGGATCCTAAATGTCAGTGTGAAGATTTATGTTGAGGTTTTTACCTGTGTTTTCTGTGTTCAGATCATCCAGCTGTTTCTCAGTGACTCCCAGTCTAACCTCCAGAGCTGAACAGCAAACCATTCAAGTTTAATTCAATGGTTTGATTAGTGATTATTTAACGTTTTATTGAAGGGTTAATGATATTACCTGCAGTTTGCTGCTCCAGTTGTTTCTCAGTGGATCTCATCTTGACATCCAGAGCTGATAAACAATCAGATGTTATTCATTTATTTATTTACTGAGTCTGGAGGTAAACTCTTCAGTAAAGTCAAGATAAGTGTTAATACAAACGGTTATGTACATCTAACTCTACCTGTTGTGTCTTTTTCACCTTCTGTTAGTCTCGACTCCATCAAGGAAAGTTGAACGGATTGACCTGAAAACACAAAATCATAAGAAACAAATATATATCTATCTAATTATATGTTGTAATTTGTATTACTCAATACAAGAGGTTTATACATATGTTCAGAGGTTCAGCAAATACTGTGAAGAACCCCAATGTGTTTTTACAAAACCATAATGTTTCATTCTTGCTGATGAAGGAGTTCCTCAGGGAACGGTGTTGGGTCCTCTACAGTTTCAGTCTGAAGATATATATTAAACGTTTTACCTGTGTTTTCTGTCTTCAGATCCTCCAGTTGTTTCTCACTGACACCGAGTCTGACCTGCAAAGCTGAACGCCAAACAATTCATGTTATTTTAACGGTGTCATTTGATGGTGGATTATTTAATATCATAAAGTTTATTATTTACCTGCAGTTTGCTGCTCCAGTTGTGTCTCAGTGGATCCCAGTCTGACCTCCAAAGCTGATCAACAATCAGATGTTATTCATTTATATATTTACTGAGTCTGGATTTAAACTGTTCAGTAAAGTCTAGATTAGAATGATACAATTACTGTATATGAACATTTTAATATAGATTTAACTCTACCTGTAGTGTTTTTTAGACTCTTTGTCATTTTGGACTCCATCAAGGAGAGTTGAACAGATTGAACTAAAAACACAACATCAAGGCAAACAAATATAATCTTGTTATATTATTACAATAATCAGTATCGTAATAAGTTGAATAATTAAACAATATTTAAAAAAGGACCGTCAGGGTTCATTCATGCCTATAAGGCGTTCCTCAGGGAACAGAGTTGGATCCTCTACAGCAGGGGTGCCCAACCTTTTTTGAACCGAGAGCTACTTTTAAAGTTGCCAGTCTGCCGAGATCTACCAGTCCAAATAGAGAGGCGTAGCCATTACTGACAGCCTACTACCAGGTAAATACACACTTTTACTTGTATAAAACTGACCTTTGTACGATTTATACTTCATAAAATACTGCAGATCCTTTATCTTACCTCTTTCTAATCTACACACATACAAGTATTTAACTGAAGTTACACAACAGTGTTGTTGATACAGAGTTGGAGTTTATTCACACGTCACTACAGTGGGTAATGTTTTCAAGAAACATTGAACAGTGCTGCCACATATGACACAGGAACAAAGAAAAGACAGTATAAATGAGGCTTACTAATAAGACAACTCAGATCTGAAGCTACACAATAAAAAAGACAAAATTAATAGAATCAAACCCTTTTTTTGTTGCATTTTAGTAGATTATAAAAATAAATGCCTTTAAAATAGGATAAAAGCAACACTATCTTAACCTGAATTGATAATAGATTATAATCAATTTAAGTTTGCATTCTTATACCATGTTGTACAATAATTATAATTAATAAGTTCAAACAAGCTCAAACTTACAGCTGATTAAGAACGGTATCTAACTTGAGTTTTTATCATATCAAAAACCTGTTGAAATGCTACTGTTATTTTTATTGTGCGTCGCAGCCTCCAGGAATGCTTCTTTCACAACTTCGCCGTCTTTGAAAGACTTCACGTGTTTCTCAAGAACGTGCCTGACACGATAAGATGCTCTGGTAGCAGCCTTGCTCTTGTTGTTGGGCCTGGTGAAAATGGACTGCTGTGCATTTAGCTGTGCTTTCAGGCCCCTCCCCTTTTGGAGCGTAGGGCAGAATCAGATGGGAATTCCGTCTCGTAGCGTTTGTGCACTGTTTTGAAATGCCGCTCCTAAATGACCCTTCTTCGATAAAGCCACGCTCGCATTGCAGATGAGAGACAGATGGACTTTGAATTGGAATAGATACCAAAATAATCATCCTCCCACTCGGAGTGAAAATTATATATGTTTTGCTTCTGCCATAATTGCGGTCTTGTGTGTGTGCGGACTGTCACTCCTGTTGACACGGACAACGTTAGCGAACTAGTGCACTGCCCACTGCCCACCAGCCACGCCCCGACACATGGGGTCACGCCGGCCAATCACAAAGCTTTGATGCGTTCAAGTGCATTATTCTGGCACAGGAAGATTATGTTACAGGACAACGATAAAACAGAATATTGTTGTTCTATTTTTAGACACATCTCGCGATCGACTGGGAATCTCCCCGCGATCGACCGGTCAATCGCGATCGACTGGTTGAGCACCCCTGCTCTACAGTTTCAGTCTGATGATATACTTAAAGATTTATACCTGTGTTTTCTGTCTTCAGATCATCCATCTCTTTCTCATTGGCATCACATCTGACATTTATAACTGAACAACAAACCATTCATGTTTAATTGAATAGTTTAATTAATTATTAATCAATAGTAATATTGAAGACCTAACTATGTTACCTTCATTGTGATTCTCCAGCATCTCCAGTTGTGTCTCAGTGGCTCTCACTCTGACATTTAGAGCTGATTAACAATCATATGTTATTTATTCATATATTTAAATGTTTGGATGTATACTCTTCAGTAAAGACAAGATCATATAGATAAGTGTAAATATAAATGTAACTGTACCTGCAGCGTTGTTTTGAGATTCCCTCAGTCTCGACTCCATCAAGGAAAGTTGAACGGATTTAACTAGAAACAGAAAATCACAACAAACAAATATTTCTTTTTTTTTAATGTTCCACTCAGGCCCGGTTCGACGGGGGTGCATAAGGGTGCATTGCACCCTCAGTTGAGTCGTTATGCACCCTCATTTGAAAAATGTAAAGTGAAAAAAAAGAAATACATTAAAAGTGAAAAATATTACATATATAATAACAATAATAATAATAGTAGTAATAATAATAATATAGTAAATAAAATAAATTTTAATTGTGGTTAAATAACATTGTCTGCTGCATTTATTTGGTCAATTTAAACAGTAAGTAACGTTATTATGTCAGGTGTGCGTGACCTGTGCCCCTGCGCGTTCGTCATTTGCAAAGTGCTTACACAGCAGTCGGTGATGGACATCAGAAAAAGGCTAAAACAACCAGCCCTTATCGCCAGCAGTAACACTGCATCTACTGCAGGTGATAACAGTTCAGATCATGGGGACATTACGTTACCCGCGGCCACTGTCGTGGACACTAACGCCCGACTCACCGGCTTTGCCCGCCTTGCCCACCGAGGCGGAGCAGCCGGCAAAACAGAGCCTGCCCAGGTATATTTAAAAAAGTTCCCAACTCGCCTGTACAGTGGGGTAGGGCGCTCATTTTGCAGCTCATGGTTTCAAAACAGAGATTGGCTGGAATATTCCTGTAAAAAAGATGCCATCTTCTGCTAGGCCTGTAGACATTTCGGTCTTGAAAGGGGAGTGATTTGTAAAATATCCATAAAGAAATAGTAAATCTGCTTACAGTTCTGTTTCATATGGGAGTTGAGATGTATTCATAGATCTCTTCATTTTGCTCTCAAAATGCACCAGATTGATGCTTTTAACTTCAATATTTAAAAAAAAATCTTCCTGGGAGAGCATGCCCCTGGACCCCCCTAGAGGAGGTGAGGACCCCCTAGGGTGTTAGGTCCACTCCCCACTTGTAAAAATAGCACTTTACCACTGCACCCTCTCTAATCTCAGATGCACCCTGAGTCATTTTGTTCTGGAACCGGGCCTGGTTCCACTACTATGTATTATGATTAATAATGTAATGTTCATTGGTAATAATGGAATACTATTTAATAGCTGACTAAGAGAGGTAAATATGTCAGTTCAGAGGGTTAGCAAGTTTAGCAAAGAACCCTTATATATTTGAGATTTCCAAAAGGACAATCAGGGTTCATTCTAGTTTCTAAAGGAGTTCCTCAGGGAACCATTTTGGATACTCTACAGTTTCAGCATGAAGATATATTGAAAGGTTTTTACCTGTGTTTTCTGTCTTCAGAACTTCCAGCTGTTTCTCACTGACACTCAGTCTGACCTCCAGAGCTGAACAGAAAACAATTCATGTTTAATTTAATGCTTTAATATATGATTATTTAAAGGTAATATTAATTATTTTACCCGCAGTTTGCTGCTCCAGTTGTGTCTCTGTGGATCCCAGTCTGACCTCCAGAGCTGATCAACAATCAGATGTTATTCAATTATATATTTATTAACTGAGTCTTGTTTTATAATCTTCAGTCAAATTCAGATCAGAAATATAAGGGTAAATAAAAATGTTATTGTAAATCTAACTCTACCTGTAGTGTTATTTTGAGTTTCTGTCAGTCTGGACTCCATCAAGGAAAGTTGAACAGAGTGAACTGAAAAACACAACATCAGAACAAACATATATCATCTTCAAACATTTTACAATTATATAGTTTCACTCTGAAGATGTTTATTTAGAGGTTTTTACCCGTGTTTTCTGTCTTCAGATCTTCCAACTGTGTCTCACTGGCACCCAGTCTGACCTCCAGAGCTGAACAGCAAACCATTTATGTTTAATTTAATGTTGTAAGTAATGGTTATTTAAAGTTTATATTGAAGAGTTAATGATATTACCCGCAGTTTCCTGCTCCAGTTGTGTCTCAGTGGATCTCATCCTGACATCCAGAGCTGATTAACATTCAGATGTTATTGGTGTATGCATTTACTGAGTCTGGAGGTAAACTCTTCAGTAAAGTCAAGATAAGTGTTAATACAAATGGAAATATAAATCTAACTCTACCTGTAGTGTCTTTTTCCCCTTCTGTTAGTCTCGACTCCATCAAGGAAAGTTGAACGGATTGACCTGAAAACACAAAATCATAAGGAACAAATATCTCTCTAATTATATGTTTGTATTAATCAATACAAGAGGTTTATACATATGTTCAGAGGTTCAGCAAATACTGTGAAGAACCCTAATGTATTTTTACAAAACCATAACGTTTCATTCTTGCAGATTAAGGAGTTCCTCAGGGAACGGTGTTGGGTCCTCTACAGTTTCAGTCTGAAGATATATATTAAACGTTTTACCTGTGTTTTCTGTCTTCAGATCCTCCAGTTGTTTCTCACTGACACCGAGTCTGACCTGCAAAGCTGAACGCCAAACAATTCATGTTATTTTAACGGTGTCATTTGATGGTGGATTATTTAATATCATAAAGTTTATTATTTACCTGCAGTTTGCTGCTCCAGTTGTGTCTCAGTGGATCCCAGTCTGACCTCCAAAGCTGATCAACAATCAGATGTTATTCATTTATATATTTACTGAGTCTGGATTTAAACTGTTCAGTAAAGTCTAGATTAGAATGATAAATGTTGTTGGGGAATAATTTGCCCTGCATGTCCTCCTTCGCCCTCTGACGCAGCTGACCAACCTTGAGCAGTCGTTATCTCCCTTAAGGAGGGGCTGCCCTAGCATATTGTTGATGTTGCCAGTTTGTGACCGGGCAACTCTCTGTCAGAGATAGTTATTGTTGTGGGACACCTGGAACACATCCTTCTCGGGGTGTAGATGACCTTGAGCCATAAGCGACAACAAATGTGATTCAGTGTCCTCAGCTGTTTAGTCTATCTATTGAAGAATTTTGATTATTACACTCTGAACTAGTTAAAACCTCGAGCTACAGGAGGGGTCTTCAGAATTGATTGTGGCATCTCAACCGTGTGGTCAACTCGTGGCCCGTGACATGTCTTGTGAATTCTCTGGCCGAAGCTCCAAATAAACCGTCAGTGTTTGCCATCAAAGCTCCAGCTCTCCTCGTGTCTCTCTGAGTCCTGACTCCAATTGCTTCAGAAGTTTCCCCCACAAATGTACTGTATATGAACATTTTAATATAGATATAACTCTACCTGTAGCGTTTTTTAGACTCTCTGTCATTCTGGACCCCATCAGGGAAAGTTGAACGGATTGAACTGAAAACACAAAATCAGAACAAACTAATATAATCTTGTTAACATATTACAATAATCAGTATCGTAATTAGTTGAATAATTAAACACTATTTAAAAAAGGACCGTCAGGGTTCATTCATGCCTATAAGGCGTTCCTCAGGGAACAGAGTTGGATCCTCTACAGTTTCAGTCTGATGATATACTTAAAGATTTATACCTGTGTTTTCTGTCTTCAGATCATCCATCTCTTTCTCATTGGCATCACATCTGACATCTATAACTGAACAACAAACCATTCATGTTTAATTGAATAGTTTAATTAATTATTAATCAATAGTAATATTGAAGACCTAACTATGTTACCTTCATTGTGATTCTCCATTATCTCCAGTTGTGTCTCAGTGGCTCTCACTCTGACATTTAGAGCTGATTAACAATCATATGTTATTTATTCATATATTTAAATGTTTGGATGTATACTCTTCAGTAAAGACAAGATCATATAGATAAGTGTAAATACAAATGTCAATATAAATATAACTGTACCTGTAGCGGTGTTTTGAGTTTCCCTCAGTCTCGACTCCATCAAGGAAAGTTGAACGGATTTAACTAGAAACAGAAAATCACAACAAACATTAATGTTCCACTACTATGTATTATGATTAATAATGTAATGTTCATTGGTAATAATGGAATACTATTTAATAGCTGACTAAGAGAGGTAAATATGTCAGTTCAGAGGGTTAGCAAGTTTAGCAAAGAACCCTTATATATTTGAGATTTCCAAAAGGACAATCAGGGTTCATTCTAGTTTCTTAAGGAGTTCCTCGGGGAACCATTTTGGATCCTCTACAGTTTCAGCATGAAGATATATTGAAAGGTTTTTACCTGTGTTTTCTGTCTTCAGAACTTCCAGCTGTTTCTCACTGACACTCAGTCTGACCTCCAGAGCTGACAGAAAACAATTCATGTTTAATTTAATGCTTTAATATATGATTATTTAAAGGTAATATGAATAATTTTACCTGTAGTTTGCTGCTCCAGTTGTGTCTCTTTGGATCCCAGTCTGACCTCCAGAGCTGATCAACAATCAGATGTTATTCAATTATATATTTATTAACTGAGTCTCGTTTTATAATCTTCAGTCGAATCCAGATCAGAAACATAATTGTAAATACAATTGTTATTATAAATCTAACTCTACCTGTAGTGTTGTTTTGAGTTTCTGTCAGGCTGGACTCCATCAAGGAAAGTTGAACAGATTGAACTAAAATACACAACATCAGAACAAACAAATATAATCTTTAAACATTTTTACAATAATATAGTTTCAATCTGAAGATGTTTATCTAAAGGTTTTTACCCGTGTTTTCTGTCTTCAGATCTTCCAACTGTGTCTCACTGGCACTCAGTCTGACCTCTAACGCTAAAGAAATAACAGAAAATATCAGATTAATTAATAACTAATTAGAACATTTGTTAATGCACATTATAAAGTAAATGTATGTCTACCTGTAGTGTTGTTGTCAACTAGTCTCGAGCCCATCAAGGAAAGTTGAACAGACTGAACTAAAAACACAAAATAAATTGGACAAAAACAACAATACTCGTTAAGTTCAATGGAAATGCCCTAGTTACACAACACAACACATAACCAAAGCATAAAAGAATATGTTCATTAATATATTAAGATTTGTACCTGTGTTTTCTGCTTTCAGATCTTCGAGCTGTTTCTCACTCTTACTCAGTCTTACCTCCAACTCTAAAACACATCATAAATATCTGATTTAATTTTAACAAACACAGACTTCAATTGATGAAAATATTAAAGTAAATATATATGTTACCTGTAGTGTAATTGCTGTCTGTTAGTTTGGACACCATCAAGGAAAGTTGAATAGAACGGACTAAAAACACAAAATAAATCAGACAAAAAATACATAATTTTGTATTTGTTTTATTGCAATTGTTTGGAAATATTGTAGATACATATGTAACACGCCACTGCTGCAGCACTAAGGTGTACTTTAAGAATTTTAAATGTGTGTTTATTCATTTGTTGTTTGTTAAAAATAGTTGAAGTACATATTTCATACCAAAAAAATCCAAAAGGATAATTAAGGAGTTCCTCAGGGAGCCTTACTTGATCCTCTGGGGTTTCGGTTTGAGGTAGCACTACATGCACAGTTTGAGCTAAAATAAAGTACTTCCAGTTTGAGTCACTTTCGTTAGTTGAAACATTTAGAGTGTTACCTGTGTTTTCCGTCTTCAGATCTTCCAGCTGTTTCTCACCGGCACTCAGTCTGACCTCTAACGCTAAAGAGAAAACAGTACATTTCAGATTAATTAATAAATAATGACCACATGTGTTGATAAACATAATAGAGTAGATATATGTGTACCTGTAGTGTTATTGCAGTCTTTCAGTTTGGACTCCATCATGGAAAGTTGAACAGATTTAACTAAAAACACATATTAGATTGAACAAAAACAACACCACTCATTAAGTTCTATGGAAAAGCCGTAGTTACACAAGTAAACAAAGCATAACATAATATTTACCTCGAAATATAAAGGTTTTTACCTGTGTTTTCTGTCTTCAGATCTTCCAGTTGTTTCTCACTGACACCCAGTCTCACCTCCAACTCTGAAAGAAGTGAGTCAGCAAGTTCTGTAATATCTTACAACCAAAAAACCACAACTCAACTCATTACTTCTGAACTAATTAATTAACAAACTGATTAACTGATTGTTGATTGACGAACAGATGGATGATGTACCTGAGTTCATTTTGTCCAGCTGACTCTCAGTCATATTGAGTTTTCTCTGCAGATTCATCACTTCCAAGGTTTGATCTGAAACATAAACATGAACTAAACTGAACTGCAGTGAAACTATGTTTGGGTTTAGCTGTGTACTTTAGTGTGTATTTGATTCATTATTCGTAAATGATCAGTTACCTGTCTTGTCAGTCTGCTGCTGCTTTACTTGACTCTCAGCAGAGTTCAGTCTGACCTGCAGCTGTTTAACGTTATCAGCCTGAACTGAAAACAAGAGAGGAAACACAGGAAGTGGCATCATCTATCAAAACCTGCTGCATCTCTTTTTGAAAGAGCCTGATTCAGCTTTCATCAAATGGCATATGAGAATGTATTGCAAATATTCTGGTTTGGAAAATACTCAATTTACAAATCCTGCACTTCAAGTACATTTTGCTGACAATTCTTATGTACTTTCCAGTGCCAAAATACATTTTTTGCTGAAAAGACTTGTATATGTTCTGTGCCGTAGTGTTTCTCACCTGTGTTTTGTGTCTTGAGTTCCTCCAGGTGTCTCTCTACAGACTGCAGTCCACTGGTATGATCTGAAACAATATTCAAAAGAATATTAATGGCATTTGCTGACTGATAGGGTCAATTAAAGATTGTATGTGACCCACCTGCAGAGTTTCTCTTCAGCTCATCCAGGTGAAGGCGGCTGGAGTTTAGTCTGCTGCTGATCTCTGACACTTGATCTGAAATAAATTAACAATCACAATCAAAATGTAACACTAAAGTAACTCAGAGACAAGTGGTCTGACGGTAACACAGACTTTCCTCTTGATTAGGTGATTTTCAATACAAAGAATGGTTTAGAATAAATAAACAAACTATTGATTGTGTGAATATATAAATAATTTAGGAGGTGAGTAAATTAGATCAGATGAAAGGTTAATTGATAAATATGTGGTGTATGTATACATTATTAAACATGTAATAAATGGCGGGATGTTTGGTGATAAAGACCTCGTATGAAGCTGATCTCGCTTCTCTCTGCGGATGAATTCAGTTTTTTCTCCAGTGAGTTCAGTCGGCCCTGCAGAGCTGCAACAACACACGAAAATCACAAAAACGAATTTTTATTTCCAAATGATTTGCTTTAAGTCTTATGTTGTCACATAATTGTGTATTAAGTTTAAACAAAAGTTATTTTATTGACATATTTTTTGTTTTTGTCTTGATTTGTATATTTGGTATTGAGGTAAGATCAACAGAGAGATACACAACTTTAGTTATAATATTTGGATTACGTTACGGAATCCATTTTCTAACAGATGATTAGTGATTGTATCACCGTACATATTTTAATTAACCCTTCCAACCCCAATGTACTTATACTGAAAGCAACATTGACGATTATTGATTATTTTGTATTGATGGATCAAGTTATCTCACCTCGTGTTTTCGTTTTCAGCTCCTCCATCTCAGCTGATCCGTTGCAAGATGCGGCTGCTCGGAAATAAAAATGATAAAAGTTCGTTTAACATCAAAACTTTAAACTCTTTTCAGTGTTTATTCGCTACGTATGACATGTGAAAGTATTTTACCTTTGGGACATTTTTGTGATTAGGTTAGTTCAGCAGTTAAATCCATAGCACTCCTTTAAAGTGAGATTATGAACGCCACAATCAGGACTACATTTCCTACAATTACACATCAAAGAGAATAGCCTCTAATAATAAATGGTTTAACAGATAATTAAGTAGCTGTTATCAGATATAATTACAGGGTTTGTTTTAACACATGAGATCTGGTTACAAAAGCATTGTAGTTACAATATAGTTAATACATGTTTTTGTATGGATTATTAATGATCATAAATTAGGTTAAAATAAAGAGTTTCTACAGCGAGGAAAAGAGATGAATCTGACCTGAAGTCTGTCTGATCAGCTCCTTTATCACACTCTCAGTCTTACACAGTCTGACTGTGATCTCTGAAAAACCACCAACTAAACGTTACTCCAGAAATATCCTTGATGTGAGATTTTGTTTTGAGAGTGTGAATTTAAAAAGCTTTAAATCTTTGTCGGATTAACATAATCTATAATTACTGCAATGGACAGCGGCTCTCATTTTATATATTTGAATTGTATTTGTATTCATGGTCCATAATCTATTTTGTGCCAGGATGATATGCAAACGCTTTCCCCCATCTTTAATACTGATTTAAAGACGTTTCAACTTTAACCTTTAATTACCACTACAGGCTACAAGGGGCGCTGCTGAGCATCCTACACCTTCTCTCTGTAGAGTGGTGCAGGAATGAGTCAAAACATTCGGAATAAATTGGCATTTTACCATTTCCCTCGACTAAACGTCATCACGCTGAACATTAGCCACCTTTAGCTTAGCGGTGGTGACGTGAAGTCATGTGAACGTGCTGTAGTTCCTTTATAGCCCAACATTAGCCGCCTTTAGCTTAGCGGTGGTGACGTGAAGTCATGTGAACGTGCTGTAGTTCCTTTATAGCCCAACATTAGCCGCCTTTAGCTTAGCGGTGGTGACGTGAAGTCATGTGACCGTGCTGTAGTTCCTTTATAGCCCAACATTCAATTTTACTTCTGGAGATTGCATTAAAACTTCAAAAATCATAAAGTGTTTTTTGTGTCATGTGTCAGTCAACTGACCTCAACAACTACCGGCCAATCTCCAACCTTCCCTTCCTTAGTAAAATCTTGGAAAGAGCAGTCGCCGACCAACTCCACCATCACATGTCCAACCATGAGCTCTATGAACCCTTTCAATCTGCCTACCGGACCCACCACAGCACCAAGACTGCCCTGATCAAAATCACCAATTACCTCCTCATCGCAGCTGACTCAGGCTCCATCACTACACTAATTCTCCTAGACCTCTCTGCAGCCTTTGATACCATCTCCCATAATATCCTCCTCACCCGCCTGTCTGAACTACTTGGCCTCACTGACTCCGCTCTCTCCTTCTTCCACTCATAACCTCTCGGACCGGACACAGTTTGTCACACACGCTGGCTGCAGCTCCCCCTGTGCCTCTGTCAACCATGGAGTCCCCCAAGGCTTGGTGCTCAGTCCCCTCTTTTCACAATATACATCCTTCCGATTGGTGATATCATCCGCAGCCATGGTCTCTGTTTCCACTCCTATGCCGACGACACCCAAATGTACATCAGCACAAAACCCTCTGCCCATCTCCCCCCTCAGTCACTAATCAACTGCCTACACAAAATTAAAACCTGGATGACCACCGACCTACTCAAACTAAACAGTAATACAACTGAGCTCATGGTTGTGGCCCCCCAAGGCACTGCTCGGGAAGGTTGGAGATCTGCTCCTCAACATCGACGGTTCCATTATCTCCCCATCCCCTCAGGTCCGCAACCTTGGTGTTGTCTTGGATTCAACCCTCTCATTTCAAAACCACATCAAATCCGTTTCAAAATCAGCCTTCTTCCACCGCAGAAATATTTCAAGACTCCGGCCATCACTGTCCGACTCTGTTGCAGAGAAGCTGATACATTGTTTTATTACCTCACGCCTGGACTATTGTAACGGACTCCTGTCCGGGGTTCCCAGCGAAACCCTGGACAGGCTCCAGTACATCCAGAACTCAGCTGCCAGGGTTCTCACACACACCAAGCCCTGGCAGCACATCACCCCCACTCTCTTCAACATCCACTGACTGCCGGTCAAGTCCCGCATCACTTACAAACTCCTCCTCCTCACCTACAAATCCCTCCATGCCCTCTCCCCTCAGTACCTCACAGATCTCCTCCACCCTTACATCACGTTCCGCACCCTTCAATCCTCAGACTCTGGCCTGCTCTCCATTCCCCATTCACGCCTCCGCACCTTCGGGGACCGTGCCTTCAGTGTCGCTGCCCCCCCCCCCCTCTGGAACTCCCTCTCTGCAGAAATCTGCAACGCCCCTTCTCTCAACATCTTCAAATCAACCCTTAAAACTTATCTGTTCAACATCGCCTTCCAACAATAACTCACTCCCCCCCCCCACTTACACTTCCATTTCTGCCCCCTGTTTTATGTTTATGTGTTTTATGTTTTATGTCTTGTCCTTGTATGTTTCTTTGTAAAGCGATCTTGAGGTTATGAAAGGCGCTATATAAATTCAAGTTATTATTATTATGTGACCGTGCTGTAGTTCCTTTATAGACCAACATTAGCCGCCTTTAGCTTAGCGGTGGTGACGTGAAGTCATGTGACCGTGCTGTAGTTCCTTTATAGCCCAACATTAGCCACCTTTAGCTTAGCGGTGGTGACGTGAAGTCATGTGACCGTGCTGTAGTTCCTTTATAGCTCAACATTAGCCACCTTTAGCTTAGCGGTGGTACGTGAAGTCATGTGACCGTGCTGTAGTTCCTTTATAGCCCAACATTAGCCACCTTTAGCTTAGCGGGGGTGACGTGAAGTCATGTGACCGTGCTGTAGTTCCTTTATAGCCCAACATTAGCCTCCTTTAGCTTAGCGGTGGTGACGTGAAGTCATGTGACCGTGCTGTAGTTCCTTTATAGCTCAACATTAGCCACCTTTAGCTTAGCGGTGGTGACGTGAAGTCATGTGACCGTGCTGTAGTTCCTTTATAGCCCAACATTAGCTACCTTTAGCTTAGCGGGGGTGACGTGAAGTCATGTGACCGTGCTGTAGTTCCTTTATAGCCCAACATTAGCCACCTTTAGCTTAGCGGTGGTGACGTGAAGTCATGTGACCGTGCTGTAGTTCCTTTATAGCCCAACATTAGCGACCTTTAGCTTAGCGGTGGTGACGTGAAGTCATGTGACCGTGCTGTAGTTCCTTTATAGCCCAACATTAGCCACCTTTAGCTTAGCGGTGGTGACGTGAAGTCATGTGACCGTGCTGTAGTTCCTTTATAGCCCAACATTAGCCACCTTTAGCTTAGCGGTGGTGACGTGAAGTCATGTGACTGTGCTGTAGTTCCTTTAAAGCCCAACATTAGCCACCTTTGCTTAGCGGTGGTGACCTGAAGTCATGTGACCGTGCTGTAGTTCCTTTATAGCCCAACATTAGCCACCTTTAGTTTAGTGGTGGTGACGTGAAGTCATGTGACCATGCTGTAGTTCCTTTATAGCCCAACATTAGCCACCTTTAGTTTAGTGGTGGTGACGTGAAGTCATGTGACCGTGCTGTAGTTCCTTTATAGCCCAACATTAGCCTCCTTTAGCTTAGCGGTGGTGACGTGAAGTCATGTGACCGTGCTGTAGTTCCTTTATAGCTCAACATTAGCCACCTTTAGCTTAGCGGTGGTGACATGAAGTCATGTGACCGTGCTGTAGTTCCTTTATAGCCCAACATTAGCCACCTTTAGCTTAGCGGGGGTGACGTGAAGTCATGTGACCGTGCTGTAGTTCCTTTATAGCCCAACATTAGCCACCTTTAGCTTAGCGGTGGTGACGTGAAGTCGTGTGACCGTGCTGTAGTTCCTTTATAGCCCAACATTAGCGACCTTTAGCTTAGCGGTGGTGACGTGAAGTCATGTGACCATGCTGTAGTTCCTTTATAGCCCAATATTAGCCACCTTTAGCTTAGCGGTGGTGACGTGAAGTCATGTGACCGTGCTGGAGTTCCTTTATAGCCCAACATTAGCCACCTTTAGCTTAGCGGTGGTGACGTGAAGTCATGTGACCGTGCTGTAGTTCCTTTAAAGCCCAACATTAGCCACCTTTTGCTTAGCGGTGGTGACCTGAAGTCATGTGACCGTGCTGTAGTTCCTTTATAGCCCAACATTAGCCTCCTTTAGCTTAGCGGTGGTGACGTGAAGTCATGTGACCGTGCTGTAGTTCCTTTATAGCTCAACATTAGCCACCTTTAGCTTAGCGGTGGTGACGTGAAGTCATGTGACCGTGCTGTAGTTCCTTTATAGCCCAACATTAGCCACCTTTAGCTTAGCGGGGGTGACGTGAAGTCATGTGACCGTGCTGTAGTTCCTTTATTGCCCAACATTAGCCACCTTTAGCTTAGCGGTGGTGACGTGAAGTCATGTGACCGTGCTGTAGTTCCTTTAAAGCCCAACATTAGCCACCTTTAGCTTAGCGGGGTGACGTGAAGTCATGTGACCGTGCTGTAGTTCCTTTATTGCCCAACATTAGCCACCTTTAGCTTAGCGGTGGTGACGTGAAGTCATGTGACCGTGCTGTAGTTCCTTTATAGCCCAACATTAGCCACCTTTTGCTTAGCGGTGGTGACCTGAAGTCATGTGACCGTGCTTTAGTTCCTTTATAGCCCAACATTAGCCACCTTTAGTTTAGTGGTGGTGACGTGAAGTCATGTGACCGTGCTGGAGTTCCTTTATAGCCCAACATTAGCCACCTTTAGCTTAGCGGTGGTGACGTGAAGTCATGTGACCGTGCTGTAGTTCCTTTAAAGCCCAACATTAGCCACCTTTTGCTTAGCGGTGGTGACCTGAAGTCAGGTGACCGTGCTTTAGTTCCTTTATAGCCCAACATTAGCCACCTTTAGTTTAGTGGTGGTGACGTGAAGTCATGTGACCATGCTGTAGTTTATTTTCTTGTTTGAAACAGATCTTATTTACAAAAATACATCATCACTGCACCACTCTATTGGTTGTCAGAAATCAGGTCCCACAGTCTGATAACAATAACATTAAATATGATGATGACCTGTGTTCCTCCTCCTCAGCTGCTCCACGGTGCTCTCACTCGCCCTCAGTCTCGTCTGCAGGAACGGCAGCTCCCCTGCCAGAGCTGTGGAGACAACGGAAAGTTAGATCTGCTTTAAATATTTATTTATAAATAATTGGTCGAAACACGAGTTGTTTCACCTGAATTTTTCTTCTTCAGGTCGTCCACTAAGCTCTCGCTCGTGTCCAGTCTGAACTCAAGCGATGAAATCTTGATGGCTCGAACTAAAAGATCCAAACAGGTGATGAACATGGTAAACATTTGACCTTCTGAAACTTAGCATGCTGTGAGCAAATAGAAAAGCAACAACATCTTATCAAACAATTACATTTTAGAAAAAACAACAACATTTAAGGTTCCTCCAAAGACTTCACTACAATAAAAAATGTATAATTGCTAATCTAGTGTCTCAAGGTCATTTTATTCAGACAGGTTTCTTTATAACATGAACCCTTTACCTACCGTTGTGCTGCTCCTCCAGCTCCTCCACCTTTATCTTCAGATCTAAACAGTAAGGGAAGAGAGGAACTGAATGTGAGAAACATTTCAGAGTCTTTTAAGGATGAAAATGTTGAAAATGTGAAATCAGTTTCTCACCTAAATGTTTCTTCTTCACGTCGTCCTCACTCGTGTTCAGTCTGAACTCAAGCGATGAAACTTTGACGGCTTGAACTAGAAGACCAACACAACAAAGAGTCAAAAACAAGCAGAAACACATCATTTGAACCTCAATAGTCATATCATACTGTAAGCACGAGAAAATATATTTTAGATTTAGAACAATTTAAGCTAACACTGACATTCAAGCTGAAGGAACAACATTTAAGGATCTTTCAAAGTGTCACGATCTGTCTTTATGGTGTTTTGTCTTGTCTTGTTTCATGTTTTATTTTGTAAGGTCTTCACTTCCTGTCTTGCCTGTTTCTGTCTGCGTTGTGTCTTGTTTGGATTTGTCTGTGGTTCCCGGTCGTTAGTTTCCCTGATGTGTCTAATTTACCAGATTGTGTTCACCTGGTGTCCCTGTGTTTCCTCCTCCCTCCTCACCTGTGTCTTGTTTCTGTGATTAGTCTTGTGTGTATTTAAGTTCTGGTTTTTCTGTCTGTCTTTGTCGGTTCGTCTTTTGTCATGACTAGTTCGTCGGTGAGTGTTCTGTTTTGTCTTTGTTTATATCCTAGCCTTGAAATAAAGGAATTCTCACTTTAATCTGCATTTGGGTCCTACCTGCTTCACACACCGTGACACAAAGAGTCAATTATGAGAGAATAAAGTCAAATCTTTAATTGATAACTTAGTGTCTAAAGTCATATTTATTCATACAGGTTTTTCATAACACATAAAACCTTTACCTAACCCCTAACATTAAAAGGACTTTACAAACTCAACAACATTTTAGGAAACAAGCGACAACATCAAAGGTTTTTCGTAAACCCATTTCTGGAAACAACTTCTCAGAAAAAGCGACAAAACTAATACATTTTAGGAAACAACATTTTAGAAAACACAACAACATTTAGGGTTTTCTCAAACACTTAATAAAGACAAAGTTAATTTTATATTCGCAAATGTATTCGGCTAAAGTTTATATCATTTAAAATGTTGTTGTATTTTCTAAAATGTTGTTTCCTAAACTATATTAGTTTTGTCGTTTTTTATGAGAAGTTGTTTCCAGAAATGGGTTTCCGAAAACGTAGTTGTGTTACATTTGATTTTGTTGAGTTTGTAACGTTTATATTATTGAAATCAGTTTTTTAAGTCACATATTTAACCTACGCTCGTTCTGCTCCTCCACCTTCCTCCTCAGCTCCTCCACTGAGCTCTCACTCGCCCTCAGTCTCTCCTGCAGGAACGGTATCTCCTCTGTGGAGACAACAGCAAGTTAGTTCTGCTTAACTCAAACAATATGAAATGTTCTACACAATGATCATTAATATGTTTGAGTTTTCTGTTAGCAATAAAGTATGCAAAACTTTTGCTTTGGAAGTAGTTGAAGTCATTCGGAGCGTTATTCGAAAAGCATTTGATGTTCTGATATCAGAGTTAAAGCAGGTCGTCCACTGAGTTTTCACTCGAGTTCAGTCTCAACTGAAACGATGAAAACTCGACAGCTCGAACTAGAACATCAAAACACAACAAAGGCACAAACACTAGCAGCAACACATACTGTAATGTCCGACCTCAGACGGTGAAAATCATAAACATTATTCCTGTTAAACATCAACCTGACAACAAATATGTTAGCAAACCTTGGTTGCTGATTGGCTAATGGTTACACAAGACAAAAAATCGTGATGACATCATAAAGTGGCCAAAATCTGATCAGCTCATTTTCAGACAGGTTTTTATAGAAATGGATCAAAAAGAGAGAGAATCTTTGTTCCTGAAACTTTCAGAGTCTCTTTCCACAGAGGGGACACATGTTGATGTAGAAGAGACATGAAGAAGAGGGGACACATGTTGATGTAGAAGAGACATGAAGAAGAGGGGACACATGTTGATGTAGAAGAGACATGAAGAAGAGGGGACACATGTTGATGTAGAAGAGACATGAAGAAGAGGGGACACATGTTGATGTAGAAGAGACATGAAGAAGAGGGGACACATGTTGATGTAGAAGAGACATGAAGAAGAGGGGACACATGTTGATGTAGAAGAGACATGAAGAAGAGGGGACAGATGTTGATGTAGAAGAGACATGAAGAAGAGCGGACACATGTTGATGTAGAAGAGACATGAAGAAGAGGGGACACATGTTGATGTAGAAGAGACATGAAGAAGAGGGGACACATGTTGATGTAGAGGAGACATGAAGAAGAGGGGACACATGTTGATGTAGAAGAGACATGAAGAAGAGGGGACACATGTTGATGTAGAAGAGACATGAAGAAGAGGGGACACATGTTGATGTAGAAGAGACATGAAGAAGAGGGGACACATGTTGATGTAGAAGAGACATGAAGAAGAGGGGACGCATGTTGATGTAGAAGAGACATGAAGAAGAGGGGACACATGTTGATGAAGAAGAGAAATTAAGAAGAGGGGACACATGTTGATGTAGAAGAGACATGGAGAAGAGGGGACACATGTTGATGAAGAAGAGAAATTAAGAAGAGGGGACACATGTTGATGTAGAAGAGACATGAAGAAGAGGGGACATGTTGATGTAGAAGAGACATGAAGAAGAGGGGACACATGTTGATGTAGAAGAGACATGAAGAAGAGGGGACACATGTTGATGTAGAAGAGATATGAAGAAGAGGGGACTCATGTTGATGTAGAAGAGACATGAAGAAGAGGGGACACATGTTGATGAAGAAGAGAAATTAAGAAGAGGGGACACATGTTGATGTAGAAGAGACATGAAGAAGAGGGGACACATGTTGATGTAGAAGAGACATGAAGAAGAGGGGACACATGTTGATGAAGAAGAGAAATTAAGAAGAGGGGACACATGTTGATGTAGAAGAGACATGAAGAAGAGGGGACACATGTTGATGTAGAAGAGAAATTAAGAAGAGGGGACACATGTTGATGTAGAAGAGACATGAAGAAGAGGGGACACATGTTGATGAAGAAGAGAAATTAAGAAGAGGGGACACATGTTGATGTAGAAGAGACATGAAGAAGAGGGGACACATGTCGATGAAGAAGAGAAATTAAGAAGAGGGGACACATGTTGATGTAGAAGAGACATGAAGAAGAGGGGACACATGTTGATGAAGAAGAGAAATTAAGAAGAGGGGACACATGTTGATGTAGAAGAGACATGAAGAAGAGGGGACACATGTTGATGTAGAAGAGACATGAAGAAGAGGGGACACATGTTGATGTAGAAGAGACATGAAGAAGAGGAGACACATGTTGATGTAGAAGAAACATGAAGAAGAGGGGACACATGTTGATGAAGAAGAGAAATTAAGAAGAGGGGACACATGTTGATGTAGAAGAGACATGAAGAAGAGGGGACACATGTTGATGTAGAAGAGACATGAAGAAGAGGGGACACATGTTGATGTAGAAGAGACATGAAGAAGAGGGGACACATGTTGATGTAGAAGAGACATGAAGAAGAGGGGATACATGTTGATGAAGAAGAGAAATTAAGAAGAGGGGACACATGTTGATGTAGAAGAGACATGAAGAAGAGGGGACACATGTTGATGTACAAGAGACATGGAGAAGAGGGGACACATGTTGATGTAGAAGAGACATGGAGAAGAGGGGACACATGTTGATGTAGAAGAGACATGAAGAAGAGGGGACACATGTTGATGTAGAAGAGACATGAAGAAGAGGGGACACATGTTGATGTAGAAGAGACATGAAGAAGAGGGGACACATGTTGATGTAGAAGAGACATAGAGAAGAGGGGACACATGTTGATGTAGAAGAGACATGAAGAAGAGGGGACACATGTTGATGTAGAAGAGACATGAAGAAGAGGGGACACATGCTGATGTAGAAGAGACATGGAGAAGATGGGACACATGTTGATGTAGAAGAGACATGAAGAAGAGGGGACACATGTTGATGTAGAAGAGACATGAAGAAGAGGGGACACATGTTGATGTAGAAGAGACATGAAGAAGTGGATTTTGCATAATAGGTGACCTTTAAAGGAATAGTTTATCTTCTTACCTTTGTTCTGCTCCTCCAGCTCCTCCACTTTCCTCCTCAGATCTGAGTTCAGCTCCATTAGCAGCTCCCTGTCAGCGTCCATCTTCTCCTCCACCCTCCTCACCTCCTCCCTCCTCTCCTCGGCCTCCAGCCCTCCGTCCCTCAGGTGGCTCTCCATGCTCCTCAGCTCTAACCGCTGCAACACTGCCACTGACCTCAGGCTGAGAACCAGCTCCTTCAATCCCAGCAGCTCATCCCAGAGGACGGGGATCTCTGAGGAGACGTCCACCATCTTGACGTCCTCCATCTTGACTTCCTCCACCCCCATCCTGATGTCTTCCTCCTGGGGGGAAGACGCCTCCGTCTGTCCCCGACTGAGGGCTGGAGACAAACAGAAAAGCAGCAAAAACAGAAACAACTTCATCCTGAAAACAAATCCTGCTACTGAGAGAGTCCAACAGCTTATATACACACACACACACACACGCACACACACACACACACACACACACACACACACCACACACCACACACACACACACACACACACACACACACACACACACACACACACACTAATCTGGGTGAAAACCCTAAGCATGGATGAATGAATCGACTCGTTACATTTTCGATTACTTCGAACGTACAAGAAAATCCGTATTTTGTAAATAAAAGCTTGTGCTACATTTCGATTCATTTTGCATAATTCACGTATGAATTCTAAAGATATTTGCTGTTTACTTAAGGACTTATGTTAGAGTGTATTCATGTGTAAAAAGCCCTAAAGAAATGTGACAAAAGTGATTTTTCTCTTGCATTAAAAGATATGGAGAAAGAAAATGAAAGTTCTGATTAAAAGTGTGAATGTTGAGGAAGTCAGAATTCAGAAACAAAATGTCTGAGAAATAGTAAGAACTCTATCAATTAAACCAAAATGTAAAATCTCGAGAAAACATGTCTGAGAAAAAGGTGAGAATTCTGAGATATTTTTATATTTGTAAACGTATTTACCGCCAACGAGCCCTGACGTTTTGTTTTGTTGAGTTTTCCGTAATGCGTCAGTGTGAATAGTCAGTTAGTCACTATGACATCAATACACAGATATACTTTGTTATATCTACTGTGTGTTGAGGCTAAGGTCAAGAAAGGTTACAGAGACCAAAGAGTGCTTTGTTCTACTTTAAGTCAACTCAAGGATTAACGTCAGTTCACGGGTCTGACGGTAATATAAATATGCACGAGTGCAGTGGTCGTTGGACGTGGGGGATCGCCGTCTCCCCACTTATTTGGAGCCCCCACTTTTTTTGAAGCATGATTGCAAGTGTGTATTTGTTGTAATAATGACGAAAACATAATACATTTCACAGTAATTACAATAAAAACGTAGCTCAAGTATTTATGCAACTTGATTTGAAGTGTGTGTGTGTGTGTGTGTGTGTGTGTGTGTGTGTGTGTGTGTGTGTGTGTGTGTGTGTGTGTGTGTGTGTGTGTGTGTGTGTGTGTGTGTGTGTGTGTGTGTGTGTGTGTGTGTGTGTGTGTGTGTGTGTGTGTGTGTGTGTGTGTGTGTGTGTGTGTGTGTGTGTGTGTGTGTGTGTGTGTGTGTGTGTGTGTGTGTGTGTGTGTGTGTGTGTGTGTGTGTGTGTGCGTTTTATCATTTGTCCCGCATCCCACAAATTGAGACTATGTCCCGCATTTGAGTGACAGTCGTGCAGAATGGCCGGCTCGGTTCGCTGACAGCAGGTGTTGTGTCAAATGATGCACCCCCGTCGTGAAATGCACCCCTTGACACGGGAGCATTTTAACGTATAGTCCGCTATTCTATGTTGTCTTTTTGATGGTTGGGTCATTCCTCACTTATTTTTCAGTTAATTTCTTATTTAATATATTTTTTTATTTAATTGTGACGTCCTGTCTGTATACTTGTGCTTGTGCTTTACAATGTATTGTTTATTTTTACATCAAGTGCTTGAGGGTGGGATTAATAGAAACATTTTTATTTTGGGGGGTGCTTTTTATGAACAGCCTGGTTGCCACGATATGCACCACATGCTATCTCTGACAATAAACACGTCACATACATGAAACTTGCTCCATTTATTGGTACTAGTCCTACAACTATACCCTCCAAAGTGTTTGAGGGTGGGATTAATAGAAGCATCTTTTGGGGGGGGGTGCTTTTTACGGCAGGCCAGGGGGTGCATTTCACGGCGGGGGTGCATCATTTGACACACCGGCACCGCCCCGTTATTATTATATTTTTTAAACGGCATCATGTAAATTGCGCTGACAGGCGACAGAGGTCCACACCACAGAGGTCCACAGTGTACCCCCCCCCGTTGACAGTTCACGAGCGCGCACACACTCCATAGTGTCTCTCCCGCCCCCCGCCCCGTCCACCCAGTAAAAGATCCGCACCACACCGAGTGAATTTAAACACGTATATTATTGGAAAACCTATTCACTGATAGATACACAGGTTATAAAATGGAACCAAATGAACTCAAACATCGATATTGGCTCTAGCAGTGATCCTTGACATATCCAAGTCTTTACCCTCTTTCCCTACCCTATAGTTTGTTTCTGTGGGATCAGTTTCTGCTGCATACCTAACATTGCTAACACGCTAATCTGCAGCTCAAAGGCCTCGCGGCTCAGAGACTAAACTGTCACGTGCACAATCACGGGCATGGCTATTGTGTGTAAAGATAAATATAAATGTAATCTGAGTCACCATGTTGTTTCTTGCTCTGTTAGAAAACAAAAACTGTATTTAAATCAAATGTATTCTCACTTCTTTCTGCACACGATTATTTCCCCTGAAATACAACTTTAGTATTTACTTCTTAATATCATTTCCTTGTTCTCTCTAGTTATCTTTTACTATTTTCTGTGTAAATGTACTTTATAGTAACATTTCTATATAATACTTTGTACTTGAAGTTTACCTTCAAGCCTCAACAGTTTTCTAGTTTTTTCTAAAGTCAATTATTCTGCTCCTTTATTTCTGCTGCTTTCTTTTTTCTGCATTTATAAATATTCTGGATTATGAAGCACTTTATGAACCTGAAACTAAACCTGACTTAGTCTACAACAGGGGTGTCCAAACTACGGCCCGGGGGCCAAATGCGGCCCGTGGACCATTTTGAATCTGCCCTCAGCAAATTCAAAAAGTATAATGTGATTTGGCCGACAAATGAAACTTGTGCTTGTCTTATATTGTAGTTCATAAATATACATGTTAAAATATATTACACAGTATTATCCATGTGTTAATAAGACCACTTTTCAAATACATTCAGTCAATTAAAGTTGGAAATATTTTCACATCTTAGTTGATAAGGAAAAAGCCCAATTACTTATTTACAACAATCTTGAAATAAACCCTTCATATTTCTCCTTATTATAATCACTCTTTTGTTGTAAGGGATGAGCTGCCAACACTCACAAGCATCATGTACCAACATTTGATTGATTTTGCTAACTTATAACTGAACTTATGAGGCGATACACCTCCAGTGAGTGGCCCAGCACGTTGCATATTTTTCTGTATGTGGCCCTCGGTGAAATAAGTTTGGACACCCCTGATCTAGAGCCTGTGGCCGTTTCTCAATGTCGAGTAAACCTGCCGCAGAGCCACTATTTCAAGTATACTACGTCATCGAGTGGCGCCGAATGCTGGGCATTTAACATGCATTTAAACAGTCCTTCGGCGCCACTCGATGACGCAGTATACTTGAAATAGTGGCTCTGCAGCAGGTGTACTCGACATTGAGAAACGGCCTGTGTGTCGTGGTAAGGTTTGGTAAATTTGAACTGATGGATGATGCTGGGGACCAATCATAGATCTGGAAAAGCATATGATGCATAAATGAAAAAGGAAAAATACGGTCAGCTGCACGAATGACAAATCTTGAACTTTTCGCTCCATAGATGGATCTTCATGTTTCACCGACACACCCACAACCAACATGATAAAAAAAAGCATTAATAAATATATCGTATCATTTAGCAAAAACATTTTTTTTCTCCAGAAAACAGGATTTTATTTAAAAACTTTTCACACAGAGAAACTTTAATCACACTTTTGTTCCTTCAGCAGGAACAATAAAGTTCTTCTTCTGACGCTGCTTCAAAGAAACATCGAAACTCCCCCGACGTGTTTCCATCTTCTTTAGTCGCACAGAATACATCCCATAGTCTGACGTTTACATTCATTCATCGTTTCCTCCTCTCGGCGTCAGTTTGAGATCCTCATGATGCTCAAAAAAAAAATCAAGAAAAGTCAGTTTCTTTAAAACAGTTTGAAACCAGAGTCACTCCGGTTTCTGATTCGCTGTCCAGTGTGAACGGCGTCCATGAGAGTAAACACAAATTGTTTTTTAGGAGTTCAGTTGGTCAGCTCCCGTCATCACGCAGACAAATAAAACCAAAGACATTTTTTTTTTAAAATGCCAAAATAAAAGCAGAAAGAGTCCCTTTGTGGCGACGGACAGCGAGGCTGCAGGCCGACGAGAGAAAAGTAAATCACTGTTAAAGTTTAAATGTATAATCAGTAAACAAATGTGTAATAAATGGTTAATAACACACAGTTTTTCAGCCTCTCAAATGTAGTTTTTCTGCTTTTCTCCGTTTTATATCATATCCAATTGAATACCTTTGGACAAAAGACATTTAGAGACACCACCTTGAACTTTGAGGGATGGACATGTTGTACTTTTTTCTGACATTTAAAGAGTAATACTATGTGAGTTGCAGCCCTACCTCTTATATTGATTATCTGCCGCTACATTCTCACTTGATTGTAGTATTTACATCAATGTTGATCAAATATATTTCGGCCGTAGAGATCTAGTTATAGTCGGTCAATGGTTCGGCTCATTTGAACCACTTTTCTTGCTGTTCTGAGTTTAAATCTATTGCACTTATTGTGAGTCCCTTTGGATACAAGTGTCTGCTTAGCTTCACGTAGTTCATAACAAATGCATAATGCAGACGTCAATCTGCTTGAGACTGCATACAAGTGTGTTTTTAACCCATTCATTACATGTTTTTATACACATTATAAAAGAGAATTAAAGAATAGTGAAGCAGTACGTTTTACATTTTACTGTGTGTGTATTTTGCAGCTCGTAAAATACACAAAATTACAAAAATGTAATCAGTAAATCAATGATCTTAAGAGGACTTGATGATCAGGTGTTTGGACTTTTAACATTTTTATCATCTGTTGTTTTTGATTATTTTATTAGTTATAAATTATAAGTTGCTGGTGTGCAGAATTAAATAGAGAACATGTTACCCTCTGATCCTTCTCATTAAAATTCATAGTCTCATTATTGTCTCTGAGTATAGTTTGAACTCTCATCGACCTGCTGACCTCTGACCTCTGAGCCCTGATCCAGAGTTTGAGTCCAGATCTGAAGCAGAGCCCAGGTTCTGGTCGTGTTGTGTCAGCGCTGTCCGGTGTACGCTCTGAACCAGGAGGAGACGGAGGCGGCGGCGGAGGAGATCATCCCTCCAGCGTTAGCAGAGGGCTGAGACACTTGCAGTGCACTCTGGGAAAGATCCATGGACTGGAGGAAGAAGAAGAAAAATGTTTTATAGTTTTGAACCTAAAGGGTCTAAAGGTCCCCTATTATACAAAATCCTCTTCTTCATGTCTCTTCTACATCAACATGTGTCCCCTCTCCTTCATGTCTCTTCTACATCAACATGTGTCCCCTCTTCTTCATGTCTCTTCAACATCAACATGTGTCCCCTCTCCTTCATGTCTCTTCTACATCAACATGTGTCCCCTCTTCTTCATGTCTCTTCAACATCAACATGTGTCCCCTCTTCTTCATGTCTCTTCTACATCAACATGTGTCCCCTCTTCTTCATGTCTCTTCTATATCAACATGTGTCCCCTCTTCTTCACGTCTCTTCTACATCAACATGTGTCCCCTCTTCTTCATGTCTCTTCTACATCAACATGTGTCCCCTCTTCTTCATGTCTCTTCTATATCAACATGTGTCCCCTCTTCTTCACGTCTCTTCTACATCAACATGTGTCCCCTCTTCTTCATGTCTCTTCTACATCAACATGTGTCCCCTCTTCTTCATGTCTCTTCTACATCAACATGTGTCCCCTCTTCTTCATGTCTCTTCTATATCAACATGTGTCCCCTCTTCTTCACGTCTCTTCTACATCAACATGTGTCCCCTCTTCTCATGTCTCTTCTACATCAACAGTGTTCCCCTCTTCTTCATGTCTCTTCTATATCAACATGTGTCCCCTCTTCTTCACGTCTCTTCTACATCAACATGTGTCCCCTCTTCTTCACGTCTCTTCTACATCAACATGTGTCCCCTCTTCTTCACGTCTCTTCTACATCAACATGTGTCCCCTCTTCTCATGTCTCTTCTACATCAACATGTGTCCCCTCTTGTTCATGTCTCTTCTACATCAACATGTGTCCCCTCTTCTCCATGTCTCTTCTACATCAACATGTGTCCCCTCTTCTTCATGTCTCTTCTACATCAACATGTGTCCCCTCTCCTTCATGTCTCTTCTACATCAACATGTGTCCCCTCTTCTTCATGTCTCTTCTACATCAACATGTGTCCCCTTTTCTTCATGTCTCTTCTACATCAACATGTGTCCCCTCTTCTTCATGTCTCTTCTACATCAACATGTGTCCCCTCTTCTTCATGTCTCTTCTACATCAACATGTGTCCCCTCTTCTTCATGTCTCTTCTACATCAACATGTGTCCCCTCTTCTTTCATGTCTCTTCTACATCAACATGTGTCCCCTCTTCTTCATGTCTCTTCTACATCAACATGTGTCCCCTCCTCTTCATGTCTCTTCTACATCAACATGTGTCCCCTCTTCTTCATGTCTCTTCTACATCAACATGTGTCCCCTCTTCTTCATGTCTCTTCTACATCAACATGTGTCCCCTCTTCTTCATGTCTCTTCTACATCAACATGTGTCCCCTCTTCTTCATGTCTCTTCTACATCAACATGTGTCCCCTCTGTGGAAAGAGACTCTGAAAGTTTCAGGAACAAAGATTCTCTCTCTTTTTGATCCATTTCTATAAAAACCTGTCTGAAAATGAGCTGATCAGATTTTGGCCACTTTATGATGTCATAACGATGTTTTGTCTTGTGTAACCATTAGCCAATCAGCAACCAAGGTAACCCCCCCCCACTTATCACCTGAATCTCCTCCTAGAGCACCATTGAGTTCTTTGTAACCAAATGTCTCTCAGAGGGGCGTGGGGAGGGGCTCCTTATTTTCATCTAAAGTAACAGACAGAGAATCAGCACTTTGGAAACAGGGCTGAAACAGAGGGGATTGTGGGTAATGCTGCAATGATCTGTTTGGTGTTTCAGTCAATCAGAGACAGGCTCTGTATATATCTGAGACCTGTGATATATGGATGAAAAACAGTATAATAGGGGACCTTTAAGATAAAATTAGAATAATATATGATAATGTGACACGACAGCTTGTTCCAGGTCTTCCTACCTGTGATGGGATGTCACAGAATCGAGGGCTGGGCACCGTCTCCCAGTCGGTCCCGAGGTCCGTCTCCTCGTCCGTCACCGCCTCGTCTCCACTCTCCTCCGCCGGCCCGGCTGCCTCCGGCTCCACGAACTCCATCGACTCCTCCAGGTCCGCGCTCACCTCGAAGGGGCCCGTCCTGCACCAGAACCACAGAGCAGTCAGTATAAGAGCCTCATTATTAAAGGTGGGGTAGGCAATTTATTTCAGAAACACTTGTTATATTCCATGGAATGCTCTTAACATCCCGATAGCAATGAATACATTAAATGCTTTGACAATAAATACATAACATTTCATCAATGGAAGCCGTGGTGCTGTAAAAAGCACGACCAATCATCTGAGCCGGCTCGGGTCAGATAACTGGATGGACACCTTTTTAAAATCACAACACATCAACAGCATTAGTTATAAAGAAAGGATGAGGGACAAGTAGATAGAGGCGAAAGGATAAATCTAACGAGTGACAGGATTCTTCCTCGAGCTGCAGGATTTGGTAGAAATAACTAAGTGCGATTTTTTGGACAGATTTTGCAATAGGATTCTTTGGAGGGATTCATCGTTTGAAACAATATTTAAAATATTATACAAATAATACTTTTTTTTTTTTTTATTCCCCCAACTTGTAACCAGCATTTGATGGATTTGGTCAATGTGCAACCAGTTTAATTTATACTACATTGTTTCATAACTGATCATCTGCTAGGCATGGACAAATTAAGCTCAGCGCAAGTTCAACCAAGACCTTCTTTACTCATTCGTTTACTATGTCTATGTTACTACTCTCTCTCCTCTCAATAAGTGATCAGGGGCGTCACTCCCCAGCTTAACCAATCACTTCGCTCTATTCTCACAAGCCTATCATAGCGCTCCGCTAACCCTTTTAAATCTGCTCTCCCCTCTGTCAGCTGTCATTTCAGCTGACTTGACGCAACCCTCCTCCACCCCTTTAACCTCCTGTCCCTCTGAATCCAGGGTCAAGCTAAGCCCCTTCAGACATACCCCAACCATCCATTCACCACCACCAGGGTCAAGCTAAGCCCCTCCCCTTCAGACCGTACCCAACTATCCATTCACCACCACCAGGGTCAAGCTAAGCCCCTCCCCTTCAGACCGAACCCAACTATCCATTCACCACCACCAGGGTCAAGCTAAGCCCCTCCCCTTCAGACCGAACCCAACCATCCATTCACCACCACCAGGGTCAAGCTAAGCCCCTCCCCTTCAGACCGAACCCAACTATCCATTCACCACCACCAGGGTCAAGCTAAGCCCCTCCCCTTCAGACCGACCCCAACTATCCATTCACCACCACCAGGGTCAAGCTAAGCCCCTCCCCTTCAGACCGACCCCAACTATCCATTCACCACCACCAGGGTCAAGCTAAGCCCCTCCCCTTCAGACCGACCCCAACTATCCATTCACCACCACCAGGGTCCAGCTAAGCCCCTCCCCTTCAGACTAACCCAACTATCCATTCACCACCACCAGGGTCAAGCTAAGCCCCTCCCCTTCAGACCGACCCCAACTATCCATTCACCACCACCAGGGTCAAGCTAAGCCCCTCCCCTTCAGACAGACCCAACTATCCATTCACCACCACCAGGGTCAAGCTAAGCCCCTCCCCTTCAGACCGACCCCAACTATCCATTCACCACCACCAGGGTCAAGCTAAGCCCCTCCCCTTCAGACAGACCCAACTATCCATTCACCACCACCAGGGTCAAGCTAAGCCCCTCCCCTTCGGATCGACCCCAACTATCCATTCACCACCACCAGGGTCAAGCTAAGCCCCTCCCCTTCAGACCGACCCCAACTATCCATTCACCACCACCAGGGTCAAGCTAAGCCCCTCCCCTTCAGACAGACCCAACTATCCATTCACCACCACCAGGGTCTAGATCCCGAGGGGTTTCATCGGATCGGTTCTCCCCTCCCGAATGATACTCCTGCACAACGGGGGCTAATCGCCAAAACTCCATTACATTCATTCGTGTATTCCTGGCAATAAATATGTATTCTTACATCAAAACCGTCTCTCCTGATCCGAAAGTGATCCGAAAATATGAAGATCTATTTAAAATGATCATGGTAAGAGAATCTGTACTAAACAAAGATATTTTTTCGAGTCTGTAGAATACGATTTGTAGACATCTCTGCAGCACTGCAGTATTCGAGACATATTTATAGGAGTGTCTCACCGGCCCAGGCTGTCGTTTTCGGGGGAAACCAGAAACATGATGTTCCTCAGAGTGTGATGGGGGTGCAGCTTGTCACTGTCGACATGCTGAAAACACACAGAGGAAGACGTGAGTTGAAGCACCTGAAAACTGCTTTTACGTCAAAGTCAACTTTATTGTCAATCTTTCAGTTTGTGTGTACAGACAGAGAGATTAAAATGTGTATACAAATATGTATATACCTATAAATACACAATCATAAGACACATGTATACATATGCACACATTAAGACCTAAATAAAAGCACAACAATCAATATATACAAAATAACAAGTCACTTCAATATCTTTGAGAATGTACATTAGTGCAGGACTGTCCATAGCAGCGCGTCTATAAATATTATGTAGTGGAGAGAAGTTGCCGGTGTCTGACCTGAGAGAAGCAGAGGTGGAGGATGTTGGTGTTCAGTTTGCTCAGAGCTCTGGTAAAGCGATATCTGCTCAGATTCTCTCCACAGAATTCGCTGAGGATCAAAACACACATGAGATCAGACACATTGAAAGAAGCTCTTAGTTTCCCCACGCTGGGATGTGTCATTGAACGCATCATCAACTTCATATATGAGAGTAACATGCTAACAAAGGTATCCCAACTGTAGCTGTGAACATGACAGGATGTGTGATTACCTAGAAGAGCATCAGGACTGTTTGAGGCATATGATAGCTATGTGATTAACATGATGATTCAGCCTCTATGGAGAGAGACATCAAGCATGCTCATTTCTGACGTGGAGCTAATCTGAAGTAAACATTGAATACTGCTTTCTATTCCTCCATCTTGTGACTGTGTAACTCCCTCTCTTGGATATCAGCATGTGAAGGACACTGTTCAGGAACTAGTTGATGCTCTGTATGTGATGACTACTTCCTTTCTGGAGAGGATCACAAATACATGGATCCTGAGGTTGAAGTTCAAGCTGGGGACCAGGGATTATTAACAATTTTAAGTATTCAGAAAAAGTCATAATTTTGAGTTTTTGAGGAAAAAGTCATAATTTTGAGATTTTGAGAAAAAGTAAGGATTTTGAGATTTTGAGAAAAAGTCCTAATTTTGAGGAAAGTCGTAAATTGGAGAAAAAGTCAAAAATATTGCGAAAAAGTCAGAATTTTGAGTTTTTGAGAAAAAGTAAGAATTGTAAGAAAAAGTCATAATTTTGAGATTTTGAGAAAAAGTCATAATTTTGAGAAAAAGTCAGTATTTTGTACATGACTGGATGTATGATGTACTCCTCCATCTTGTGACTGTGTAACTCCCTCTCTTGGATATCAGCATGTGAAGGACACTGTTCAGGAACTAGTTGATGCTCTGTATGTGATGACTCCTTCCATTCTGGAGAGGATCACAGATACATGGATCCTGAGGTTGAAGCTCAAGCCGGGGACGAATGAGATTTTCCTAACATCATGCAACTTAATTTAAGTTTTCAGTGTATTCTGCCAGTCTGTGCTGCTTCCTGTCTCACCTGTTGCAGAGCTTCCTAGGTAGGTTGACGTCCAGGATGTGAGACAGGATGGAGACGAGCTGCGTGGCGTAGCAGAGAGCGGCGCTGATGGTGTGAGCCGGGTTGATGTGGTCCAACTCTGCAGAAACACAAGGGTCAAAGGTCAAGAGAGAAGTTTAAAGAGGACCTTTTATTCATTTTTGTGGGTTTTCCCTCTACTGTAGAATAGAATATAACGGAATTTCTTCAGCAACAGAAAAAATAGACACAAATAAATAAATAAATAAGAGTTGTAAAAGCAGAGGTAGTAGCGATGACAGTAGCGTGTTATATAGGGGTTTGTGCATGTCAATGGTCTGCAGAAGCTTAAATCCCTGTGTTAAAGCATATACTGTATGTCCTCTTTAAACAAGAGACTGTTTGGATTTTTACTTTAAAAAACTATTTAAACTATTAAGGAGAGACATTTCAGGTGAAAAAGGTACACAGGTATATTGTCAAAGTGTACGCATTTGGAAAAATATCACCTTGAATCTTCCCTAGAGAAATAAAAAAAAATGTAGGTTTAAATATGCAAATGCAGCATTTTCTAGTGCTAATTATTGGTGAATTTAGAAGAAATATACACAAGTGAATAATACAAATGCAGTCAAATAAACATTTAAATCTTAATATTGGTTATTTTATCTCCACTTTCAAAAGACATGTTATAGAAGCAAAGAATTCCAAGCCCTAATATTAAACCAGTGCATGAAAATAGTTTTGCCGGTCAGTGTGAAGCCCCGCCCCCTGGCTCCTCACCTGGGCCCTCATTGGTGCTCTTCTCCTCCACCCAGCTGTAGTAGGCGGAGCAGTCCCCGTTGCTAGGCAGAATAACAGGGGGTCCGGTGATGCTGATGCTGGTCTCTCCGTTCTGGTCGTCCCAGATCCAGCGCCCCGACAGGTAGGTGGTCCGGCGAGCCTCCGCCAGCTCGCTCACCGTGCTGGAGGTCAGCGCAAGGTCGCACTCTGCCACCACGTCCGCGGGGTCTCTGGGGGACAAGCGCAGGGGCACAGAGGGGAGGTTAGTGTGTTAACAGGGTGCCCAGGATTACTATGTGACTTAATTCAGTTTATTCTGCCAGTTTTTACTGCTTTCTGTTCCATAGTAATAATAGTCTATATATTCCCCTTAACTATGTGTGTGTGCGTGTGTATGTGTGTGTGTGTGTGTGTGTGTGTGTGTATGTATATATATATATATGTATATATATATGTGTGTGTGTGTGTGTGTGTGTGTGTGTGCGTGTGTATGTGTGTGTGTGTGTGTGTATGTATATATATATATGTGTGTGTGTGTGTGTGTGTGTGTATGTGTGTGTGTGTGTGTGTGTGTGTGTGAATGTGTCTCTGTGTTAGTGTGAGTGAGTGAGTGTGTCTCTGTCTGTGTGTGTGTGACGTGTATGTATGTGTATGTGTATGTATGTGTGTGTATGTGTTTGTGTCTATCTGTGTGTGTGTGTGTGTGTGTGTGTGTGTGTGTGTGTGTGTGTGTGTGTGTGTCTATGTGTGTGTGTGTGTGTGTGTGTGTATGTATGTATGTGTGTGTATGTGTCTGTGTCTATCTGTGTGTGTGTGTGTGTGTGTGTGTGTGTGTGTGTGTGTGTGTGTGTGTGTGTGTGTGTGTGTGTGTGTGTGTGTGTGTGTCTCACCTGCTGCCCTGCTTATCCTCCTGCGTGGGGAAGATGTGTGTGTTGAGCTCCAGGATGTGGTCCCTCCTCAGAGTAGCCAGCTGCCCCAGGCGGCTCTGCAGCTCGCGGCTTCTTTTCTCCAGAAGATCCCCCAGACGCCGGTTGTGTCGCTCGATCTTATCTCGTTTCTCCTGGTGACGTCCGGCCCGGCGCTGCAGACGCTGTTTCTCCTCCTGAGAGCGAAGCAGTAGCTCCTTATCTGCAGCAGGAGGAGGAGAGGTTAATATTTATCAATTCAATCTAACATTATTTTAAAAGATTCAAAGGTTATGTTGGGAAAATCCTGAATGTCCTCTTCCAACATGAGAGTCCACATGATAACAAAGGTATCCCAACTGTAGCTGTGAACATGACAGGATGTGTGATTACCTAGAAGAGCATCAGGACTGTTTGAGGCAGATGAGAGCTATGTGATTAACATGATGATTCAGCCTCTATGGAGAGAGACATATGACAAGCATGCTCATTTCTGACGTGGAGCTAATCTGAAGTAAACATTGAATACTGCTTTCTGTTCCTCCATCTTGTGACGGTGTAACTCCCTCTCTTGTCTATCAGCATGTGAAGGACACTGTTCAGGAACTAGTTGATGCTCTGTATGTGATGACTACTTCCATTCTGGAGAGGATCACAGATACATGGATCCTGAGGTTGAAGCTCAAGCCGGGGACCAGGGAGATGTTTCTAACAGGTTTTATTGTCATATGCTCATAGACTACAGTGTAGAAATGGCAATGAAATTCTTCTGACCTGAGCTCCTCCAACAATGCAACATATATAATAAAATACAAAAATACAAAATAAAAAGTAGTGCAAAAAGACTATATATACACATTTAAAAACAACAGAGTTGACCAAATATATAAAAAGCAGCATAAATACATTTAGACAAAACCAATAAAAAGCACGAGACAATAAAACCATACTTATAGCGACAGACTGAAAAAACATGTCAAAACACAACCAAATAGAAAACCCCACTTTAGAAAGTGATTTGTGTTTTACGCGGTCTGTAAAAGCACGGGTGAACAAGTAGGTCTTTAAACCAGATTTAAAAACAGGCAAAGTGGGAGCAAGTCTGATTATTTAGTCAAATAAAGCAACACATGTTCTAGTTATGTTCAGATTATGTGTTTTTGGTTCTCAGTGAAGTTATTTGGGCTTAAGATCAAATAAACACCACAGAATTTCCTGTTTGGAAATAAAGCGACAGATGTGAAGCTCTGCCTAAATAATAATATAATCAGAGATGCACCAGTCGCAGATATCTCAGATCCCTTCCCCGTCAAATTTAGACATGTACAAAGTGTTTTTGTACGCCGTCGTTTAAAGAAAATCTCACTGCATCTGTAGTTAAAAACTCACCGCTCTTCGTCTCCTCGTTCCCCACGGCGACCGCCTCCTTCAGCTGCTCGATCTTCATTTTACACGACATGATCTTCCATTGCTGAGAGGAGGATTCAGATAACATTTAGATGTTACAATATCCAGAAAATAATGTTTTCCAGTTAGTCTTTTCGGATCCAGAAATTCCAGAAAAAGTCCAAATCATTTAAAAAATAAAAGTTGCTAATGGAGAGGTTGGAACTTTCTAAACCTGAAAAAAAGACAAACCCAATGGGAAATCCCAAAAGAGTAGAATTTAAACCAGATAGAACAAGTTTTTGTTAATAAAACAAGGTGTTAAGTTGATTTGTTTTGCCTCCATAGATGAGAGTAACAAATGCGTCACTTCCGCGCAAAAATGACGGCTCCGCCCACTTTGGGGGAAAACAACGCTGTCATTTGAACGGCGGTCAATACAAATTCTGAAGTTTTTGCCAATCCGATCAGAAATGTAAGAAAACCGTGGATTTGTGGATCTTCAAAGAGCCCGATCACGATGGCCAGACAGGCAAACAATTACATGAACTCATTGGAAATCGACGAGCGGGCTCGATATATGGTTAAATATAGCAGTAGGCGATCGATGTCCATAGATGAGAGTAACATCTACGTCACTTTACGGCCCCGCCCACTTTTGGGGGAAACCAACGCTGTCATTTGAATGGCGATCGAGCCTGAAGCCACAGAGCTCTTCTGTTTCCGTCCTTTCTTCTTAGAGGAAGTTCAGAAACACTGAACTCTGGATTTGTTTTAATGTTTGAGGTGCAATAAACGACACAGCAGCTTGTTGGCATGATACAACTATTATTTTCCGCCTCGCTCATGAGAGTAACAGCCGGCGAAAATTACAGCCTCGGCTATTGATTTTAATTTAACCGTATATCGAGCCTGATCGTCGATTTCAAATGATTTAATGTAATTGTTTGCCTGACTGGCCATCGTGATCGGGCTCTTTGAAGATCCACAAATCCACGGTTTTCTTAAATTTCTGATCAGATTGGCAAAAACTTCAGAATCTGTATCGACCGCCATTAAAATGACAGCGTTGTTTCCCCCAAAAGTGGCCGTGGCCGTAATTTTCGCCCGGAAGTGACGTAGGTGTTACTCTCATCTATAGACATCAAAGGTCCCAGACAGAATGTGTTTGATTTGTATCAGTGGTGAATTCAATTAAAACTTTGGACAACGGTTGGCCACAGTCTTCATCAGAGGCTCCAGATGTCAGGGTGTTACAGTCCAGTTAATGTCTCACTGTGACGGAGCGGGTCACAGAGTGACTGACTCCGTCACTGACAGCCGACACACACACACACACCACACACACACCAAACATTTCCTGCTCTCTTCCCAAATGAACCATGCAATTTCTTATTTATTTTACTTTTGTTTAATTATGGGGAATGATTATGTTAAGAGGGGGTTAACCTGTTTATATTTGGGTCGGATTCTTTTGTTGAAATGTGGTTTTGAGTTGATTGTGTCACCTGTTGACGGTGAGCCTGTGGGAGGGGCTATGGGGTCAAAAGGGACGGTGTTGGTTCCTTGGAGTTTTTTCTGACTGTGTCACTCGGAAGAATGTTGCAATGAAGGCAACAGTTGGGACATGTTTGGGAGTTGGTTGCAGAGAAGGCAACCCAGAGCATGTTTACTCTAATGAGTGATGGACGGCCTGTTTGTGGATTTTATTTTGTTGTCTAACTTGTGCTGGTTCGCTATTTTGTTGTTGTTGCTGATATAAATAAAGTTTGTTTGGAGCTTAAACAACCGACTAAGCCATGTATCGAAGGGACGAATTGAACCCCGTCACACTCACCATCTCATCCGCCTGCAGCTTCTTGTCCATGTTCTGGATGGCACTGAGGAGGAGAGAGGAGTGGACAAATAGAGATGTTAATATTGCAATATGACAACAAGAGTGGCACGATATATTGTGTGGAAAAGTTTGTGTACTGTAACTCATTGAGTGTACTCTTGTTGTCAATGCTTCCATGTTTACCTCTGTTGAAGCCGTTCCTTTTCTTCCTTCAGCTTCTTCAGTCGCTCCAACTTTTCAATGTATCTGCAGACAAAAACCAACATAGAAAACATAATAGTAAGATAATCATTCAAGACGTTTTTTTATCTTGTTGAAGTCCCCTGGAAGCACCGCAGAGACCCCTGGTGGTCCCCAATGCACAGTTTGTGAAACTGATCTGTGACATGGAGCCTATGAGGACAAGGTTATGTTTGCAGGTTGTGTAACTACAGCACGACAGCTTAACTAGAATAACAGCAACTCACACACAGACCGATGCAGCCATGAAAAGACAACACGGATAGACTCAACTAAACCTTGAAACCAGCAGCACAGAAACATCAAAGGCCTAAAAAAAGGACCTCAAACAGCCACAGTAGGGTGTTAGCTGCTAATGCTAACTACCCCAAACGATGATAATGAATTAACCGACAAGATAATCAACTTCAAGCAGAAATGGTCCAAATGAAACTAACGTTAGGAAGTACAACAACGTAAATTGAAACTTAATGTGGAGTTCATATCTAGAAAATAATCAAATGTGTTTTTCATTTTCATTTTATAGTCCTTTTTTCAATTCAGCATGTATTTATGACATATTTAAGCTGTTATTTTAACAAAATCAATTCTTAAATGACTCCTACACCCTCTTCTATCTTCCACCAAAAGCACTGCAGTGACTCGATTCAGAGCGATGTGAAAAACAATTAACATTTAATGGGATCAAGGTTTCTATAAATGGACAGAGGTCCCATTTATAGAAACTTGTGTAAAGGGATGTGTTGTGGATGTTTGTAAGACCACTCTGAAATGTCTAAATGCGGCTATGGAGTTGGGCATTGGCAGGAAGAGGACAGTGTATTCTGTTGTGTAAATGTATCACGTCTTATACTTCTGGTCAATTGCATTTTGTGTGTGAAACATAGACAGAATAGGAGCCACATATGAAGTATTTGTCTGTGTCTGTCACGGTACATGTTTCTGAGTCACTATAGGTGGTGGGCGTGTCATTGGATTTGTGTGGTGACGTTTGCGGATGTATCCGGTTGCTTTTCCCTGCGCACTTTGTCATAGATGGAGGGGGAGTGAGCTGGAGAAGGAAAACGTTTGTTGACCGCACGCATATGGATATGGACTATTGAATGTTTGGAATAAAAGGTCAAACGCATACTGTTGGAAAGACTGAGTTTTTGCGCGTCCACAATGTTTTTCTCTTGTTTAGTCCGTCGCTGCACTTTGTTTGGAATATTACCTCCGCAATACAGATGTTTAGGTACAAGATGGGGCGAAAGCTGGATTTGCGAAAGGTTAAATCCAATCCAACTTTATTTATATAGCACTTTAAAACCTCCAAACCAAAGTGCTGTACAGAGAGATACATACAATATAAAATCACACAGCTCAGCTCACAAAACATAAAAATAAGTATAAAATCACATAAAATATACGAACACAAAACAAACCAGAATAAACGTAACAATTAAAAACCATATAGTAAAAACAATAGACCACTGAAAGCAAATAAAAGCAACAATCTACTTGTTTACGAATGCTAAGGAGAAGAGGTGGGTTTTAAGACGGATTTAAAAGCAGACGGTGTGGAGCCTGTCTGATGAGCAAGGGCAGGTCGTTCCACCGGTTAGGGGCGCAGCAGAGAAAGCACGGTGCCCTCCGCGCTTAGACTTGGGTTACGGTCCAATAGTCCAAAAATCAGCTCAACGTCCAACCCTATCGTCTATCCCTTGACCTCTGAGTGAAACGTCACGGGGTTAAGGGAGAGTGGATAGGAGAATTCGAAAGGACTTAGGAGAAGAGACTGCGGTACTTTAGAGAATCCGACTGCACTTTCACTATCCGACGTGTTTATGATGCGCCAGCGGACGTCATGAATGTGCGTCTGCTGCTGTGGGGTAACCATGGAAACTACAGTTTTCTATACAGCGGACTACAACATGGATGTTTAATAAGAACGAGGGACTACTGTAAACTCATCTAGAGACTCTGCAGCGTGCTCTGATGCTGTTGCTTTGCTTTATGAACGTGGACAACAGAGAAACATATTCTTCAGGACCAAAGTTGGAATTGAAATAAAAAAGGAAAGTGAAACTTGTGCTCGTCACCCTCTCCCTCCGGTCCACATGAATACAAATGATCCCAATACGTATGATTGTGTGAAAAGATCTTAAAATCAATACAGATGTATTTATTATAAACGTTAGTCCTTACCATCTATCACTGTGATCACCATTCAAACATCTTTTAAAAGTTGAACAAACCCCACAGCTCAGTAAAGACTGTGAGATGTTGACTTTATTTGATCATTTCAGTAAAAACTAACGTTCATATTTCTCTCTTTGATTATAATACTGATGAACGTTCAAAACAAAGCACTTTGGCAACTTACCACATACGTTTTAAAATGCTTAATAAGCACCGTAACTTTCATGATATAATTTCTCGGTCATAATCGGTTGTTTCCGTGAACGGCCGACTGTTGAGTGACGGCAAATGCTGCGGCTGCAAGGCATTGTGGGGCAGCATGTTCTCCTCTCCTTTCGGTGAGGGAGGTCCAGTGGTTCCTAAGCTAAAGGAGGTTATAAAGGAAGTTTGAAACCTCCTTTCCTTTCATCTAGAGAATTGGAACGGCACTTCCGGGCCACTGAAGGACTTCCGGGTCATTTCACTCCGTTAGGATGGTTTCCTAAGCTAAATGGACTATTGGCAACCTTGGTTATTGGCACCCTCAGGAGCAACTGATCAGCTGACCTGAGAGTGCGAGTGGGCGTGTAGCTGTGTAAAGAGTACAGAGAGGAGGGTTAGATCGTTTCATGGTGGAATCTTTAGACAGTTTGAGAATGTATGGGAAGCATTCGTCGGCTGCTTTCTTTCTCATATGATGGGACTCTTTATCCTCTGGTGATGAAGTGGCTCTGTTACAGTTTGAGATCGATTTCAAATGTATTTTGACTTTCTTCATTAACCCTTGTGTTGTCTTCCTATCAACTTTTGTCCTCCCGGTTTGACTTGTTATAAAGCATATAGTATTAAATAATCACCCAAATCGGTGCTACACCTTTTAAGGCAACTGTATTCATACCACAAGATGTACTCTACTTTTTCAAATGTGTTGTCAATAGACATCATTTACACAAAATCTAACCTAACGTTCGAGTTAGAAAGGGAGAACATTTACTAAATTGACCACAGATGGTTTGTCATTTTTCTGTCACCAACATAAAATAAACCTTTATCTCGACATAAACAGTTGGGAACGGCTCAAATTATTAATATGAATCACGTATTTGTTTCTCTTAAGGGAATTTAAAGTTCTACCACACATGTAAGGCTTTAATCTGGTGTATTTCAGTGCCAACCCTCTCTCTTTACCTCTCAGTGTTATTGCATCATCGTTTCACATTCTAAATCCCTTCATAATAACATTACATGGAAAAAAAACAACAACAGATAGCATCTCAAATCCTATGATAGACCCCAGTACCCCTCAGGAAATACAACAGTGCCCTAACCTGAGGTCCGTCACTCAGTACCCTCTTTGAAGTGAGCTCATGTATCCCTAACTCCTTAAAATGATTCCTCAACATCTCTCTGTTACATATTTGCTACACTTGAGTACTTCATGTTCTACTGCTGACATTCCTCTGGTGTTTCCCTGTCTATCTTAATGTTTTGTTAAGTGCACACTGCCCCCCTTAACACTTCACAACCACTGATCATAAACCTGTTTCTTTACCTCTCAGTGTTCCTCTCATGTCAGTACTACATGTTCTACTGCTGAGTCTGACATTCCTCTGGTGTTTCTCTACCACTCTGAATGTTTAGTTCACTGCCCCAATCTCACTTTACCCCACTGATCAGAACCTCTTTTCTTTACCTCTCAGTGTTCCTCGCATCATACTTTTTACATTCTAAATCCCTTCACAATTAAATGAAAACAAAAAGCACCTCAAATCCTATGAAAAACCCCAGTACTTTATTTTTTATTTAACCAGATGAAAGCATTGAGATAAAATCTCATTTTCAATGCTGACCTGGCCAAGAAGGCAGCAACGTTACACATAACACAGACATATAAAATACAGAGAACACAACTAAGAAAACAAAAGACGAAAAGCAGTCACTACATTGAGCACATTAGGACAGTAAGAAAGGAACTGCTTATCACTGCAAGAGCAGCTGGTGGTAAGGACCTCAGACAACTTCAATTTAAAACATGCTTTTGAGACAAGTGCCGTCAGTTTGAGATGTGATTGAAGGTCATTCCAAGACCAAGGACCAGAATAAAAAAGACTCATTTTCAAACCTCAGTCCGCATGGCAGGAACCTGGACCCATATCCAGGCTCTGTAGCTAAGGTTGTAAGAGTCACAAACTGGAGCAAATCTGGCACATATGTACAGTGGAAGCTTACCTAAAATGGCTTTATACCCCTGAGGAAATACAACAGTGCCCTAACCTGTGCTCCCTCACTCAGTAGTACCCTCTTTAAAGTGAGCCCCTGTATCCCTAACTCCTAACCCTAATGATTCCTCAACATCTCTATGTTACATATGTTCTACATCTGAGTACTACATGTTCTACTGCTGACATTCCTCTGGTGTTTCCCTGTCACTCTGAATGTTTAGTTTACTGCCCGCTGTCCCAATCTCACTTTACCCCACTGATCAGAACCTCTTTGTTTACCTCTCAGTGTTCCTCGCATCGAAGTACACGAAGTCTCCGGCCTGGACGCAGCGCGCGCAGGTCAGCCTGCGGCGCGAGGTGCTGCAGAGCGGGCATCGCTCCACAGCAACATACAGACCCTCCGCATCGTCTACTGACTCCACCATAAGCACACATCCCGGGGAGGAGTGGGCCGGGTGTAGGGGGTGATGGAGGGGACGGAGAGGCGGTCTGCCAGCGGAGTGAGAGCCGGAGGAGGAGGCAGATCTGTCGGGTCGGAGAGGAGGGAGCCCCGCGGAGGAAGAGGAGGACGCCATGGAGAGGCGCTAACTGCTAAGCTAATGCTAAGCTAACACTAACCTATTAAAAGCTAGATTTAAAACTAGTCAGCGTGACTTAGCGTTTTTCTACCCCTCCATGTTGATAACGTGTGACTGTTATATTATCCGTGGTATCACTGTCATATTTATAAAACCTTTAGAGGAGCTGAAAAATAAGCTGGCAGAGATGTTTTTGTTTTGATTAGAGAACGATGAGACCTCCACTTCCGGTGACTGGTTTGTTTACGAAGTGACGTAACATTAGTGGGCGGAGTCACGGGAAACCTGCTGCGTTAAATATATTTTTGTTTTAAAAACGAATAAAGAACTAATAATTAAAAAAGATAACACGCTCAAACGTTTGTTTACGAAGTGACAAAGGAGTGGGCGGAGTCACCGAAAACTACTGCTTTAAATATATAAAAGCGCAAGTTTATAATAAAAATAATCAAAAGGATATTTACATAAGCTCTTAAGATTTACTTTTACTGGTAACTGTATTCTATGTCAATTCTGTGTCTATTTGTGAGATGTCAATTATTCAATGTGAAGCACTTCGGGCTGCACATCTTGTATGAAATGTGCTGAACCAATAAAACGTATTATTATTATTATATAGTATACAAGTAATAGTTGTTAAACCACATTGTAAAAGGCTCGGGTCAAAGTCTTGCAATAAAGTATTTTTAACTTAATGGTTATGTTCATCAAATCTTTACATAGACCAAAGCTTTAAGAAAAGTTCACGATAAAGTAGTACCAGTCCTAAAACAAATAGGTTTGTAAATAAATTACAAATAACTTAACAAAAGTAAATACATTAAGCAGATTGGCTTATTTCTGAAATTATGTTATTGTAATATAAGTATTGCTGCATTAATGTTTTCATCCTTTAATGTCGCAGCTCATAAATGGAGATGCACAGATTGCAAATTGCATGTCCGATTCAGACTTTCTAAAAACTATAATCGTCAGCAAAACAAAGTTTATTTGATTAGAAAGGAGGTGCTGCAGGGAAGTCAGTCAGAGTTGGGGGGTTAGGGTTGTGACGTGCTGGGGGGGGGGTGGTGGAGCCTCGCAGATTGGGGTGCTGCAGCCCCCTCAGCACCCCCCCGTCCCGCGTCCATGAGGTACAGTACATATAGCTGGGATTTTAAATCAAAAATACATAATTTCGTATGTATTATTATCTGAATATGTTAATTAAATAAATGCAGGCCAGTAAAAAAGTACTCTATAGAACTATAAAGGATGACATGAAAACAGTACAATAACGAAAGTCTGATTCAGAGCAAGATAACAAAGCATTTTACAAGTCATTTTCTTTCTTTTAGGATGGTGAAACATTCAACAGAGACTCAAAAACCAAACACGCGAGTCATTTACCATCCGCAAAATAAAAACATACAATAATTATATATTATCTATTTACAAATAAACAGGAAGTGACAACAGAGGTTGGCCTCACTGTTTCCTGAAGCCTTTTAGGATCGGATAAATGTTCTCAAACGCATCGTAGATCTCCTCTCGTTCTTTAGCTCCTGCAAATGATCACAAGTAAATTATTAATAATGAACAATTATTATAACTTTGTTTAAAAAAAACAGAATGTGCAAATTAGCTCTGAGTGTTAGCGATGCTAATGTAAACACCGACCATATTACGTCCAAAACAGTCGGCATTGTTTCCGATAGCAACGTTTCTGATTGGGCCGTGGGTCCACATTTCAGATATTACGTCATATCGGACGCAAATCTGGATCAGCTCCGTTGTACCACCGTTTTTAGAGATTTGGGTTATAACAAGTACTTAGTGCATGTGAAATACATTTTAGTTGAAGAGAGCAATTAGCATTTAGCAAAAACTGCTTCTTTACGAACACTTAAAACCACAAAAACCTTGTAATTATAAAACAGTTGGTAAAAAATAATGTTTAAATCTCCAATTGTATGTTAGTGGATTTCTGAAATTATAGACAGTGTGTTTTAAATATTTTTGAACTGGATCCTCTTCTGATTTAACTTCTGTCTATAATAAAACGTTTTGAGTTTCGTTACCGGTCAGAACAACTTTCCCAGAGACGAAGATGAGCAGCACGATGCGAGGCTTCACCATGCGGTAGATGAGGCCTGGAAACAGCTCTGGTTCATAACTGTGGAGACAGAAACATTGTGTATAAAGCTTTTGAAAATCATGCTAATAATCAGAATAAACTTCCTCAAAAATCTATTTCACAATTCATCAAAAAGGTTAATGCTTTCCAGTTTCTGTAAAACCCTAATCTCGCTAACAGGAACTAGAAGCTAACTATTTGCTAAAGCTGCCTTTAGATGATAGGCGGTAAAACCAATACCAAAACCTTACTAGCCAAACTATTGTACAATGCCATGTCTTTTTATGCTGCTGCAACACAAACATTTCCCAAATTGGGATCAATAAAGTACTTCTTATCTTATCTTAGTGGGAAGCGCCACCCATGAAAGATTACCTGCGTCAATCAAATAAGATGTAGCAACACCATTTGGCCACTATGACAATTTTCTTCAACACCACTTCCTGGGGGCTTGGGTATAGCTGCCCCTGGACCCAGTCTTATGCTAAGCTAGGCTAACCTGTCTGCAACATAATGTATTGGCTTTATAATATATAGGACTTAACTAAAGTAAATGTATACATTAAAGGTGGGGTAGGTAAGTTTGAGAAACCAGCTTGAGTGCGCTAGAAATTGAAAATACACAACCGGAGAAAATCTGCCACTTCCTTCCAGAGCCCCTCCTCCAACACACACGAACGCGCACATGACCAATGAGGGCACGAGATAAGTTTGTGCACAGATGGAAGGCTGACAGGCAGGTCGGCCATCTACTACGGCTTCCACTGATGACATTTCTTTATGGATTTGTTATCAAAGCACTTCAGATATTCATTGCTATCGGATGTTAAGAGCATTCCATGGAATATAACAAAAAGTGTATCTCGAGCCGGTTTCTCAAACTTATCTACCCCACCTTTAAGAAGTTTTTGGCTTATTTCTGAATACTCTGCATTATGTTTTTGTAATATAATTATTGCTGCATTAATGTTGTTATCCTTTTAAAAGGGTTAGCTATTATGCAAAATCCACTTTTTCATTTATTTTATACATAAACATGTGTCCCCTCTGTGTAAAGAGATTCTGAAATGGCGCATTTCCACTGCAGGGCCTCACACAGCTCAGTACGGTATAGTTAGGCCTTGTTAGACCAGGCTCACTTTATGCTGCGTTTCCATTACAGTTTAGTAGCTGGGGCTGTAACTATAGTAACGCAGTGTAGGCGGAGTCATGACGTCATTCAATGCGAACCACAAAACCAACATCAGCCGTTAGCTGTTAGCCCTCAGAGCTCACAGCTCCTCATATCTGTTCAGAAACTAGACAAAAGTTAAACAAGTACAAACCACAGACTGCCTGTGTCATGGCGAATACAGTCGCTAGTTTATTTATGTCTGTAGGCCGTTGTTGTGAGTGTGGACGGTCGGAGCATATACTGCGTTAGCTTAGCCGATCTCCATTTAGAAAACACACATTCTGCAGACTTGTCAAAGCATTAATTCATGGTTTTTACTAACCGGTATCAGCATGTTGTTACTTCGGCATCATTTGAAACGTGTATTACAATTAAATCACGGTCAATGTCAATGTATGTTCATCTTGTTGTAAATCAAATCAAGTTTTATTTATATAGCACATTTATAAACGATTTTTGGTGGAGCCAAAGTGCTGTACATATAATAAAAATAGCCTACAGTAGAGACACTTTACAGCAAATACAACAGCACAGATTGTTTAGAATATCAGTATGAGAAAAACGACACCCTCTGTCCTTAGACCCTCTGTCCTCAGACCCTCACATCGTACAAGGAAAAACTTCCGGAGTTGTAGTTGTAGTCCCCTTGCCAGCGATTCTCTCTGACCATTCAGCAGTCGAGTGTTTACGTCACTAGTTTAGCATATTCAGCCCGGTTGTTGGCCCGGTAAGAACCTCGATTTTGGAGGGCCAGAACAAAGGTGAAAAAGTAGCCCTGAGCCGGAACTACCGCTAGTGGAAAAGCAAAAAAAAAACGGGCCGGGTTCGGCACGGCACGCTTAAACCGTGCTGCAGTGGAAATGCGCCAAAAGTTTTCAGGAAAAAAGATTCTCTCACTTTTTGTCCTGATCCATTTATATCAAAACCTGCCAAAATCACCAACCAAGGTAACCCCCCCCCTTATCACCTGAATCTCCTCCTAGAGCACCATTGTATTCTTTTTAACCAAATATCTTGCAGAGAGGGAGGGGAGTATGCTAAGCTAACCTGTCTGCAACACAGTGAGTGTCTACCTGCTGAACTGCTGGTGAGTCAGCACCAGGCCCTCCAGTCTGATGGGGAAACAGACGTCACAGCTGGCCACCATGTTCTGGATCTTAAAGTCCGTGAAGCGGGCGGGAAAACCGAGTTTCTGAACCACACGGGCGTACTTCCTGGCTGCCAGACGTGAGTGCTCCTCACTGCACAAACACAAGGGTGAGCCATTTAAAAAACAAACTGTCCCACCTTTACCTGGAGACACAGACAGACAGACAGACAGACAGACAGACAGACAGACAGACAGACAGACAGACAGACAGACAGACAAATATCTTATCTTAATTATCATAGTTTACATACAAATAGGAAGATAAATGAAACTTTTGTTATCTGAACATGGACTTGTAGGAATATTTGTTTGTTTTACTTTATTATTTTAACCCTGGAAATGGGTGTATGTATATGTGTACATATATAGAATTGTGTTTATCTGTGTGAGTATTTAATTACGTAATTATCTTTTTCTTCTTTATCCTGCAACAGGATGGGCTACCTCTGTATAAACTATGCTTTCTGCCCTCCCGCTTCTACTAATTGTGTTAGTTTTTCGGATGTATAAACTGTCTAATTGTTGAAATAGTACAATAAATACATTTAAAAAAACAGACAGACCTCTTGGCTCCTGTACAGACCATCTTCCCGGAGCTGAAGATCAGAGCGGTGGTTCGAGGCTCTCTGATCCTCATGATGACCGCCGCAAAACGCTGCAACAAAACAGGACACCTGAACAATGCTGGGGAGACGTTACAGCAATCACTACAACTTTGAAATACTTTACAGTAATAAGTCAGTATAGTGATGTATACTCAGAGATGGCAAAAGTACACATATCCTTTACTCAAGTAGAAGTAAAGACACTCGTGTTTAAAAATACTCGAGTAAAGAAGTTTAGTCAGTACTTCTACTTTTACCAAAGTAAAAGTAAAGAGGCTTTGAAGTGTACTTCAGTAAAAAGTACCCATAACTAGCAGCTGTTTTAAAGAGTACCTGACCTCCCTTTATATTAATAGAACAATAATGTCATTGTTAGCTAATGAATGTTTCCATGCTGAACAACGGCAACATGACAACGTTTCCATTGGTCCCTCTTCTTTAGAGAAGACCAGGAAATGATGGATACACGGATCGTGTTCAAATCAATAGGCACGCAATGACTCTAAAGAATAATGATCACGCATCAAACACACATTCAGACTAAAGGAACCAGCTGTTTGGGAAATGAGAGAAGTAGAAAGTACAGGTATTTGTGTTCAACATGTAAGAAGTAGAGAGTACAGGTATTTGAGTTCAACATGTAAGAAGTAGAAAGTACAGGTATTTGAGTTCAACATGTAAGAAGTAGAAAGTACAGGTATTTGTGTTCAACATGTAAGAAGTATAAAGTACAGGTATTTGTGTTCAACATGTAAGAAGTAGAAAGTACAGGTATTTGTGTTCAACATGTAAGAAGTAGAAAGTACAGGTATTTGTGTTCAACATGTAAGAAGTAGAAAGTACAGGTATTTGTGTTCAACATGTAAGAAGTAGAAAGTACAGGTATTTGTGTTCAACATGTAAGAAGTAGAAAGTACAGGTATTTGAGTTCAACATGTAAGAAGTAGAAAGTACAGGTATTTGAGTTCAACATGTAAGAAGTAGAAAGTACAGGTATTTGTGTTCAACATGTAAGAAGTAGAAAGTACAGGTATTTGTGTTCAACATGTAAGAAGTAGAAAGTACAGGTATTTGTGTTCAACATGTAAGAAGTAGAAAGTACAGGTATTTTGAGTTCAACATGTAAGAAGTAGAAAGTACAGGTATTTGTGTTCAACATGTAAGAAGTAGAAAGTACAAGTATTTGTGTTCAACATGTAAGAAGTAGAAAGTACAGGTATTTGAGTTCAACATGTGAGAAGTAGAAAGTACAGGTATTTGAGTTCAACATGTAAGAAGTAGAAAGTACAGGTATTTGAGTTCAACATGTAAGAAGTAGAAAGTACAGGTATTTGTGTTCAACATGTAAGAAGTAGAAAGTACAGGTACTTGGGTTCAACATGTAAGAAGTAGAAAGTACAGGTTTTGTGTTCAAAATGTAAGAAGTATAAAGTACAGGTGTTTGTGTTCAAATGTAAGAAGTAGAAAGTACAGGTATTTGTGTTCAACATGTAAGAAGTAGAAAGTACAGGTATTTGTGTTCAACATGTAAGAAGTAGAAAGTACAGGTGTTTGTGTTCAAAATGTAAGAAGTAGAAAGTACAGGTATTTGTGTTCAACATGTAAGAAGTAGAAAGTACAGGTATTTGGGTTCAACATGTAAGAAGTAGAAAGTACAGGTTTTGTGTTCAAAATGTAAGAAGTATAAAGTACAGGTGTTTGTGTTCAAAATGTAAGAAGTAGAAAGTACAGGTGTTTGTGTTCAACATGTAAGAAGTATAAAGTACAGGTGTTTGTGTTCAACATGTAAGAAGTAGAAAGTACAGGTGTTTGAGTTCAACATGTAAGAAGTAGAAAGTACAGGTGTTTGTGTTCAAAATGTAAGAAGTAGAAAGTACAGGTATTTGTGTTCAACATGTAAGAAGTAGAAAGTACAGGTGTTTGTGTTCAACATGTAAGAAGTAGAAAGTACAGGTGTTTGAGTTCAACATGTAAGAAGTAGAAAGTACAGGTGTTTGTGTTCAAAATGTAAGAAGTAGAAAGTACAGGTTTTGTGTTCAAAATGTAAGAAGTCAAAGTAAAAAGTCGTCAGAAAAATAAGTAGGCTATTGGAGTAAAGTACTGATACCAGAAACATGTACTTAAGTACAGTAACGAAGTATTTGTACTCCATTACTTCCCACCTCTGTGTATACTGTACTGACTTATCACTGTAAAACTTCAAAGCTAACTTTGAGCTAACCTTGTCTAAGCGCTAATATATCAACAAATTATAGTTTTATATTCTGAACACCAGTTAAATTTGTATTTTGGCATAAAGGACAAAAAGAAAACGTACCCAGAAACTGTTTGGGACTTCTAAAGAACATTACATTACACCAATGTTTACAATGAAGAAATCAATCATTGGGAATATTTAGTAGGGTTAGTTTAGTTTTTAGGGCATTTGGTTAGTTTGAGGCTTTAGATAATGTTTCTGTACAATACATGATATCTCTTCGCTTCTAAATGTGTTTGTAATATATTGTAAAATCTGACGGTACCTTTGGGTTGTACTCTGCATTTCTGGCTTGCAGGGCGATGAACTTGAGATCCAGAGGACAGCACAGGTTCACTGTGGAGACGATGTTCCTGCAGACACACGGAAACACCAGCATGTCACTCTATCTGAAGGCAGCAGAACACTTAAAACTTGAAAGTATAAACTGTTTGTACAGACCAAAACCGAATCAGACTTTTCCTGCAATGGCAATAAAAACAAGGTTAAAAAGCCATTAGTTTCGCTTTTGTCTGTCGCCATAGGTTTTTAACAGTCGCCATTTTGTTTTTGTGGAACCGGTAGAGAAATAGGATGGTTGAGCCCAACCTAATTCTACTTTCATGAATTTGAAAATAACACTAAAAATGTGCAGACCGAAAAACCTTGTGATAGCAAAGCCAAATCACATGGTGGCCGAGTCATAAAAAAACCTAGGTCTTTGTCATCAATTTTAATTTAAATAGAAAATATATTACATCATGACATGGTTCTGAATTGAAGAAGACTGGAAACTAAAGATTAAGACCACACACTTGTCAGGAACATGTTTAATGACGTAATAAACCAAGTGAGAAGTAGTATAATTTTCTCATAGACTTCTATACAACCTCAATATAATTGGAGTCGCCCCCTGCTGGATATTTAAAATAATGCAAGGTTTAAAGCACTTTACGTGACGCTGTATTGAAAGATACCTGAAACTAGCAATTGAGACCATAACCTTGTCAGGAACTGTTTTAATGAGGTAATAAACCAAGTTAGAAGTCTATACAATCTCAATATAATTGGAGTCGCCCCCTGCTGGATATAAGAGAGAATGCACTTCAGAACCATAACTACTACAGTTAAAGTATCAGTACTATGTTCTTATGTTCATCAGTGACTTACGGTAACAAATCATTCTCTCATAGACTTTTAAACAATCTAGATCTAATTGGATCTTCGTTATCAGTGACTTACTGTAGCTGTGGGATGATTCCTGACTTCTCAGTTACAGGGGTCATTGGGGTCATGGGGGTCATTGGGGTCATGGGGGTCATGGGGTAGAAAGCACTGGTCCCTAGCCCCGAAACCGACGCCACCTGCTGGGGGTTCTCTTGTGTTGCCAGTGTGGAAGCCTGGGAGTTGAAGTCCAAACCGACACCACTGTCCCGAGAGTCATTCAGAGCTGAAGTCTGACTGTCATCTGAAACAAAAACACACAACAGGGCTTCTTTAATTCAAAGCAAAAAAACATAAAATCATTCATGCCCCTTTTTTTAATCCACACATTGTTTATCTGTTCTCTATACAGAGGGGTGCAGGGATTACTTGTTTTTGTAGGCAGATATCAATGTTTTATACTGGTTCCCTAACAAAAAGCCAGTGGGATTTTTCTATTGGATTATTGCAGCAAAAAAGCTTTTTATGATACTTGCACGTTTGGTTCAGCAGCATTATCTCCACATATTAACATCACTTTTATGATTTATGAAGCTTAAATGCCATCTCCAGAAGTTCAAAGCTAATGTTAGGCTATAAAGGAACTACAGCACGGTCACATGACTTCACCACAGCTAAGCTAAAGGCAGGGTTGGGTTGTAACGGAATACATGTAACGGTGTTGCGTAATCAGAATACAAAAATCAAGTAACTGTATTCAGCTCGCGTTCTGATTACAGTTACTTTCGTAAACTTGAAGTGAATACATTTTGGATTACTTATTGGAATTATTGGTGGAAAGATTTCCTCACAACATTTAATATGCATTACTAAAGGTACAGCCGAATCATCACAGCGCACAAAACCTATTACCGCGCAGATGGACCAAAAAAGGGAGCGTTTGAAAAAAATGTGCGGGTCCGCTCAGTGAAACAATAACAACAAAACATGGAGGAACAAAAGTCTGCGTTTAAATCGTGTGTGTGTGTGTGTGTGTGTGTGTGTGTGTGTGTGTGTGTGTGTGTGTGTGTGTGTGTGTGTGTGTGTAGAGGTGTGTGTGGTTAAAACACATCAGCCACACCGCTCTTTAGCCTTTCTAATGATTCTGAAGGTAAACACAGTGAAGGCGGTGCGTGAAAGGCACTCGTCACTCGGTGCGTGAAAGGCGCTCGTCTTCTCAGAGGCTGAGTTAACCCTCCCGCTGCCTCCTGGTGCTGCAGAGATTTCATGAAGTGAAGGAGGTTTTCCTTCTATAAAACAGCTGCGGGCAGCAGATACTGTGAGAGTCACGGACATGAATACATAGATCAAGGCAGACTGGTGCACACATTCTCCTGTTTTGCCGATCCAGTGCTTAAACAAATATAGCTCTACACCCCTGGCCGAAATGTCCTGAAAATGAAGTCCGAGTTCGACATTTTAATTCATGTCCTGCCAACAGAATGCGACACGCCCGTTCTAAGCCGTGTCCCTCACTCCTCACATCCCAAGCTGCATCCCCAAAAAGTGTATTATGTTGTTACATCGTTTCAGATGTTGTGTTTCAGTTGTGCTCTTGATAAGCCATTAAAAAACAGTAAAAACACGTTCAGTTTCCTTTTTGTGTCTCCTGTTCACCAAAACATACCCATCTGTGATGGAAAAAGAAAGTAATCCAAAAGTAATCTAAAAGTAATCTGATTACGTTACTTTTTTAAGACACGTAACTGTAACTGTATTCGGATTACTTTCAGAGCCATGTAATCAGTAATCAGTAACTGATTACATTTACAAAGTAACCCTCCCAACCCTGGCTAAAGGTGGCTAATGTTGGACTATAAAAGGAACTACACCACGGTCACATGACTTCACGTCACCACCGCTAAGCTAAAGGTGGCTAATGTTGGACTATAAAAGGAACTACACCACGGTCACATGACTTCACGTCACCACCGCTAAGCTAAAGGTGGCTAATGTTGGACTATAAAAGGAACTACACCACGGTCACATGACTTCACGTCACCACCGCTAAGCTAAAGGTGGCTAATGTTGGACTATAAAAGGAACTACACCACGGTCACATGACTTCACGTCACCACCGCTAAGCTAAAGGAGGCTAATGTTGGGCTATAAAGGAACTACAGCACGGTCACATGACTTCACGTGAACACCGCTAAGCTAAAGGAGGCTAATGTTGGGCTATAAAGGAACTACAGCACGGTCACATGACTTCACGTCACCACCGCTAAGCTAAAGGAGGCTAATGTTGGGCTATAAAGGAACTACAGCACGGTCACATGACTTCACGTCACCACCGCTAAGCTAAAGGAGGCTAATGTTGGACTATAAAAGGAACTACACCACGGTCACATGACTTCACGTCACCACCGCTAAGCTAAAGGAGGCTAATGTTGGGCTATAAAGGAACTACAGCATGGTCACATGACTTCACGTCAACACCGCTAAGCTAAAGGAGGCTAATGTTGGGCTATAAAGGAACTACAGCACGGTCACATGACTTCACGTCACCACCGCTAAGCTAAAGGAGGCTAATGTTGGACTATAAAAGGAACTACACCACGGTCACATGACTTCACGTCACCACCGCTAAGCTAAAGGAGGCTAATGTTGGGCTATAAAGGAACTACAGCACGGTCACATGACTTCACGTCAACACCGCTAAGCTAAAGGAGGCTAATGTTGGACTATAAAAGGAACTACAGCACGGTCACATGACTTCACGTCACCACCGCTAAGCTAAAGGAGGCTAATGTTGGGCTATAAAGGAACTACAGCATGGTCACATGACTTCACGTCACCACCGCTAAGCTAAAGGTGGCTAATGTTGAGCATGATGACATTTAGTTGTTTCATTCAGACACTTGTTAGCCATTTTTTTTATTCACCAATGGGATATTTACTGACGTATTTTATGTCATAGAACAAATTGTAAAATCTCTTCAGCTTGTGTTATAACCACAGACCTTATTTCTGGCATCTAACCAAAAATGCTAACATGCCAACTAATTTCCCGGGTTTTAGGACTCATTCCTGCACTACAAATGTGTTCCCGTGCCGTCATACTTATGTTTGCATGACTGGGGTCCTGCGTGCTGAGCTCATCAGGCAGGAAGCTGAGGTCCAGATCCTCCGCCGGCTTCACCTTCAGCGGGGGGGCGGAGGCGTCCGGACCCTCGAGGTCCAGATCATCCTCCAAGAGGAAGTCGTCCTGCAGAAAGTGATTTTATATAAAAAATGTACGACATTTACGTAAGACCTCCGACAATTATTCAGTGGAGGCACAGACTTCAACAGGTCTACAGGATGGAAAAGATGACGGCAAGTCTACAAATGAGAATGGACTCCTTTATCAAAAGGTGGAACGGTTTATAATTATGGAGTGTAATGGAGTTTTGGCGATTAGGCCCCGTTGTGCAGGAGTATGATGATGAATGATAGGCCTACTCCTGCACAACGGGGCCTAATCGCCAAAACTCCATTACATTCATTTGTGCATTCCTGGCAATAAATATGTGTTCTTACATCAAAACCGTCTCTCCTGATTGAATTGTCTTTATTTGTGAAAAGTTAGAGTCATACAGAAACTTGAGTACAGAGAGGATTTTTTAAATATGCTAATAATGTGAAAATTCAAGTGTATAGCTCATGTTAGCAAAACATTGTTTTGATGAAATGGTGCATCTTCAATTCAATAAACTTTTAAATCAGATTAAGTACTGTATTAAAAACAAGGTGATATGTGAAATTGAAATACTTTTATTGGCAACAAATCACTGAAACACTATTCAATTATTGTCTTTACTGATTATTTGATTATTAGGTGGGGTAGGTAATTTTGGAGAAACCAGCTCGAGTGCGCTAGAATTTGAAAATACACAGCCGGAAAAAATCTGCCCCTTCCTTACAGAGCCCCTCCTCCAACACACATGAACGTGCACATGACCAATAAGGGCGCGAGATAAGTTTGTGCACAGATGGAAGGCTGGCTAAAATGATTGGTCGTGCTTTTTACAGCGCCACGGCTTCCACAGATGACATTTTTTTAGATTTTTTGTCAAAGCACTTAAGATATTCATTGCTATCGGGATGTAATGGAATATAACAAAAAGTGTATCTCGAGCCGGTTTCTCAAACGTACCTACCCCACCTTTAAATGATAAAAACTCCTCTTGTTATATCTAAATGAAAAGTCACCTCCGTTTCAATGTACTCGAACTCAACAGGTGTTCACTGATTACCTGAACAATTTGATGTTAAATAAACCTTTAGCAGGTGAAACCAGCAGTATAGCCAATCAAACACTCGTATTTTATTTATTTATATACCCCAATATCATAAGGAAACACATTTTCATGAAGGGGTTTTTACAGACTTTACAGCATAACCTCTTTAGACCCTATAGCAGAGCACGTGTTAAAACTTCCCCAAATCAACCCCCACATTTGAGGTGAAACAAACTCAGAGTATTGGCCTGCAGACATTTTAAACTGTACTCTTTTTAGTCAGTACTCACTTTTGCAATGGAGTCATCAAAGTAACGCTCCAACGCAAACTCGTCCATGAGTGAAGATCCATGGGATTTGATTCAGGAGCTTCCACAGCTGCATCCAATCATGAACTCATCAACGCTAACGCGCGCGCGCGCACACACCACACACACACACACACACACACACACACACACACACACACACACACACACACACACACACACACACACACACACACACACACACACACACACACACACACACACACACACACACACACACACACACACACACACACACACTTCACCCGAAGGGAAACACACTTCACATTATTAAAAGTCTTATTATCATGGTGCAGTTCACCCTCCCTCCTGCAGGGGGAACCGACTCGTCTCAATCACAATAAAAGAAGCTGAGTTCTGCGCATGCGCACCGGATGTAAACAAAGCAGCATGGCACAGTGAAGATGGGAGAGATCTGACAGCAGCGGAATGTATCGGTTATATATTTATTTATTTTATTTTGATCAGATATATGATATTGTTTGTTTGTGATGACGGAGTAACATAATGGAGTCTGTGAAGAAACGACTGGCTGAGTTTTCTGTGGAGGCTCACGGTGAGAAACATTAATACTGTAGTACTACAACTAAGTACTACTGCTAGTATTACAATGATTACTGCCACCACTCATTGTTACTCCAACTAGTGCAACCTACTTCTTACTATCAATTCACTACTACCAGTAACTTACTAGTACTAATAGGTATTAGTTACTACTGTTACTTTTTTCTTTTCCTTCAACCACTACTACCATATTTACTAGTATTATAATCACTAGATTGTAACTAGTACTTGCTGCTACTTAAACATTATGAACAAACTACTAAGTGTGTGTGTGTGTGTGTTCCAGGTGACATGAGATTTTAACTAATACTTGCTGCCACTTAAAAATATTTGTTATGAACAAACTACTAAATAAGTAGTATAACGTGTTATTTTGGCACAAATCTGACTTTTTAAAATGTAATAATCGATCAATTAATTAATGATCCAATCTAGAAAATGGAGGAATTACACTTTTGAGTCTTTGATTTGATCTAAACTTTTTTAATTCCCCATATATAACTCTATTAACTCTACTTTCTATTACCTGTTTCAACCTAGTCGAGAGGTCAGGAAAATAATGATTTCACAACCAAGACTGTGTTATTTCAGATACTGGCTGATCAGAAACAAATCTTCATTCTCCTATTGTCGTTCATTATTGATATAATAGATGACTGATGTGTGTTCAGGTTACCATGTAGAAGGCTTCACTGTTTTATTTATACTTCTCTAAAAAATACTTATTTCTAGAAGACATTTTCACTTAATTCAACCATTTTTTTACTAACTTCCTTCTTGCCTTATTCAGATTAGATCAGATGTATTCTCCCCAGGGATATATATATGTTTGTCCATATATATTTTAAAGGGGACCTATCATGCTAAATGCACTTTGTGATGTATTTTCTACATAAAGATGTGTCCCCGGTGTGTCGGGGAACTCACGCAGCGTCAGAAAATAAAACCCTCTCTCTTTCCCTCCGTACCCAAATCTCTAAAAACGGGGAACAACGGAGCTGATCCAGATTTGCGTCCGATATGACGTAATATCTGAAATGTGGACCCACGGCCCAATCAGAAACGTTGCTATCAGAAACAATGCCCGACTGTTTTGGACGTAATATGGTCGGTGTTTACATTAGCATCGCTAACACTCAGAGCTAACCTGTACTGGAGAGCATGTGTGTGAAGAAGCAGGAAGTAAAAAGGAACTCACCTTGTGGTATAACCGGCAAGAGAGAAAGCCTTTGAGCTCCAAACTTGATGATCCATGATATGGCGTTTCATCACGGCAGCATTTAGTTTAGACAGTAGCTGCCGGGTCCCGCATGAGCTCAGACCCATACTTTTTTATAAATGTATTAAAGCTTTATACCCGAATCAGCACTTTTGAAACAGGAAGTGAAATAGAGGGATATGAAGCAGTAGGTTGATTGTAAGTGGAAAGGCCTTTTGTCTGTGTACATTTACTTTGTTTCAGACCCGGCGCCAGAACAAATCTAAAGGGAGGGCATATGATTTTCATGGGAGGGCACACAAAACCGTCACGTGCTGCGGGCCTGCGGCACAATATATATCAAACAGCAAGGCCAACAGGATTGCGTAAAGACGCACACTTATCGCAAACATACACAAATAAAAGGCAACATAGCAACCACTTTGAAACATTGTGTGCGTGGCAGCACAGACACTGGTAAATCACGAGCAAGGCACACTGGTTACGGATGGCAGCTTCCTCATCGCTGCACTCGGAGAGAAATAGTAGAGACGGAGACGATGAGCTGTTTAGCCCGCCTTGGGCATGGTTTATGTTCCGATGCACTGCACTCGGACATGCTGTGGAGTTAATCGAGTCACCTCTGAGAGGGAGTTGGTTGACAGCTAAAAAAGCTATAATATCAACAACAGCTGACACGTAATAACGGCTCCGTGCAGCTGATCTGCACCAAAGTTCTAATTTCCTTATTTGTTTCCTCACGTATCTGTCTCTCTCTCCACAAACTCTCACATGAAATGTGAGAGTTTGATGCGGCATGTCTTAGCAGTCCTTTATCAGTCTGTAATGCGTGTTTCCAGTCGCAAAAACCTTTGACAGTAAAAGCCGCATCAGATGAAGACAAAAGGCTGCGTCTGCTTTTAACAAATCTTCAAGCCATGGTCTGTTGTTGTACCATGCAACGGCAAAAGTGCGCTTCTTTCCTGAAAACAATCTCCCTGGATAACGATCCAGCTTCACCTGCTTGGATTTATTAACTCCAAGATCATCGCTAACTCAGCCCCGGGGTTTGCCGAGGTCAAGCTTGTGACATTAAGGCGTGCTGCTGCAACGGCAGGTGCAGGGTCGCCAGCAGCACCATCGGCTGCAGTTCTTTCATCGCTATTTCGTTTTAATAAATCCTTAGACCTTTTAAGCCAATTTCTGATGTCCATTTTGTAATTCAAACAGAAATGGGAGTCTACAGAATGCACAATAAACAAATCCAGAATAGGCAGCAGAGTGTGACGCTGTGATTGGTCTAAATGGGGACGAATCACAAATCACAACAGACACATGCATTTATTTGACGTAGCCTGCGATTTTTTTTGTTTGTTCTGACATCACATACATCGTAGCATAAAAGTTCACAGTTTATTTATAATTAAAAAAATAAAATATATATATTTTTTAATTTTTATAAATAATAAAAAACGTGTTTATTGGGGGAGGGCAGGAATGTCAAATGGGAGGGCCTGGCCCTCCCTGGCCCTCCCTGGCCCTCCCTGGCCCTCCCACGGCGCCGGGCATGCTTTGTTTGTTTTTCTGTATTTGTTGTATATTTATGTTAAAGGAGAGGTGTCATGGCCATTTCCACTGATCATAATTCCATTGTTGAGGTCGACTAAAATAGAAAAATACTGTGCAATTTTCCAAACTCACATTGGTTTCGCACACAGCATCTCTGTAAAGTATGTGTATTCAGCAGTATTCACTCTCTCCACTAAACGGCTCGTTGCAGCTCTTGCCCCCCCTCCCTGTGAGCCCAGTGTGCTCCGATTGGTCGGGACCAGTCGGGACGTTGTGAATCGCGCTGAGCTCCGTGGAGGTGTGGTTTCATTGTTTAGCGATACACAGCCAAACTCATCCTGAGCACACACAAAGTCACAGCCGAAGTAAAAACAATAAGTGTGGCTTCATATTGAGTAAGAAAAGGGTTGATAAACGCTGTGAGAATGGGTCTGCAGAGAGAATGGATCTGCAGAGAGAACGGGTCTGTAGAGAGAATGGGTCTGCGGAGAGAATGGGTCTGTAGAGAGAATGGGTCTGCAGAGAGAATGGGTCTGTAGAGAGAATGGGTCTGCAGAGAGAATGGGTCTGTAGAGAGAATGGGTCTGCGGAGAGAATGGGTCTGCGGAGAGAACGGGTCTGCAGAGAGAATGGGTCTGCAGAGAGAATGGGTCTGTAGAGAGAATGGGTCTGTAGAGAGAATGGGTCTGCAGAGAGAATGGGTCTGCAGAGAGAACGGGTCTGCAGAGAGAACGGGTCTGCAGAGAGAAATGGGTCTGCAGAGAGAATGGGTCTGTAGAGAGAATGGGTCTGCAGTGAGAATGGGTCTGCAGAGAGAATGGGTCTGGACAGAGAGAATGGGTCTGCAGTGAGAATGGTCTGCAGAGAGAATGGGTCTGCAGAGAGAATGGGTCTGCAGAGAGAATGGGTCTGCGGAGAGAATGGGTCTGCGGAGAGACGGGGTCTGCGGAGAGAACTGGGTCTGCGGAGAGAACGGGTCTGCGGAGAGAACGGAGTCTGCGAGAGAACGGGTCTGCGGAGAGAACGGGTCTGCGGAGAGAACGGGTCTGCGGAGAGAACGGGTCTGCGGAGAGAACGGGTCTGCGGAGAGAACGGGTCTGTAGAGAGAACGGGTCTGCAGAGAGAACGGGTCTGCAGAGAGAACGGGTCTGCAGAGAGAACGGGTTCTGCTAGAGAGAATGGGTCTGCAGAGAGAATGGGTCTGCAGGAGAATGGGTCTGCAGAGAGAACGGGTCTGTAGAGAGAATGGGTCAGCAGAGAGAGAACGGGTCAGCAGAGAGAATGGGTCTGCAGAGAGAATGGGTCTGCAAAGAGAACGGGTCTGTAGAGAGAATGGGTCTGCAGAGAGAACGGGTCTGCAGAGAGAACGGGTCTGTAGAGAGAACGGGTCTGCAGAGAGAACGGGTCTGCGGAGAGAACGGGTCTGCAGAGAGAACGGGTCTGCAGAGAGAATGGGTCTGCAGAGGAACGGGTCTGCGGAGAGAATGGGTCTGCAGAGAGAACGGGTCTGCAGAGAGAATGGGTCTGCAGAGAGAACGGGTCTGCAGAGAGAATGGGTCTGCAGAGAGAATGGGTCTGCAGAGAGAACGGGTCTGCAGAGAGAATGGGTCTGCAGAGAGAATTTAGCCGCGATCCCAACTGTCTGTTATCAGCCTGCAGCCAGGGAGGAGAGATCAGCAGAGCTGCCTGCACTGAGTGTGTGAGGAAGTCCGTGGATTGGTCAATTTGGACCAATCAGCGGGGGCTTAACGTAACGGCTCCGCGGACGTAACGTAACAGCTCCACGGATTGGTCCATTTGGTTCCGGGTACCGCATGACCGTATCGCGTTATAGTTCTGGGCGTGGCTACTGGGTGCTTCTACGACACACCACCCAGGAAGTAAAAAATGGACAATGACGTTTCACTAACGAGGCGTAGCAAGATATCCCAAGCTGCCAATCCTTCTAATTAAATATCTTTGCAAGTTTCTTTAGTGCGTATATATCTCATTTCAACACAAATAAATTCAAACAACCTTCACTTAGAGATGTATTCATTTATTGATTTCTCTGTGCAGCACTTTAGTCTGGAGGTTTTAAAGGTATTCACAAAAATAAGCTGTATTGTATAAAGTGCTGCTTACAGTGCTGACTCCTCAGTTTTCTGTCTCTTCTGAAGTGCTGAGATCAATCAGACTCATTGTTTACTGATTACCTTTCAGACTTGTACCTGAACCGATCAGTGCCGTACCTGGAGGAGCCGCCCGACCCGCTGCACTTCTACCGCGACTGGATTGGTCCAAACAAACCGTGCATCATCCGCAACGCCTTCAGCCATTGGCCGGCTCTGTCCAGGTGGACGCCAGACTACCTGAGGTGAGGAAGCCCCGCCCACTCTTAGGTCCTTCTTCTTCTGTGGTGTCAGGGTGTGATATATATACCATTTTTTTTTTTTATTCGCACGTTGTTGGCATATACAGTATGTGTTAGAAAAATCTCCCTCGTCCCCGGCTTGAGCTTCAACCTCAGGATCCATGTGTTTGTGATCCTCTCCAGAATGGAAGGAGTCATCACATACAGAGCATCAACTAGTTCCTGAACAGTGTCCTTCACATGCTGATATCCAAGAGAGGGAGTTACACAGTCACAAGATGGAGGAATAGAAAGCAGTATTCAATGTTTACTTCAGATTAGCTCCACGTCAGAAATGAGCATGCTTGATGTCTCTCTCCATAGAGGCTGAATCATCATGTTAATCACATAGCTATCATATGCCTCAAACAGTCCGTATGCTCTTCTAGGTAATCACACATCCTGGCATGTTCACAGCTACAGTTGGGATACCTTTGTTATCATGTGTACTCATAAAGCCCCTTTGGATTGGATTGTGTGACCTGTTTGCAGGGAGAAGGTGGGGTCAAAGGTCATCAGCGTAGCGGTGACTCCTAATGGTTACGCTGATGCCGTTAACGGCGACCGCTTCGTGATGCCGGAGGAAAGACGCATGAGCTTTTCTTCTGTTCTGGACATCATCGAGGGGAAGGTGAGAGACGCTGTGCTGCCCCCTGCTGGACAACTACTATATTTATCTAAAAAACTGTATTTATTGTCTTAGATTCATTTAATAGTAACACTAAAAAATGGTGTTTGAAGTCACTGAAGTGTATCTTGTTTAGAAGTTCTTGCTCCTGTATATGTTTCAGTGCGTGCGTGTGTGTGTGTTCGTGTTCGTGTTCGTGTTCCAGGTGCAGAAGCAAGGGGTGTTTTATGTCCAGAAGCAGTGCTCTAACCTGCTGGACGAGCTGCCGGAGCTCACAGACGACGTGGAGCCTCACGTGTCCTGGATGAGCAACGCACTCGGTGAGTTCAACCTGATCCCAGACCAGTTACCTGTCTCGCCTTTAGACTGTATACTATCTACAGAGGTGAGAAGTAGTGGAGTACAAATACTTCCTTACTGTACTTAAGTACATGTTTCTGGTATCAGTACTTTACCCCACTACTTATTTTTCTGACGACTTTTTACTTTGACTTCTTACATGTTGAACACAAATACCTGTACTTTCTACTTCTTACATGTTGAACACAAATACCTGTACTTTCTACTTCTTACATGTTGAACCCAAATACCTGAACTTTCTACTTCTTACATGTTGAACACAAATACCTGTACTTTCTACTTCTTACATGTTGAACACAAATACCTGTACTTTCTACTTCTCACATGTTGAACTCAAATACCTGTACTTTCTACTTCTTACATGTTGAACACAAATACCTGTACTTTCTACTTCTCACATGTTGAACCCAAATACCTGTACTTTCTACTTCTTACATGTTGAACCCAAATACCTGTACTTTCTACTTCTTACATGTTGAACCCAAATACCTGTACTTTCTACTTCTTACATGTTGAACACAAATACCTGTACTTTCTACTTCTTACATGTTGAACCCAAATACCTGTACTTTCTACTTCTTGCATTTCTAACACAAATACCTGTACTTTCTACTTCTTACATGTTGAACTCAAATACCTGTACTTTCTACTTCTTACATGTTGAACTCAAATACCTGTACTTTCTACTTCTTACATGTTGAACTCAAATACCTGTACTTTCTACTTCTTACATGTTGAACTCAAATACCTGTACTTTCTACTTCTTACATGTTGAACTCAAATACCTGTACTTTCTACTTCTCACATGTTGAACTCAAATACCTGTACTTTCTACTTCTCACATGTTGAACTCAAATACCTGTACTTTCTACTTCTTACATGTTGAACCCAAATACCTGTACTTTCTACTTCTTACATGTTGAACACAAATACCTGTACTTTCTACTTCTCACATGTTGAACTCAAATACCTGTACTTTCTACTTCTTACATGTTGAACTCAAATACCTGTACTTTCTACTTCTCTCATTTTCCAAACAGCTGGTTCCTTTAGTCTGAATGTGTGTTTGGTGCGTGATCATTATTCTTTAGAGTCATTGCGTGCCTATTGATTTGAACACGATCCGTGTATCCATCATTTCCTGGTCTTCTCTAAAGAAGAGGGACCAATGGAAACGTTGTCATGTTGCCGTTGTTCAGCATGGAAACATTCATTAGCTAACAATGACATTATTGTTCTATTAATATAAAGGGAGGTCAGGTACTCTTTAAAACAGCTGGTAGTCATGGGTACTTTTTACTGAAGTACATTTCAAAGCCTCTTTACTTTTACTTGAGTAAAGAAGTCAGTACTTCTACTTTTACCATTTTTAAACACGAGTATCTGTACTTCTACTTGAGTAAAGGATGTGTGTACTTTTACCATCTCTGTGTATCTATAAAGGTCTTAACTGTAAATATTAACTGCAGACCCTAACCCATCTACAGAGTCTTCCTTCTATGGAAATATTTAACCCCGGTGTCCCATGACCAAAATGTCACAAAAATATACACAGAAATCCCTTAAACTTTGTCAATACTTTTTATTTTTCTGCAGTTCAGCATGTTGGAAAACAGGGAGTCCCACAAGGACTGAAAAATATCTATAAATTAGTAAAAAATAAATAAACAACTTCAGAAGTCGTCTGTTCAGCTGCTGCAAGTAAGAAAAACATGTTTACTGTATGTAGTATTCAGTGGCGATTTTATATGTACAAAAGTGGTGGGGCACAAAAAACGTAGATGTCTATATATAAGCTTCTGCAGTGAGGTTCATGGCTGCTGAGGCTCTGACTCTTCAGGTTTACAAATATTATATTTTGACATAAATCAAAATATAATATTATTTTCAAAAGCTTTTTTTGTCTGATGCTTCAATTAATTTTAAACAGACGGTTCAACAGAAGGATACCCAAAAAATGTAATTTTATCATTTAAATATTGAATTGTTCTCTCTTAGTAAGATCCCATTTTCAATAAGATTGCAGTCTTACCTTGACTTGAAGATGAAGTCCATTTGCCTATCCTTCTGGACAAAAATCTCTATTACTTTTTTGTAAAAGTCCTCCTTATGTTCTTGTAGTTTCAAAAGTCTATCATAAATCTGATCTAATCAACAGATTTATGATTCGAAAATTATAAAAGTAGGGTAGACTGAACAAAACGTGCATTTATCTAACAGGTTTGTTTCCCACAGACCTTATTTGGAGCTATTTTCTAAAATCCTATGGAGAAATTTCATTGCTTTTTAGTCGAGGGAAGCCATGCGCAGATTACTTCCGGGTTTTAGGACGCCTCACTGCAGCTCTCTCTCCTCCTCTTCACACACCACACTTTTCGCGGCACATGTACTTACAGCCAATCAGCTCTGAATGATGTGAGATGACGTATGGTGGGGATGGCAGCTCTATGCCCCTATGGTCATTATTTTTTTGCCACACACATTAAATAGGAAAATACTCTGAGCATGCACAGTGTAGTTTTTACAGTCACCGTTCACTTAGACAGTGAGAGGGAGGGGCATGATCGGGTTTTGTCCCACATGGCTCTAAACAGCTCAATAGGCACACACTGTAGACACTAATTAGAAGAACACAGACTAAAACAGCAATGTACAGACGAATCAGATGATTAAACATGATCTTAAAATATATTTTATATATTTTTTAATACATTTTTTGCATTTTGTTGTAATCATTATTTTTAATACTTTCTGCTGACACTAGGTGGGGCTGTGCCCCACCTGCCCCTAATGACCAGTCGCCACTGGTAGTATTTATAATCTTTGTATTTATCAGGTAATAAATTCCCACATGCCTACATTCACATTTGTTTTCTTACCTTATTCAACAAAACTCAATATTTAAATGAAGCGGTTTTAATGGCCAATTCCTTTTTTTTTGAAAGATTGAAATGCCCTTTAGATGCCGCTGTGCATACATCAGACACGCAATCAATTACATCCTTCATCCACGCTCTTTAAATCACCTGCATTTCCCTCGTTTTCCAACTGCAGTCGTGTTGCTCCTGTAGTAAATCCAACTTTACAAACAAAGAATCCTTGTGAATTTTAAACGTAGAATCCCAACAATTAGTGTTTATAGATAAATAAACTCCAGCTGTGACTCGAGCGTCTCTCAGAGGATGTTGTCTCTCCGTCTGTCGAGCTCTTCACTCAGACTCCTCACGCTCCTCCCCATCTTCTTCGGGTTCCTCACCCTCTGAGGGTAGATTAACTTCTCAAAGCCCGGATGTTTTCTACCCGGTTTGAAACTGAACAGCTCGTCCTTCTTGAACTCGTCCACAAACCTGGACACGTCGGCTGCCCTCTTGCAGGAGGAGGAGGAGGTGTTTGTGAGGCGGTGCAGACAGGAGGACAGGTTCAGAGGGTTTCCTCCCGTGAAGAAGAGTCGGTCCAGATGTTTGGCCTGATCTCCAGCCAGCTGAGCGCTCTGCTCCACCTGCTGAGACGTGAAGCTGCCTTTACCGAACTCTATCCCACCTGAGAGGAGAGGAGGAAGAAACACAATCATGAAAGACTTATTGTTTAAAGAGTCCTCTCCTGCTGATGTTCAGGTGTATATCAGTATGTAGTGTCTCTACTTTAAAGAGTCCTCTCCTGCTGATGTTCAGGTGTATATCAGTATGTAGTGTCTCTACTTTAAAGAGTCCTCTCCTGCTGATGTTCAGGTGTATATCAGTATGTAGTGTCTCTACTTTAAAGAGTCCTCTCCTGCTGATGTTCAGGTGTATATCAGTATGTAGTGTCTCTACTTTAAAGAGTCCTCTCCTGTTGATGTTCAGGAGTGGAGTGCACCAGCTGGGCGTAAAAAAGTAGGGCTTAACTCTAACGTCGGGCTTAGCTACGTCCGACGTAGTGATTCAAATTTACACCGAGTGCACCAAGCCTGACTAGTCTCGGGCGTAGCTGCGCCTGGTCTTAAGATGCGCGTCCACGTGAATACACGCGAAACAGTAATTGTTGCCAAGCAACGCCATTTTACAGACTCAGAGGACGGCAGAGAAGAGGGAATTCCCACACCCACAGCGTCAGCGATGACTCAAGGGGAATCCCAAATGGCCACACCCCGAAAGAGGGATTTGTCAGAGCTACAGCGGGAACTGACGGAGAAAGAAATCGTTCGTGTGGAGGTGGAGACCGTCAAATTGAGAGCGGAACACGAAAAAATTGAGCTGGAGAAGGAGAAATTGAGACTCTTCTTAATGCCCTTTCATTGTTAAACATGTAAACAAGACGCCCTGTCATCGTTAATATCCTTCTTGCCTGTTTTACGTTACTATGGATACTAGTCTGTCTTTCCGATTTACGCCTGCTCCATACTAAGCGTAAAAGTTACACCCGGGCGCAACGCATACAGGGCTTAAGTCTAAGTGGTGCACTAGTCATAACTTTAGTTTGGTCTTAACCTTCGGTTCTACATCGGACGTAGAGTTACGCCCAGTTTACGCCCAGCTGGTGCACTCCACTCCAGGTGTATATCAGTATGTAGTGTCTCTACTTTAAAGAGTCCTCTCCTGCTGATGTTCAGGTGTATATCAGTATGTAGTGTCTCTACTTTAAAGAGTCCTCTCCTGCTGATGTTCAGGTGTATATCAGTATGTAGTGTCTCTACTTTAAAGAGTCCTCTCCTGCTGATATTCATTAGTATTTAGTGTCTCTACTTTAAAGAGTCCTCTCCTGCTGATGTTCAGGTGTATATCAGTATGTAGTGTCTCTACTTTAAAGAGTCCTCTCCTGCTGATGTTCAGGTGTATATCAGTATGTAGTGTCTCTACTTTAAAGAGTCCTCTCCTGCTGTTGTTCAGGTGTATATCAGTATGTAGTGTCTCTACTTTAAAGAGTCCTCTCCTGCTGATGTTCAGGTGTATATCAGTATGTAGTGTCTCTACTTTAAAGAGTC